TTTCGAGGCTCTATAGCGTCGGTGTGGAAACACGTACCGCCATTATTTTCATACAATTTCAAAGCTCACAATCTGAAGTTTATCCCTGGCGAGTATTGGTTTGATATTGAATAGAGTTTTTAAACTATTCGTGTTCAAATAAAGGTATGTCGAAAACAAACAAGGAAAATCGATAATGCGGTACATCAGTCATACTTTGAGCGCGCTTTTTGAATAGGTACATACTCGCACGTGAATTTCAAAATTGAACTTGAAACAAATTGAACTTGAAAGGAAGAACAATATTGTGAATTCATTTAAGGTGTAGTCTACGTGGATCGAAAAGAAAAGGAAACACAGAAAGTAAAAGGCAACGAGGTCGTCACATCATGAACATGACAAACCATTTCCACATTAGACAAAAATGCGCATGATTGATTTTCCTTGAAATCGGTTGAGTTCGTTTTTGACATGCCTTTATTTAAACACAAATCATTTCAAAACCTTTTTGAAAATCAAACCAATACTTACCAGGGATAAAGTTCAGATTCCAAGCTTTAAAATGATATAAAAATAATGGCGGTACGTGTTTCCGCGGCGACGCTAGACCCTCGCAAATAAAATCTTGCGGGTATTTTCGGACACGCTGTAGAACGAGATGCTTGAATAATTCCACCGGAATTGAAATATCTGCGATTGACCACGATTTGATTCGGTTTGATTTGATTCATTTAAAAACCAACGACAACGTATACTACACATACCAAAAACAAAGATAAGGAAACAAAAAAGAGATGATTTCGTCTGGGATAACCCCCAAAAAACACCGATTGCAGAGGCTTATTTTTATCGTCAGATTATGTTCGATTTTCAGTCCAGCTACAATGGTCAGTCTATCTGTTGTCCTGAAGATTTCAACTCTTTAATTTCGTTTGTACGATACCAGCAAAATCATATTCCCAAACGGATGGAAAAAAGTAAACCAAATCCTAAGACAATGATCCGTGGAGATAGAGCGTACATCTTCAGATATAGCTTAGGGGAGTCAGGCTGGCGTATCAGTAATTTCCTCGCCTTCCACCGCTGTGACCCGGGTTCGAATCCCGCCTGGGCCAACATGTGGATTAGGTTTTCAGTCCCTACCTGATTCCGTGGGTCTTTTCCCTAAAATATCATTCTGGAGTTTCCCTCCCATCTCTAAATTTCTTCTCATTGTCTTCTCCCTACAGGTTCCTTCAGGCTTGCGAGCTACAGTGCCTATAGGGCGCTTTTGAAGAATCATTTGTTTCATTACCAGAAATGATTAACAATATTGTTGATGCTTCAATCTAAAGAATAATAAAGGCCACATTCGAAAGAAAAATGGGAAACCTCTATCCGTAGCTTAAAAGACCAATTTCTCACAAGGATCTTTTCCATAAAAACGTATTGCATGTGTCACTATAGATTTAGCTTTTAAAATCATGCGAAGTCTACAATATTGCAAATTAGTTTTTTAAACTATCAAAAGGGGAAATAAAAAAACGTATGATGACATAAGCTTCGGAACATAATTTCGATGCATGACGAGTTGAACTGGCCGTAATTTTTCAGTTTTCTTTTCCACTGATATTTAGGGGAGAGTTGAAACAGGGACACTCTGTTACCGAGAAAAAAGAGTGTATTCGAAACCCCGATTTCGTGTGACCAGCGAACAACGTTCTCGAGTTGCTGATTACGAACGCCCGAGTGCGTGTGGAGTGCAGCTTGGCGAACATTCAAGACGGCAGCCGCCGTATCAACACGCCAAATGAAAAAGAAAATCTACTGATCTTGTGAAAATAATTAAGATCCCGGAACAGCTATTAAAAAAATGGCAAAGACAAGCCCACTTTATGCTCACGTAGAGTTTTAGTTGTTATCATTACTGCACATTATGGAGTGTCATGGCCTAGCGGTTGAGAATACCGGACTCATGCTCTGGTGTTTCAGAGGCAACAGTGGCGTGGGTTCGAGCCCGCCGGGTGGACACTTGTGCCCTTGAGCAAGGTACTTAACCATTATTGCTTCGTCCTTCGGATGGGACGTAAAGCCATAGGTCCCGAGTGTTGTGTAATCCAATGCACGTAAAAGAACCCAGTGACACTTATCGCTAAGAGAAGGGGTTTGCCCCGGTGTTTCTGGTCTCCTGTATAAACTCCCACGTGGAGTATTTAGGAGAAGAACCAACCAAGAACTGCTCATGCACTGAATGAATGTTGTTTTTTTTGTTTTTTCATGAACAAATAATTAACACGTTGCGCGAAGTCCGCCATCTTTGTTCTTGACGTTCTGCATTTTCTCCCTGATAAGTGGGGAGTGAGAATCCTGTTCGCGAACACCGTTCGCGTGTTGATTCACGTTATACGAAACCCCGTTCTCGTGTTCATTCAACACGAGAACTGGGTTTCGAACACGCCTCGTGGTTACCAACCACGACTTTGACCACCGCACGCTCCAGAAGCGACGCCCCTTTTTCTCGTCAATGGGTATAAATTGGGGGTTCATTTTCTTTCCCGCGTGCCTGCATACATCTGGCATCAATTATTTTGTTAGAACGCCCTTCTTAATGCTGTCGTCCTCATGTAGTGATTATGAATAGCAAACTACCTACCGAGCAAATAAAAAATCGTTTGAAGTCATTCTACTTGAATGGCAAATTACAAAGTACCGAGGTTACAGAGAAAGAAAAATTGTCACATTTTGGAGCCTCAATGTAAAGAATGCCCCTTATAGGAAGGAAGGGGATGGGCAAAATATTGTCTTGTTAGTCACCTCACCCCGTAGAAATACTTTTCCCAATCGGTGCAGGAGATGAAACTGTCATGGGAAACAATAATGTTTGGACAGAAGAAAACGGCAGAAATCGTATTTTTATTTATAGTTGGCCACATGTACATCGTATAAATCCCGATACAAGGGGTGGGGATGGCGTGGGTGTGTGTCTGGGGTGGGGTGGGGATCGAGAGACAATAACCCCAGCCTTGGATTTATACCCCGACAAACCCGATGACAAATTCAGTGGCGGTTCTTTAAAAAAAGCCCAGACAGCGAGTAATGCCGCGGGAGAGCTGACCGTGAACAAGCGATCCGCTCGGCCGTCTGCTACGGCCGGGCGTGGGCGACAAACACGCTGCTGGAATAACTGCAAGAAACTCCGCTCATTCGGTTCGGGTTCTCTGTCAGTAAAAGAACTCGATAAAAACGATCATTGATGACAGCTTTTAACTGTATGGGAATTCTACTTCCAACTCAAAGCACGGTTATGCATATTTGGAAATTATATCCAACACTGGGATATCAAAAAGGTGAAAAAAAAAAGAAAAAAAAAACACAGGCAAGATATATATAAGCTTAAATCTGCATCCAGAGAAACATCGAGTATACATTTTGCCGAGTTTTGTTACTTGACGTATAGAATAATCTCCTATACCGACACTGCTAACTTGAGTATGAAGCCTACCATTCAGGGAGCGAGGTTGAATTCACAGAACTCACAATGTGATTTACTTTTACTCATCAAGATAATCCGGAAATTTAATAAAAGGAGCTGTATTTTTAGAAAGGGTTCAACGGACGCATATCGAGGGTTTAGTTAAAAACCTCAGTCAGTATATGGTTGATAAATTTATGCGTGTCAAAAACAGGGGTACAAAACGGAGGTATAAAAGCTAAGGCTAAGACGTTGATATCAGGGATGTGTCACTGAAAAGTCGGTTCAGAACCCGAGGGAACTATTCATTCCTCGGAATCGTTGTTTTGAAGATGTTTATAGAAAAAAAAGAGTTTTAAAGATGTTTAGAATAGAGGAACCAGAACCAAGTAACGATTGAAAACCAAATAGGTCAGGTTCAAGAATTGATAACTTTTGGTACATATCAAAATGGATAGGAAAAAGGTATGCTGGCGTCACACAAAAAAACTAACAACCCTACACACAATCGAAATAATGATCATAATTGCGCAATGTATTCAAGGCACATCTTCATGAGTTTCATGATTTTTTCTTCTTCAGCATTTACGAGTTGAACGTGCTCGTTATTTCTGCCGACATCATGCAAAACATTATATTTTTAATCATACGAGATTATACCAGAGATCATTAAAGAAAGGATAGTCTTTGGGAGAATTCAAAACGCCTACATTTTCTATCAGGTGGGACAGAAAAAAAACACTTGTCTAAAACTGGCCGCGACTTGAATTAATCATCATCTGAAATGTATTGCACCATTTCTGGAAATGTTTACAGAACCGCAAAAGGGCGTGCCTCGCATAAACAAATACATGTACACAAAAACTACAGATTCTCGATCAGTGTGCAAGTAAAATCTTTCGTCCTCATTCCTTGTACAATTCCCAACTTCTAAAGGATTGCTTGGCATACATTACAGAAATCGAAACGGTTCAATTCAACTAAGTTTTCAATAATGTGGCTATTTCAACGAGATCGACCTATTTTAAGTTTTAAAAGAACGCAACAACTTTCCTCATCACAACATTATCTGAAACACAAATACAACACTAGGAATCTTAGCCGAATTAGAAGATAATACGAACCAATAAGGGAACTCGGTAAATAGCAAAATAGACAACGAATGTTACGGGCATTTTGCGCGCTTTTTTTCCCTTCTCGGTTTATTGTCTCCTCTTCGTAATCGTATTTTTATAAATTTCGTTGTCCCTGTTCTGTTTGTCGCATGTCCTCTTTTCATACTTTCATTTTACATGTACTTTGGATTGCGACTTGTACTGTTTACACAAAGAAATGGAACACACCAAAAATAAACACACCAAAAATAAACACACCAAAATGAGTACTACTATAGATAACTCGTAATTTATTTGCCTAAATTTGGATCACAAATATATATGCACGGAATACAGGGTGAGTAAAAAAAAGGAAACCCAACTTTTTTGTAATGAAGTTCTGCATGTAGCACTTTCAAAATCTAGGATATGAAAGCCCAATTAATATGCTTTCTTTTAGTACAAGAATCATTCAAATCACTTATGTACTTTTCAAGTTACGGAATGTTAAAATTTACAAACACCATTTTAAAGTAGTGTCCACGGATGATGACGGATCACATAAAAGGGAATTATTCTTTCAGCAAAACGAAAACAAATCACACAAAGATGCACGTGAATTGCTTTCGTTTTGCTGAAAGAACACAAACTTTTTTGTGATCCAGTCTTCATTACAAAATGAACTTCATGTGATGAACTTCATTACAAAAATAGGCCTGACGTTTGGGTTTCCCTTTTTTTTTGGACACGCCTTGTATATATTTTATCTACAAGCCAATATATAATAATTTGTTTGTCCGCAATTCTTAACAATTCATCTCATAACGTTTCTCCTATTGTTAAACTATACAATACAATATTTGAACAGTTAGCATACATACACTTTTTAGTACAATGAGACTTTTATGTATTCTCAGAATAATAAGGTATTTAAAATTTACATTTATCTACACAGTCGATTTATCTATCATTTGAAACTGAATATATAAATTATCCAAATATGCCTATTGTATGCGAGAATAAGTAGATATTCTGACGATTTCAAACTGAAATAATATACCTTCCTTCAAAATGAACTTATCTTCAACAGTCTCTTTCCTTCTCCAATTTTCAGGAGTTTTACCTGACAAATTTCTCCTTTTGTTTATCTATAGGCAGAAACTGACCCTCATCAAACACATACCCAGAAAACGTTAAATTCAAATCTTATTCATAATTTGCAAGTTAATTACAATGTATTTACAGAGCCGGAACTGCCGGAGGGGACTACTTCTGGGGCAAAAATATCAGAGTATCTAATATAATAATATCTAATCTATGTTGCCATTTTAGAAACTAATGAAGTAAACTCCTTTCTTTGGAAAAATATCAAATCTTCAATTCGAATTGTATGAATATTTGTTTTTACAATCGAAATAAAATAGTTTTAGAAAGAAAATCACAAAGACCTCTTTAATATATGTCAGCCCCTGACTTTTAACCTTGACACTTCCTTGTGCACATACAGCATGTGCAAATTTCTTAACTCAGGTATATTTTCCTGGACTTGGATAGCTCTTCCTTCTTCTTTCTCTTCTTGTCCATGGCTGACACCTCCTTGACGAAGTCATTCAGAGTCCCTTGGTCAAAGTAGACATGTGCGATCCTATCCAGGAGCTGGTCCACCTTGACAGGCAGAGACTTGGCCAGGTCTGCTTCGTATTCTTCCATGTCCAAGTTGGGTAGGAGTTCATCTTCCTCCTTGCGTTTCTTGCCGCCGATGCCTGTGAAGGACTTGAACCGACTCAAGATGAAGTCGATCATCTCATACTCGTTGGACTGATTTGCAATGTCTCCCTTGACCGTCTTGAAGGCCCCGATGATAATCGTCAGGAAGACGTTAATCATGACGAAGCAGACGTAACCAGTGAAGCAAAAGAAGAAGAGCGGACCCAGAATGCTCTCAGTCACCAACAACTCGCCAAACTTGAACTTTCCCAGAATGGCCGTCATCATGGTCTCCATCGTGAAGAGAATGTCCGAATAGTTGTAAAGCCGATTGCAGAAGATCAAGTAGAATGCTGCGGCAAAGGCAACAAAGACAAAGGAGAACATGAAGGTGAAGTTGAGGAGTTCCTCAGAGCAGCTATGGATGGTGTTGGACAGGAGACCGATGCGACGGTTGAAACGAAGCAGCTTCAGGAACTTGAGAGTGCTGAGGAAAACCAGTAGGCCCAGCAGGTATCCCATCAGTTCATTCCAGTAGGCCACGTACTGCAGGTTGATGTGCTTCTGGCTCTGCTTCTTAGCGAAGTCATTCAGCAGGGAGTTGGTGACAAAGAGTCGGAAGAAGTAGACAACCATGGTCACAATAGAGAAGATGATGATAGCCAACTCGTTGAGATTCCAGAACTGTTTGAAGTACTGCTTGCCTTCCTTACGGATCAAAAATAATTCCCTGACCGTCAAGCAGATGATGAAGACAAAGAAGACAGCCTCACAGATGACACGGACGAGACCGATCCCCTCGTGGTATGTCAACAACCTCAAGACATCGATGCGATAGTTGGGGTAGCTGCCACCAGTAGGTAGGATCTCCACCATCAGATTGATGAAGCTGAAGAGATTCGTCTGAGCGTTGTAGACAGAAAACTCAATGAACAGGACCCTTGTGTATCGGTCGATCCATGCTTCTTGGTACATCTTATCAACCGTTGCTCTCACACGATCTACCGACTCGGTGTCCACATAGTAAATGTACCCACCACCCAGATACAAAGCGTGACGCCCCCAAACAGGGTAACTATCTAGGACTTTGTTGTCAGTGAACGTATACTCTGGATACTCAGGTCCGTTTGGGTCAAGTGGAGTCCAACCGATTCCGTATTTGGCCTCGTCCTGAGCGGCCCCAGAGTAATCGATATTGCATTCTGTGATGGCACGCCTCATTTTGGGATTGACCTCACACTTTCCTGATGAACAGAGATGGAATAGGAGCGATAATGAGCCATCAAACAATGTCTCCGACTTGCAACATACTTGACCAACATTTATGAGCCTAAAGTGCGAATTTTGCAACAAAGTGGGACAAAGCCTACATTTGAAATGGTAGTCGATTTTGAGACGTTTTTGGTGAACCTCAATTTGCAAATCCTCTCCTACCTGTTCTTAATTTGTCAGTTCCATCAAACATCTACAAAAACCAATTTTTAACCCAATTTAAAACTTGCCATTCTCCAATAAACATAAATTTTTCAGGAAAAAAACCCACGAAAATGCCAAACCCTCAAATTTACAAAAAAGTGGGTCTACTCCAATGCAGTTGCAGTCTGTATTTCTGTTACTGAACTCGGAGGGAGCGAAACGTTGCATGAGTGCACCAAGTCGCTTTCATGCTGTGCGAAGTAAGCATGACTACTTCTATTTTGAATGTGCACAAAGTTAGGATGCACCGAGTACAAAGCAACAGACTCAATCAACAGCTGCAGCGACAGCGATCAAGAAAATGTCGCGGCAGAAATGCCAAAGATGATACCGACAGTCAATTACAACAGCATCTGTAGCGAAAGTTGGTTTGAGGTTCACTCAAATTTAAAAGCATACAGGATCAATTGCTGTCCATATATTTTGTTCGTTTCCAATAATAACACCGCTCAAAATCTGAAGAAGACTTTTCAAAACCTAACATGTTGAAGTTTCAGCTCAGTGGATACTATAATTTTCAAGAAAACAGTGAAACACCATGCACAACCTAATGATCACGAAACACGATTTTATCATTATAACTCTATATTCCAAAAATCAGTCAATTGACTGATCATTGGAAATCACCTACGTTTCTTGATTTTTTTTTCAAGATGCCACACAAGCTAGACAGAACAATGTCACAGGGTTTTTATTATCACTAAGATCTTTAATTGACAGGTGACTTTTGGAATAATTACGGCAAACAATCCTCTTTTTCCTCTATGCTTTAACTTATTTTAAAATAATTCAGAAACACAAAGTGATGTATCTCGCTTACCTCGTGGAACCCTCAACTGCCGGAACATCACCTTGCCCAAAATCTTAGAGTACCGATCTCCAAGGAAGTTCTTCTCATCAGGACTAGGATCTTGATCATTGTACCAGGGACCGGCAAACATGCCTGGAACCAGGCCAGTGTTCACCCAAACCCAAAACTTGGGAATACTTGAGGCCTGTGGGAGAAAAGACAAACAATATTAGCAAAACACCTTTAAGGATGACTTGTAATGTTGGAATGTTTGCGTCTGGAAGATCTAAAACATTTAGGTTTCACCCTTCATTGCATAATATTTTTAGCATTGTATAGACAAATCTGGCGGCAGCTATTTTCTGCGGTGGCGCAAGGCTTGCATGAGTCGCACTCCGGTAGTACACACGCAAACCAGGCTCCTTCAATCAATGAAAATACCAAAATGTGCGTGCGCCTTGTCTTTAAGAATGCATGCAGCATGTGCATGACACCAACGCAGTGAAAGATTCTAATTCTGGTCGCCAGATTCCACTATACCGTCTGGGAGAGGGTTCCCACACAAAAAATTACAATTAATTCTACGACTTTTCCATGACTTTGCCCTTTCCAGGGCAAAATTAGGGGTGTCTTATTCCCACGCTGGCATCTTAGGAGCCTATGTACACTGGCCAGTCATCACACTGAGGCAAGGGACACCACTCCCTTTCAGCTTTCCAGTTTGACACAAGACCACTGAGCAAAACAAAGGAATCACAACGGTCATGGTGCATGGAACATGCAACAAGCATAGCGCATACATGTACATGCATATAGAGGAAGTATAGTAAACTGGAATGCAAACTGGAAGACTGCTTTAGCCAAATATTACGCATCATCACGTATCCGCTCCGTTCACAAGTACCCCCCTCGACAGCAAAGAAAGTTCAGTTGGGGGTGACCGGACGACACCATCTTGCCTGACTGCAATATTTTGCCGCGGCGAAGCGCGGCCACTCCGTCTATTATGCATACTACAAGTCCCCTGGTGTACGAGCGTCACACACAAGGAACGGTGCGCGCGTCAACCAGCGAAATGTAGTGTCCCGCCCATGGGACGTTGTTGCTAGGTAAAAGGGCGCCCTCTTTCGTTAGCGCACGGAGCCCATAGGATTCCGTGACTTTTTCCCATGACTTTTTTTCTTAAAATATCAACTTTCAATGGCTCCTTGTAAAATAACAAAATATCATGATTTTCCATGACAGCTCTTGAAATTCCACAATTTTCCAAGATTTTCACACGACTGTAGGAACCCTGCTGAGCGCAAGTGGACAGGCAACCCCAGTAAGCTGGGTGGTTGTGTGGTTAAGATGTCAGCACTAGAAAGCAGGAGGTCCTGGGTTCGAGTCCCACCTGAGTAAGCTTTTGAATTTTCACTCCAATCTCGGACAGCACGGTGTATCCAGGCTGACATGATAAATCTGCTGTCAGAAATACTGAGGCTTTTTTCAGACCAGCATCGTACTTAGGCCAAGTAAAAAAATGAACCAGTTTCTTGTCCTCACCCACTTCCTTTATCCCGCCGGACTCCTATTTTTTTTTTTTATTTATACATTTGTAATATATTTTGCAAATTTTGTCGACCTATTGTCTAATTATTTGTTTCTAACAAAATTGTAGCTATGTTGAAAGGGTTACGGCTCCTTTGGACACAATTTTGTATAGTCAAGAAAATGGAAGAATCCATCTGCCATCTTTGAAAACCTGCCATCTTGGGAAAGAAAGGGGCGCGCCTCAGTCATTTCTTTAAAAGCCTGGACGGGAAACTATTTTTTTTTAAAACTCGGCCTTACATTCATGAAGGTGTGATTGCCATCTCCGCGCACCAGCAGCTTAACGTGGGCGTCCTTCGTCCAGAAGGCAAAAGGATCCTGGTTTCCGTAGCTGAAGACCGACAAGAGCCAGACAAAGATGACGCTGAAGAGTATCTCCCGGATGATGGCATACATCTTGAGCTCCTTGATGCGTTTGATGCGTTGGCGCTCAACCACGTGAGGATCTGGGGGCACCCTTGCAGCAACTGGGTGGACGTTACTTGTTCCTGGAAATAAGGATAATATAGGTTACATCACCAGCTAATGTCATAGACCCTTTGCATTAAGGTGCCCTCTTTGAGGTGAGTTTTAATTATCTTACAGTGAATGCACGAAAGGTCTACTTATGGACATCCATGTGTCACAAAAGCAGTCACCTCAAACATGGCTGCAATGCAAAGAATCTCTTAGTTCTGTATGGCAGTTTTTGTTTGTATTTTTAATGATGGCATATTAGTCAAGTTGTATTGGCGATTTTTTATTTTCATCATTTTATTTTATAGCTGCTATTTTTTATACTGTTTAAGTACTAATGGTATAATAAAGATATTCTTGTATGTTTTTACTTCCTTTTTAATTGTGTGCATGTAGCGTTTTTAGTGTGCATCTTAAAAAAATTTAAGCATGCAAAATCAAGGAGCATTTCACTGTTTTCTTATATATATGTGACAATAGAACAGTAAACAGTTACTGATAAGGTCAATACGTGGAAAACTATTAGAGAAGTGTGAACTATTCTTGATTATTTAATTAATAATTTAATGATAATTCAACAAGAATAGCAATAACCCTAATATTCTATTTGACTTCATTATTATTTATTTCTGGTACTGAAACCAAGGATTCCTCAAAAGCTGGGGGGGGGGGGGGGGCGTTAAGGCACCTACCATACAGGGTGTGTAGCCACTCCTCATCTTCTTGAAGATGACAGTCTTCTTCATCCTCCTCAATGTCCGTGTCTTCATCGGCGTTGGGCGTCTTGAAGACGAGGGCGATGAAGAGAGATACTAGGATCACCTGAGAATGGATGCAAATGAAGAGTTTGAGTTTCGTCCTAAAGGTATGTCTTAGCCAAGAAGGTGCACTGCCTAGATTCAGTAATATTCACGGACTACCTTTGATCTTTAAAGGTGCATAGGATCACTTGATTTTTGTGCATTTTGTTTTTGTTTGAAGCAACAAAATTGCTTAAAATCTTCAGAAGGGTTCATAACAACTAACTCAGTGAAGTTTCAACTCAGTGGATTCTACACATTTTGAGCTTGTAATTGGATCCTGTTGCTAACGCACGCACGCAAAAATCTGTGCCCACGCGCACACTCCCTAATAAACCGACTATTTTCTTTGGAATGATTATTTTCTTCCAGCCGTAGCCCTAGATTGCAGCCTTAGAATGGAGCTATTGATGTACCTTGATGGGCTGAGTCAGAATAATGCCACAGAAGAAGGAGATGATGATGGAACGAAACCAACTGGTTGTCTTCTCATTGGCGTACTGCAGGCCGTAGAAGAACGTAAAGGTGGTAGCAGCCAACGTGGCTAAGATACAGATGATCCACGCCAGGTACACGCACCACCACGGCAGGCTGCATCGCTGATTCCTCTTAGCTGGAGGGTGCTTATTGGAGGCAGGGCAAGGGTCGGGGGATACCTTGGAGGGATCCTTGTCCATCTTGGCATCATCACTGATGATGAAGATGTCTCGTGACGACACCTGGAGAGGAAAATAAGACACAGGCTTATAGTGATAGCATGGCCGCTGCCAGTTATTTTCTTTTTTGGACATGACCCCTGAAGTGCCCATGGCTCATAGAGTTATAGAGTCCATTGGAAATCAGTAGAGTAGGTTCATTCTCAATTGAGCATCCTCTACCTTGATGGATGCCTCACGAACCTTTTCAAATTAAAAAAATGACCCATCTGCCCAAAACGATCACAAGCCGTCAGAGCTTCTTGTAGTTTCTCTTAAACAAATCTTGCACGATGGAAATCAGTAGCAACTGTCAACCGTACCACCCACGTGCTGTTCATATTCATTTTAATGTCAAACTGAGTGACAGTCAAAAATGAAAAGCTGGGTATGCTCTTAATGCATTTGGACAACTAATTTGTGGAAAAAGAATGTCCTCTGGACTTATTTTATGGCATCCGATCATAAATGCAGATTTGCATGCTTAGTCTGATAAATGTCACTGGAAGGACACAAGTTTGATGTGACTGACTCACCGTATCGCTGTTATCGGCCCTCGTCTTCATGGGATGAACTCGGTTCCCACCCAAGACGCACTTCTGCTGTTTCTCCTTCGCTACTTGGATCCTGGACGGTCGCTTCCGTCTTACCCTGGACTTCTTGAAGAACTGCACCATCAGAAGACTGATGGGGAACACGATCAGGTTGGACTCGATGCCAATCGCTATCTGGATATGATCCAAGAAATATCAAAAGTCTATTTCCAGGGTTCCCATCACTTTATGAAAACTAATTTCCTGAGTTTTCCCTGATATTTCCTCGATAAATTTTTAAAAATTCAACGTAGAAATATTTTCACAGTAAGGTTGCTGGGAAGTCAAGAGGTGGTTGCAGCAAGGCGAGGTAATATTCACCTTAGCCAGTTCATCAAGGGACACAACTTGTGCCGTGCGTTGGGACAATAATTCAATGACACATGCCCAAAGACTTACGACTCAGATGACGGAGATTTTTTTCAGCGCTGTGTAAAATCAAACACTGAATCAGTGTTCAAGCCATCTGTCAAGAATCCAAGGGAATGTTTGGACTCTCTGTGATCATTTGGGAAAGTCTCAAAATTGACAGTACATGACATATTGGACCCACTGACCCAGGTATAACTACGCTGTATTGGTTCACTGATGAATTCATAAAACATGTGCCCTTGGGCAGTTTTTGGCATTTCAGTTAAGGAGAATACACGAGAAAGTGTGGATTCGTAATTAAAGGGAATATACATCACTGGCTTTTGCTGTAATTTTCAGAAATGAACTATTTGAGGGGTTAGTATAATAGATCAAATACTGTTACACTGACATGTTTGAAGTTTTGTGTTCGAAAATGCTGGAAAAACCAAGAAAAACAAAAAAGTTCAAGTAGTCTGGTTCCTTGACTCCACTAAAGATAAAATGGATCAATTTATAGATGCCGGAAAATTGTAAGGTAAGGGAACCAGTCTAGCTGGCCTGCACCCGTTCATGAACATGTAACCAATAGCAAACAAAATTTGGACCGAAAAAAAGTGTAAAGTTGGAGCAGTAGTTGAAAAATAGTAAGGTTTTTCCAACAGTGGTCGGCCGACCACCGTTGCAAATGTATACAAAAATACCATTTTCTTGAAAATGACTTCACACCAGGTGCCATTATTTTACAGGATGCTTTAGACTGTCATTTACCAACATCCTAGTGACGTATTTCGTAAAAACCTGGTAGTTTTATTTTTCGATGTTTGCAAATGTTGTATATTCCCTTTAAAGAATCCACACTTGTGAGTGTATTCTTCAACTTAAACCATTGCGTCAAAAGAAGTATTGGCATTAACAGTGAGTGGAAATGAAACACTTGGGAACAATGTTGCAACCTGAAGCCACTTCCATGATTGTGTACAAAGTCTATGGAGAGTCAAGAAAATTTAAGTATTTCATAACAAAATTGGAAAGATTTCTCAGTCCCAGATTCATGTCTTATCATCATTTTGCAATGAATGACCTTCATTGAGATGACATATGAAGAAAAAAGTGGCGTCAGGATGCAACATTTTTCCCGGCTCCTTCCGTCGACATATGGATAGTTCAGACGATGATTTCTTTCCGACTCGAAGCAGGTTTTGCAGTGACGACGGAGAATCTGACAGTAAAGATGCATTGGTAATTTCGGAAGGAAAGATTTCACGCATACGGTCCTATTAATGCTCATACTGGAGAACAATTGTCCGATTTGTGCAAAGTGTGGATTCGTAATTCCGCATCCACACTTTACTAAGGGAATAAATGTGTGCTCCGGAGGTTTTTATCACTCGTTTAATACCGCTTAGAGTCTGGGTGCTGATAATTACCCGAGCCGGAGGCGAGGGTAATTATCAGCACCCAGACTCTAAGCGGTATTAAACAGAGTGATAAATACCGACCGAGCACATATTTATTCCCATTCATAAATACCTTATCCGTAAAAAAATATCAAATAATTCGTTCAAAAAATCCCGATTTTGTTCAACAAGTTCACTTCATGCTTTTTGAAACATCCCTCTAGCAAAATAATGGAGTGTTCAGCTGGCGAGTAAGATGTAAACAACCCTTTTATGGAGATTGACGCGCGCGTAACATGTTCTGCGCGATGTCACGCAGAACGCACCTGGGGCGTTGCGTTTTGAATTTAGAACTATAAAATTCTGACTCGCTTGTAGTGTTGCGCATGCCTACGTGAGGATTGTGAACGTTCAACCAATGAAACGGTAAGAGGCACTGGATTTTTAGGAGTCCACATTTTATTGTGACACTAGAAAAGTGTTTAAGACCAGCTAGCCATGTCTTTATCATCCGTTTAAGACCGGCCACGTGACGGGCTCTCGACCAATAGGAATAGCTAAACTGTCTGAGGTATTTATGAATAAAGATTCTTCGTTCCGAATCCACACTTTGTGGCCAGCGTAACAGATTTGTAGTTCCGAATCCACACTTTTAACAATAGTGTGACGTCATAGCAATGGTTTAAGGAAGTAATAGGCAGGGCAGTTCAGGGCAGTACAGGGATTACCCATAGCCATAGCAAAGATAGGAGATATTATGGTTAATGCATACCTCAGATGGAGACAAGCTGAAGGGTCCTATGCTGAACGGTTTGACAGTTGAGCCGGTCGCTACTGCTTGGTAAAACATGATACTGGTCAGCATTTCCAGCCATAGAGCCATGAGACAACACATGGCACGCTGCATACGAGTGAATCGACTGCCGGGGGGCCGGGTGAAGATGGACACCCAGAGATGCCCGTCGTTGAAATGCTTGCCGGTCTGGCTGGAGAAGACATGACTGAACTCTTGCATCTGCTCCTTGCCGGAGACGGGAAGCAGGCGGTCAACCTTTGTGGATAATTGACAGAAAAAATAAGTAGATTTAAAGCGAGAGACGTGAGGACACTGAGGTCATGATGGATTATAAAATGGTTGAACAATACTGCCAGTAAAACTTGTGCGATCCCCCTGGTATCCTGGCAGTTTGTATACATGTACAGGCAGTTAGTAAGGACAATTTTCAGTGACGGCCTTGATTGTCCACCTGGCAGGTACCAGTTCTCAGTTGAATGGGGAGTTTGGGTTGAATGGAGAGTTTGGGTGAGACACCGGACTAACATATGTTGGAGTCATTAGTAATACAGAGCTGAGCTCTACAGAGACCCCGTAAATATCCATATTAGGAAGGATTTTTGACATCAGCCTTCTCTCCACAGACCACCTTTCAAGTTTGGTTGAGATTGATGACTGAACTTACAGTGAACTGGAACACACACACACACACGGACAGACAGACGGAATACGCGATCGCAATATCCTGTTCGGGTGAGACACCGGACTAACATATGTTTGAGTCAGTAGTAACACTGAGCTGAGCTCTCCAGAGACCTCGTAAATATCCATATTGGAAAGCATTTTTTGCCGTCGGCCTTCTTTCCACAGACCACCTTTGAGATTGATGACTGAACTTACAGTGAACTGGAACACACACACGGACACACAGAAGGAATATGTGATCGCAATATCCCCCTGTCTGACTTGAAAGCCAGGGGGATACAAACAATTTCAGGAAAGAAGAACTGAGGAGAGAATGGTTCAAGTATGGAAGAGTCCTCCAGATGCCAATGTGGGTCAACTGACGATAGCTGGAAGCAAGGCCTTCTGCTCAAGAGTATACAGTTTTATTTCCCACAAAATCCGTTTCCTCTCTGAGTGATGCGGTTGATATTTTCCAGGTTTGCAGCATTGCTAATGTCGCTAACATCATGACTCTGGGCGTGAATCCCTGTCTACATGGCATATTATACACATATTGACTGGCCATAAGGTCACTAGTGCATGTCTATGGACCCTGAGGGCAAGTGAGTGACCAAGAAGATTCCAATTTCTTGATGGCGAAGGTTCAAACCCTGCTCCAGTCAATTTCTTTGTTCAACTTTATAATTGTTTTCTTACAAATTTGTAATTTAAGGTGTTTTTTCCCCATGTAATAATTGTATATTGCTTCCACTGTTTCATTATAGTACACGAAGGCACTGGGTTTCACCGTTTATCTTGAAAACATCAAATATGCAAATCAAATCAAATCATATAAAAACATAACTAAACAAAATAAAAAATTCTGAATGTCTTTAATTGCCCTACCTGTCCATCTCCATCAACCACTGAGAACCACTGGTTACACAGGAAGAAGTAGCGTCGCTTGGTCTGTAAGTCACGGATGGCAATGTAGCTCATGTACCAGCTCTGAGCCGCACCTTGTCCCGAGTTGTCGTGCCAGATGCGCATGTAGTTGAGTGCGCCAAGGGGTCTATGAAGGTGAATTTGAGAAAAACATTACATTAGCAGTGTTCTCCAACCTGTAAAAATAACCTGGTGCCCCGCCAAGCTTTCTGAGGCACCCGCCAAGCTTCAAAAGCTGCCGCCAAGCTTAAAAAATTGCCCACCTTGCTTAAAATAAGGAACACTTGTCAAACTGACAAGCCTGCCCATTGTAGCAATCAATCAGGTCAAAAGTCTCAAGGCCAAACTGCCTCAGAGTTCCTGGTCACTGATGTGTTAAAAAAGATGATGCTGAGCCAGTAATTGTGCTTAATTGTTAGTGTTTCTGTGTTAGAAATGGCCTAAAAGCTGTTATCCGTACATAAACTACATGTTCATCTGCAAATAGTGCCCCCTAGCATAAAGAAATGTATGACTGCAAATAGCGCCCCTAACATAATTATAGCACCCTACCCCCTCCGCTTTTTGACGGCGCATCGACCTTTAATTTTCAAAGTTGGAGAACACTGATTGGTTAACACTTTTCTGTTGGTAATTCTGGCACTACATCATTATTTCCCCTGCTCAGTGAGCCCATAAATGTTCCAAAGACCCCCTCAGTACCCTAGGGAGTATATTCCCCGATGCTGCCATTTCAGCAAAAGCAGTTAGAATCAATCACAGTAACCATCTCTGTCCTCACAGGTACCCCTTGTATCCTGAGTTTGGGAAAAGGCCATTGTGACAAAGTGCCTTGCCCAAGGACACAAATATCAGTCTGGACTCGAACCCACAACCTCCAGAATGACCCACAAGATCTTGAGTTCAATGCACCAGACCACGAGGCCACCGTACACCATGGTTGAGAATTTTAACCCTTTAGTCACTGTAGCGCCCGAAACCACCCGACCACTCTCTGGTTTTATTGATTTTCAGTGAATAAATACAATGTAATACAATAAAGTCCAGGTAAAAGTAAGTCCAGTGCGAATATGGCTTTAGAAGTATAATCTGCAGTAACTCAAAAATTTACAGATTTCAGGTGTTATATCTTTGGTTGCCTATAACCCAGGCATGCAACTGGGAAATCACAAAAAAAGAGGAAATTCCCATTTTTCCCAGACTTTGTACAGTGTTTTTGTATTTTCAATGGCACACATGGGAAGTAAAAAAAAGGGGAAATCAGCTGATCCGAGGAAAAGTTGCATGCCTGATAACCTAAAAACTGTGAATCTTGTTTTTTATTGCAAAAGGAGTACAAATGCTGGAACTATTTCTCACTTTGCAGTGGTCAGGAGGAATCTGTCTATGCTGCCTCTGATAAGAATCTGCCGGTTGGGATCTTCAAGACATCGTGGCTTTGTCTCATCGTCTTCACCGGACAGGATGAAACTCACCTAAGACAAGATTGCACACATGGATCCTGACAACTGAAATCATTCACATTAAGAGAGTCACCAGAAGTTTCTCTTTTTTTGGGGGGGGGGGGAATTTTCATTTACTTTTTTTTTTGGGGGGGGGGGGGAGAAGTTGACAATAGTAGTTTTAGACAAAGTAAGGGTCGGGGATCTTTTCTGCCAGCGTGGGGGAAGTTCCAGTAATTATCCAGGAATATTTCAGTGGGGTTTTGCTCTAGAGCCGGAAACATTTGACACAATCACAATATACCATACATGTTCACATCGCGATACCACACATGTGTTATATAGAAAATGTCCCCAAAAAAGTGTTCGTCTATTATTTTTGAAATAACAACAAAACCAAGAAGTAAATGTTGAAAAATGTTAAGTGTGCAGATACTCCTAATCCCTGGCCACAACCCCAATGAGTGTTATTTAATTTCCCTCATGCCTCACTGCACAATGGTCAATTGATCACAACCTTTTTGGACACTGTGACCAAGTTCCTTGCCTTTATCAATGTCAGTGCTGTGTTAAGTAAGCTGCGTAAAATCCTTCATGCTGTGAAAAGGGCTGCAGTTGGGATTGGAATCATTTGCCTGGCTATCAGTCATCATGGCAAGACCTCAGTTTAATGCTCAAGGGCAAATGATTCCAATCCCAAACCACATCAGCCCTTAAATTTGATGAAGCACAGCACTAGCAGTATGAGCTTAGCATGCTGACAACCTAAACTCAAAGTGCATTTTTTTTTTACCAAAATCTTTGGCAGCTGTGGACAACCAAATGTGTACAATCTTTCTAATTTGTGCGTAAAAATGCAACAGTGATAACAACTGAGCTGAGTTGATAACGTCAGGTTTGTTTTGGGATAGAGGTTGAGAGACAACTTACCTTTGATTCTGTACCAGCATTGAACCTCTTTCCCGTGACTACAATCATCTCATACATATAGGAATGGCTTGGGTTGTTATCTGGCAATGGTGTCACGCCGAGCTAAGAGAAACAGGGAGTAAAAAAGCCCAAGTAAGTTGACGTGAAAAATCATTGACGTTATTTGTTATTCAATATTCCAAAGGACTACAGTAATTGTTGTTGTGGTTCTGCACTTTGGATGTATGTTTTGTCGCTAACCTGTTGTTAACCCCTTCACACCGGTATTCTCATGCCTAACTTTACCGGCTTTAATACATGCATAGCTATAAGCACAGCAGCCTTTGTCCAGGTAGCAGCTGCATGGCCCACAGGCCGCATAACACGGCATACACAACATACCAGACAGATTAGCAGACCGCAGCCAAACCCGTCGGCCAGCTTGAAGGGGTTAACCATGTACTGTCCATGTTATGTTACAGGTTTCACCACAAAAATGACATATAGGTGAATAAATGTTTTGCGACTGCTAATTTTCACGAAATCCGAAAGTCATACTGCTAAATGAGACATGGAATGAAAATGATCAGCCCATGTTTAATTATGTACTGATCACTTTACAATCACTCTACAACTTTGTGGTTTGATAATTCACTTCTCACCAGGTAGACTGGTTTGGGCGCAAAAGCAACCAAAAATAAACCCCTCTTTTCAGACAACCTAAAATAAAAATTAGTTTTTCTTTAATTAAACATACAAGTTAAATGTATTGATAGTACATCTTTTAACAACGCATTGTCCTGCGGCAATATGTGAAGCATTCTGCCATTGCTAGCAAGAGCTGGGCAGAGGAAGAAATGAGGGTTTGCGGATATTAGGAAAGAGAATCAAATTCTCCTTACAACACTGTTGATTGCACTTCAATCAGACATTCCGTTGACAAGTTATGGCCGTTTAATTAAAGTTCGCATTGATTGACATGTCAAAAAAGTAAAATACTGAAAAATGCCTTTAAAGTTTTGAGGATTATATTCGTGAGAATGAAAGATACCAATTGTTTTTTCCCCTAAAAAACACTTTGCCCTAAATAACACTTTTAGTCCATAATTTTTATTTCAAATAATTTTTGTTTCTTGTACTTCCGTCATTTTGCCTCAGGCCGCATTAATTTTGACGATTTGTATATTGCAGGTCAATCCAGTCAGAAAGCAGTTTGCATTTTCAAATTTCAATAAAATTGAATGTGCCCAGTTACATGTCATTTTGCCAGTATGCCTCGCATATCTGAAGCACCATTCAGCCTTCTTTCTGACAAGTTATCAGAGGGTGGAATAAGTGATAACAACTGCCAACTGACCATCATGACATCTTTCTTGTCTTTCCGCCGCGCCCACATGAAGATGAAGAAGAACAAGGTGTAGATGACACCACAGGTCAGGTAGATGGTGAGGTTCTCCAAAGGGTTGAGGTTATCAAAGACTAGGTCCCAGTCTAGGGCGACTGGCTTGACTATCCAGGTCGTGGTGAAGGGCGTCAGGTGGCTTGTCTGACAAATTGGAAGGTTGGTTCTCTCGTCCAAAACCACCTACAAAAACCAAAACAAGATAAAGATGGTCCGAGAGCCAATCAAATTTCTCTTCAGTTGACTCGGAATGGCTAAACAAGGCTGTTCTCGAACCGCGGGTCTCGCCTGCTCTCAGGATTATCTTGAAAGAGTGACCTTTGACTTAGGTGTGTGACCTTTGACATCATTATCATGTGAAGGTTCCAATGTTGCATCTATGACCCAAGTTTGGTTCCAATTGGACTTTTGAAATGAGACAAATTTTACATGTTCAGCCTGTTTTACAACTTGACCTCATATGACCTTTGACCTTGGTATGTGACCTTTGACATCATTATCATATGAAGGTTGCCATGTTGCATTATCATATGAAGGTTGCCATGTTGCATCTATGACCCAAGTTTGGTTCCAATTGGACTTCGACTTTTGAAATGAGACAAATTTTACATGTTCAGCCTATTTCACAACTTGACCTCAGATGAAATTTGACCTTGGTATGTGACCTTTGACATCATTGTCATATGAAGGTTGCTATGTTGCATTATCATATGAAGGTTGCCATGTTGCATCTATGACCCAAGTTTGGTTCCAATTGGACTTCGACCTTTCAAATGAGACCAATTTTACATTTTCAGCCTATTTCACAACTTGACCTCAGCTGACCTTTGACCTTGATATGTGACCTTTGATATCATTATCATATGAAGGTTCTCATGTTGCATCTGTTTGATTCAAGTTTGGTTCCGATTCGACTTCAACTTTTGAAATGAGACCAATTTTACGAAACTTTAATAAAAATACCACATACTGCATACATACCGGTACATGTACGTACAGACATAGTGAATGCATAGTCTCTTTTCCTGAACAATGACCAGGCGAGACAAGAAGTTTGTAGAATATTAGCTGAAGCGGAGGCTTGGCCCGTTGCCTACGCATGTATCATGGGGTCAGTCTAATGCACACGTGGTGTAGTTACTACATCAAATACATGAAAAGGCAAGCCACATGCTTGGAAATACATCACAACATACTACAGGATACAAGTCTAGTACCTGGACTCCCTCTGTGCTCCATTGCCTAGTCTCGCTCTGATAGAAGGCACACTCAGCCTGTAGGATCCGCAGCGAGTAGTTCAAGGTCAAGTTTTCCGGCGTTTCGTCCTCAGCCAGTTTGGCAAGACGGAAGAAATAGGTTCCAAGTTTGCCTTTGTGCTGCTTGGGTCCAAACATGACGGTATGGGATATTGGCTTGCTTGGCATGGCTTCATCTGGGAAGTACAAACAAAATAGTCAGGATAAGGCCAAAAAAAAAAATAAGTCGGTCTCTGGTCAGCGCGCGCGTCGATTTTAATCATGCGCGTCGATCTTTTTTTTTTCCAAAATGTTCCGCAGTAGCTCCAACAGCGCCCTCTATTTCCGCACCTCTTCAATTTTTTTTTACCAAAGAGCACCAAGGAATGGGAAATTGCACCAAGGCAAATTATCGAAAGCACCAAGGCAAGTTATGGAGGACACCAATGTACATGAGGACACCAAAAAAGTAAATAGTACCCCACCTTGTCTGTACAATCCAAGCTTGTAGAAAAAAAAAAAAAGCCGCGTGGCCGCGTCATTTCCGGAACTTTGTTCTGACCAGAGACCGAATATTATTTTTTTTTGGCCTAAGTAGGGAAGCACCCTGAAACATGTGGAACTTGGAACATGTATCACTTTGTACACAAAAATTGACCTCTTTGGATTATGTAATAGAACTAGCCTCCATGAGGTGAGCCTTGGTGTACATGTTCTATTTTTCCTGGGATTCTGAGGGAAAATGGAACGCTCCATGGATAGGGAGGCTAGTTAACTGCACCACAAATTAAAAGAAGTCAATATTTGTTTCATAATGCCCAACCAGGAGTATTTCAACTAAAATCCAATACAAATGTTTGTCTTTCAATTGGAAATAAGACAATCATTTACAAAAGTTTGGCGGTATTCGGAACGGATGACAGATAAACATGCAGGGAGTGAGGCCGGAAATATCTGTCAGTGACCCGCTCGCAGCGAGCGAGGCTGTAAACATGAGTGTGCTGCCCGAGGGTGATGGCTTCAACCCACCTGGCACTGAGGTCGAGTGAAAAGTAATCCCGCACCTCGTTCCGTTCTTGTCAAAATATTCCTGGCGTGAACTGATAAGTACTACTTCTAGGATCGTTTGTTCCATTACAAATGTCTACATCATATCAATATGAACACACACTACTGCAACACTGTCTTGATTAATGTACACACTATCTAAACTATTATTGTATTTACCAAAATTCAAGGAATCCCCCGCGGTATTGTCAGTAGAATTATTCCAGAACAAATCATCAAATGACATATTCATAAATTGATGATCAGTTGTGGGATAATCGGTGAACGATGGATTATCTGTTGTTGGAGGATTAGTTGAGGGATTAGCGCTTGTTGTCAGATCCTCCGTAGTCCATGGAAAATTCGTAGTTGAGTTGTATGAGACGTCACTTGTGGTGAAATCACTAGCGGTGGTCAGAGGTGTTGATGTAGTGGACGGGACTCTTGATGTAGTGGATCCATCATTAATCTCTTCATCCGTTACATTTGGGATTATGAACATCCAATCGTAGTCCTCGGACGATGCCGTCTTATTGAAGCTAATGTAGAGTGCGTAGACCACGGTCTCGTTGCCTGGGCGTAACTCAATAAACACGCTCTCTCCGACCCCTTCCACCGTGAAACTATGACTGAAGCTGCCGTTGCCTAGTGTGGGGTCAAAGGTCGTGAAATTGGCCTCAGCAGTGGCGTCCAGTTGACTGAAGTGGATGTTGATCAGGTTGTTGTCAGATAAGTTGCTGACAGGGATTTCCACCGTGTCGTTGTTGAAGAAAGTAAAGTTGACCAAGCCTCCATCTTGTCTGTCTGCATGACTACCTTTGGCAAAGTTGTAGGTGTTGGTCCGTGTGGATTGCAACTGTTGAAGGGAAACAAAAGTAGCGTGTTGATTCACGTCAAACCATCATATTTGCTTAAGTGCAATGAAACTGAAGACCAGAACATGTGATATTAGAGTGGTTGAAATGCACGGTAAAAATGTTGTGTGGCCCAGGCGTTTTGAAACGCACAAAGTTGTACTGAATTCAGAATGAGGGCTTAACATCCAATAAGCCATTGGCAAATTAAACTCGAGTAACATCTGGTACCCTGACTTGCTCAGATGCTTGGCACATTTAAACTTTGAATTCTCCAGACCAAAGACACTGTTGCTATATCAAGTGATTTTGACTTGACAAACTTTGACCCAGTTTTACTTACAAAGTATTTGCTTGACATATGATCTTACTGCTGGTGACTAGCCTTTGTTAGAAGTATAGCAGGGGAAGTGGAAGTGAATTTTGACTGTCTGTGACTGCTTAAATAGCAAGAGGGTTAACAAGGTTGCGGCAAAGCAACTAAGATACTGATAATACCCAGGCAACTTGTTGACAAGCGATGGCCTCCCTTCTCCCCTGATAGCCATCCTTTCTTCACCACATGCAACAGAGAATTACATATGCCAAACTGGAGAAAACCTTTCCTTTTGGATCACTGTCAAATTCCCTGAGTTTTCCCCCCCAACTGGAAAAATGGACCACTATGACCTGCGGCGAGTTCTGCCTCATTTTGCCACAACGCCTCACATATAAGCACAACACATTATTGGTACGAACTTGGGGTGTTTTAAAAACCTGCACAGGATTCTAGTTTGCCAGACCAACCTTCATATCTACAGCTTCATCTGTGCTACAGTTCTCCTCCCTTCCCATGAGCTCACACCATCCAGGCATCATGATATTCCCTGTCCCATCATCGACGGTCATGTTGCCAAGCTCCGCAGCCTTCTGACGACTGGTGCTCAGCGTGAGTTGAGGGGAAGTGAACACTGTGCTCTGCTCGCCAGGGAGCTTGTTATTGACGGTGAGACTATACAGACGCTGCATGGAATCTTCCAGCTTGCTCAAGGTGGTTTCAGCCTTCTTCTGTCGAACAAGAAACAATAACCAAACAGAATTCACGATAAAAACCATAAACCCCAACCCTAAAACACACAACCCTATTCCATGTTGCTCATTTCTACTCAAATGATTACAGAATAGAAAAGTTCACATAAACTCAGCATATAAAAGCAACAATTTCATTGTCTGAGATTCCATAAAAATGAAAATCATTAACAAACAGTTTTTATAGAAAGTAACTTTCTAGAAAAAAACAACCTGTACATGCATTGGTTTCTGTATTTGACACTAATATTTGTATATGTGCATGCAGGTAATTATCAATTTAGTTTCCAATACACAAGGATTTTTTGTTTTGAGTTTTAGAACAAAATTGAGTTTTATAACTTACTTGCAATTCTTCGTCCTGCTGTTGTTCATCAGTCTGAGCTGGAAAAATTAACAGAAATGTACCACAAATCCTTCAGAAACTTTTCAAGAATGTATCACAACTCTATTAGAGACAAAGAGGTTTGAATTTGGCAATATTTAAAATTGGCAATTCCCTAAAGCCAAATTTCTATGATACAAAATATAAGGTCCTGAATGTTGATTTACAAAAAAAACTTTGGTTTGAAACTATAACTTTTAAAGGCAGTATTCTGTTTTCAGTAGTGCCTCATCACAGAAAAGATCTGAGAGCTACAACTGGTTGCATTTCTATCAAATGCTCAGAGGTAGTGTGTTTACTGAATTCATGTAAAGGAATTTAGGTGACTTAGAATGGAATTTATCAATGAATAATGCTACCACTAATAATTCATCTGGTCAGCCTTACTTCATCTTAATCTTTCAACTAAAGCAACTTCAATTTTAGGGGTGTGCATCAAAACCGGATACCAGAGTACCCGACCGCTGATATCAGGAACTGGTTCCCGATTATGGGATCGGGTACCCGTAACCAACTTTACAAATAACTTAATAACTTCTCGGACAATGAAAAACAAAGGTTTTGAATACCATTTGTAGGGAATTTTCAATATGAAAACCAGGCTTCAACAGATTTCACGCTTATGTGAATTGTAACGCACGACAGATGACGCTTGCGAAAGTTGCAGTTTACACTGTAAGGCTAAAAAAAAAAGTCTCCGGTTTCTGGTATGGTGCTTGCCCAAAAAGTGATGCGGCGACGCGGCTTTTTGGTTTTTTTACCTGTTTTTTTTTGCTTCAAATGTCGGCTGATGACTGCAAATGGTGCCCGACTAAACTTAGTGCAAATATTATGGGAGACCAGAGAGGCCACATAACGCTTATTCTCGATCATAACCCCATCTAAAAACACGTTCAAATTGTGCAGCAGCAGGATTCCAGTAAAACCAGTGAGTTTGGCGGTTTTGAGACATCATCTTTAATTGAAAAAAAAAAACTTTTTCATTTTGCCGACGCGCATAGGTACGGCGACGCGCGCGCATACCGGAAACCGGAGACTTTTTTTTTGGGCCTAAAGCTGTAAAAGCCCATCAGACAACTTCCAGGATTTGAATTTTTGGAATGAGTTTCTCTCATTGGTACCCGTGTTTTACTTCAATAGGGTACTCGGTTTCCATACAACATGTACTGCACACCAGTATTTGACTCGCTCAATCCTTCACCAACAATGCCGCTATAACAAACACCACTATTTCAAAACTTTTGTCTAATGTGAACATCCCCTTTTGCTGCCAAATTTTATGTACAAATACAAAGAACATCAGTGGTCTCAAAACTCAGTAATGAATGACAACTACAGTCGACTCTCATTATAAAGGGCACTTTTATAAAGAGGTTCTGCTTATAAAGAGCAAATTCTGAGGTCCCAAATCTCGGGTTCTCTTTGTGTTTCTTTGTTTCGCTGTCCTTTAATAACAACATTCCTGTTATAAAGAGGTAATTTTGCTAGTCCCATCGACCTTGTTATAACGAGAGTCGACTGTATACTGAACATTCATTGGTGGACCCCATAATGTTTGTCATGGCAAAGTGTAAATGTATCAGCTTTTTAACAAAAAACAATTCCTAGCATACTGAGCTGGAGCTACCTAATGCAAGACGATTACGAGATTGGTGACTGCTTGAACCTGAAGCTGACATGTCGATAGGGTTACTGACAGACTCACTCACTCCCTGTTTGAATACAATCAACAAAATATGGAATCTCTTTATTTAATCACATCAAAATCAAAATCGAAAATCGAAAATCAATACGATCAACAAAATATTGAATCTCTTTCATTTAAAGGGAATATACATCATTTGCTTTTGCTGTAATTTTCAGAAATGGATGGAATTGGGGGGTTGGAAATATATAGCAAATATAGTTACACTGACTTTTTTGAGGTTTTGGGTTCGAAAATGCTATAAAAACCAAGAAAAACAATCATTTTCCTGTAGTCTGGTTCCCTGACTCCATTTAAGAAGAAACAGAGCAGTTTACATATATTGGGGAATTGTAAGGTCAGGGAACCAGTCTAGCTGGCTTGTACCCGTTCATAGTGTGTAATCTATTGCAAACAAGTGCGATGGTCAACTTGGGCCAGTATTTGAAAAAAAGCCAGTTTTTTTCCAACGCTGATCGGCCGATCAGCGTTGGAAATTGATACAAAAACAGCACTTTTCTTGAAAATGACAGTATACCAGGTGCCATGATTTTACAGGATGCTTTACACTGTCATTCACTAACAGTCCAGCAAGGTTTTTCAAAATGATTTGGTAGTTTTATTTTTTGATGTTTGCAAATGTTGTATTTTCCCTTTAACCCTAACCCTGCCAGACGCAGCACAGTGCATCAGGTGGAAAAGTCTGCTGCACTTTGATGGAAAATGCTACCAACACCAGTGCAGAAACCAGCCACTTCTGAGACACTGAGAGCTAGTCCCATGGAACAATGCCCGAGTTGTATCCTGCTGCGTTTGGGGACCACAGACTCTGAGGCAGTTTGGCCTTGAGACTTTTGGCCTGATGGATCTTGCTACTCTGGGCAGGCTTGTCACTTAGACAAGTGTTGCATGTTGCTGCGTTTGGCAGGGTTTCTAGCCAAAATACCCTGGAGGGTTAGGGTTAATAAAAATCAAATCCAAAAGAAAATCAAACAATTTAAAATAAAAATCGAAAATCAATACAATCAGCAAAATATTGAATCTCTTTTATTTAATAAAAATCAAATCAAAATAAAAAATAAAAAAATTCAAAATCGAAAATCGAAAATCAATACAATCAACAAAATATTGAATATGTTTTATTTAATCAAAATCAAATCAAAATAGAAAAATGAAAATGGCAAATCGCAAATCACATGAAATTGCATCGCCTGAAATAAATCTCATCGCATCGCCATCGCATCGCAACACTTTGCATTGCATCAAGTCAAATCAAGTCAAATCAAATCAAATCAAATCTTGACAGATAAAAACATGGTAGCACATGCACAGCAACACTTTGCCAAGATAACTGATACTTAACTTCAAAAAATTGGTTAATATGTGTGTGAGCTATAGTAAGAACAAATATAACATGGTTTTTGGGGGGGTGGAAAGTCAATATTAGCTCCCCTCGTATAGTATATGTTTATATATCTGTATACTTGTCATCATTTTCTTGTTCGTTTGGCCCTATTCCAACTCATCAGAAGTTCTCAACTACCATGACTACATCTAGCACATGGGAATGACTTTAAACACACATCTTTTGTTTGATATGGAATTTTCCAGATTTATCTGCTGGGAAAATGAATTATTTTCAAGATGAGGATTCTTGATATTTACCATTAGAATGTTTCCAGCGAATGAGATAAGCCCCTTGCCAACACTGTTCAGCTTGGACTCATCTTTGGTTGACTTTGGGTCATCTTCAACAAAACTGAGCATTCCACCTACCACATTGGATAAGGTATCCTGAAAACCAATAAGAAGGAACATAATGTTACTGGGAGCAGATGGACAAACTAAAGTCACAAGTCCTTGGTCACAAGTCCTCACACGTCCATCACAAGTCCTCAGTCACAAGTAGTCACAAGTCCTCACAAAGTCCATCACAAGTCCTCAGTCACAAGTCCTTGGTCACAAGTCCTCACAAAGTCCATCACAAGTCCTCAGTCACAAGTAGTCACAAAGTCCTCACAAAGTCCATCACAAGTCCTCAGTCACAAGTCCTTGGTCACAAGTCCTCACAAGTCCATCACAGGTCCTCACAAAGTCCATCACAAGTCCTCAGTCACAAGTAGTCACAAGTCCTCACAAGTCCTCACAAAGTCCATCACAACTCCTCACAAAGTCCATCACTTGTCCTCAGTCACAAGTCCTCAGTCACAAGTCATCACAAGTCATTGTGTCTCAAGTTAAGCCACAAGCTATTCAAGTGAACTGTTTTAAATGCATTCCTTTGTTATTGCTCATACTCTTGTTACTTGGGATCAGACATGTGATGGGCTTGACTACAACACTGACACACAAACATATTTTTCAACTCAGGCTAGTAACCGTTCTAGGAATAATCTCCAAATGATTCAACATCTGAACTGATCTGGACTGATAGAGAATCAAGTTACCGGTATGTACTAGTTTCTTACACTTGCAAAACTCACCAGAGTGTTAGGAGATAGAGCTGATACGTCTTTGGTAATGAGGCTTATTGTACTGGACATCAAGACAATATCTTCAGAGCTGCTCACTACCACAGAGGATTGAAGCTCTACCATCCTGCCAATCTCCTGTATACCAAAACAAATCTGTAGTTAAAGGACCTACTACTCATGTAGATGGTTGACTAATTGATTGATTATTAATTAATACACCTGTTTTGGAGGGGTATTTCAAAGTCGCCCCATCCCAAATTATTTCATGGATTTGACCTGAGTACATGAACAGTTCAATCTTTGAAACACTTAGAAGTGACTACGTTGAAAAATCCACTGTTGCTATTGTTTGGAATGCTTCAAGAGTCTAGTCAATGAAAATTAAACAAAGAGTTTGAGAAAATGGGGCACCACCAACATAGGGCTAAAAAGCTCAGTTGGTTAGAGCAATGGAACGGCAATCAAGAAGACGCAGGGTCAAACCCCACTCCAATTAATTTCTTTTTTCATCTTTTAAAAAAATAAAATAATAAAATAAAGTTCATCTCTGGAAGTCAAATCTATTTGGGCTAAAGCCTGAGTTGCTCCTAATAGTATTTGGACTCTTGGAGTCAAATGGATTGAATTACAATCAGAAAAATCCATTACTTTGTCAATTGATGGCTCAATCAACCTTGCTTATCAAATCGACTTGACTAATTTACTAATCATTTTATTGACCCCTTGATGAATTGATTAATAAGATGTTATCATTTAGTCAATTTAGGACGGTATTAAAACATCAACAAAACAATTCAACCAACCGACTGACTTTACTGACCAACCAACAGACCAAGTGATTTATATACCACTTGATTGATTACAACAATTATAAATGAATGCATTGATGCAATACAATTATGACTAACCTGTGACTTTTCAGCTCTTTCAGCTGCCTGTTGCTGTCTCGCTTGCTCATCCATCTATAAACACAAAAGCACAAAATACTGACGAGAACTTGCAACGAGTCCCCAAGTTTACTATTAAAGATGTGACTTTGTGTTTAATTTTGTAAACGTTAAGCAAATATTTTCAGAACCGTTTAAACGTTTAGCCATATTACAAAGGCTGACACCTGCCCATTAGGCCAAAAAAAAAATATTCGGTCTCTGGTCAGACCAAAGTTCCGGAATTGACGCGGCGACGCGGCTTTTTTTTTTTTTTCTTCTTCTTTTTTTTTTTTCTTCTAGCTTGGATTGTACAGACAAGGTGGGGTACTATTTTGCTTTTTTGGTGTCCTCATGTACATTGGTATCTCCATAATTTGCCCTGGTGCTTTCGATCATTTGCCTTGGTGCAATTTCCCATTCCTTGGTGCTCTTTGGTAAAAAAAAGTGAGGAGGTGCGGCAATAGAGGGTGCTGTTGGAGCTACCGCGGAACATTTTGAAGAAAAAAAAAGATTGACGCGCATGATTAAAATCGACGCGCGCGCTGACCAGAGACCGACTTATTTTTTTTTTTGGCCTTATGTCTACTGACTAGCGTGATTGTCATGATGAATAACATTGACTGACATAATACTAGCAGACGGTCGTTGAAAACTTGAATAAACTGGACTACGCGTACCCCGAAGTATGATCAAGTAATGCAATGCTTCTTGGTTTTGTAATTAAATAGGTTTGAAAACATTGTTAATTATTTGTGCTCTGTACACGTTTTATGTTTAATTCAAAGCAAGATCGCATGAACGTAGGTTGGGGTTTTGTTTACCTGTTTTTTTTTAATTTGTAAACAGATTTAGAATTGTTTTCTTTTAAACATGTAAACGTTACATCCTATGTACTATTACACAAAAATATCTGGCCGATGAAAAGGAATCTAAACATCTCACATATGAACATATTCTTGTGTATTTTGGTGAAATTTAAATTTTAAATTTAAAGCTCCACCAGTGCTTTTCAACATATTTAATTTTTCGTTAATTTATATTAAAGTTTTAGACGGGAAAACGTTTGTTTTTAGTTTAGACGTTTTCAACCCTCAGAAAATTATGTTTTTATTTAGGGTTGTCTTTGTGCAGATAATGCATTATGTTTACAAAAAAAAAAGGGAAGAGTAAGATTCTTCTCACCTCTGTTGGAGCCTCACTGGGGAGATCTTGGAAAGAACATGCAGAAAAGAGAAAAAAAGTTTATTGATATATAGAGTAACTTTATACTGAAGCAATGTTGTACCGTGTAGAAAAGGTTGATCATGTTATGCGGACTGTTAATAAATGTAAGTGCAAAAATATTACGTCTCCACATTCTGGATTATGAGCATGAACAGTAGACAGCACCCCCTCGCGACGCCCATGTCCCCAACTCTCCTTTCTTGCCTTTGAGCTGTTCCATCACCGTAAAGGCTGGTCGCCATTCATCTTCTTTTTGTTATTTCACAGTCTTAAATTTTGCCAACAAGTGGCTGACAAACTAGGAATGACTAGCAAAGTTTTCAAATATCGTACTGGTTGTAGTAATTGGAAACAGGCTGTGAAACCAAACAAAGATTTCTCTTGAATGACTGGGGGCAAGAAACAGAGCCTGACGTGGATGCGTTACCGGGTGACGATGATTCGGTTGCCAATAGCAACGATGCATCCAATAGGAGTTGAGCATTGATGGCTTCTGGGTTTTCTTCGGACCTCAGAGTCTCATACAAACGCTCCTGCTCTAAGCTGTGGTTCTCTGATCGTCTGTTAACTGGTGGGCTCACCTTCCAGAACAAACAGAAAAATGGAAAGGACAAAAAAATGACGAAATGTAAGTTCACATAATGGTTCTTCGCTTGGGAAAAAATGCAGCTGTGCACATGTAAACAGCAATGGTGGTGCCGACAATAAAGGGTTTTGCCATCGACCAACGTATTTTTTTATAAACACTGTACACTCAGTGTAGTCCTGAGTGGTTATGAAAAACAATCCACAAACTACTCAGGTGGATTGCAATCTCCCACTTACTACAGGGTGAGTCAAAAAGAACGTGACCTGGATTCATTATTTTTTTTCCTACAAAAGCAATTGAATTAAGCGAGCATGTTCTTCCACTCGTGAAAAAAAAAGACTTACTGAAATTGATCCATGCTATTTGAAGTTATGCATGTTTTACTAAAAGAACTAAGTTTTACAGCTGTCCATGGAATGCTCAATGCTTTGAAGCTATTGAGCTGAGTGAGAACCAGAGATTACTCACAGGCATTCAAATACAAATGAGATTTTAATCATTCGAGTCAAGACTGAAAGATTATTTCACTGTCAGATTCTGTGTTTTGAGTATGGGGAACAAATCAAGTCTATTTCTGAAATGATGATGATGATTTTGGTCTGTTTTCCTTTGCAAGTTTTCATTCATTCATGTAGGTAGGAAAACATCTATGGTTCATTGTAAGGGTATTCATCTTAAAATGATCAGTGGTGGACAGCTGAATTTGTGGTATTTGTTAAAAGAGAAATAAAATTACGCGAGCGTTTTCACAGTTCCTAGCCAATAACATGTACTTTATTCCAATATTATGGGGAGAGCAACATATTTTCAAACTTTTTTTTCTAAAAACTTGGTCACTTTCTTTTTGACTCACCCTGTATTACAGATGTCTTTACCACTAAATCACCGAGCTTGCCGGGGATGGTTTGTTGGTTCAAACCTGATATTGGTTGAGGTACCCGCTACCAAATGGCTTGCGAGAAAAACTTCAAAGTGATAAGCTCCATTATAATAATAGGATATCTTCTGTCAATTTGGTCAAGATGCTTACCGTGATGTTAGCAAAGGCAAGAGAAGTGGTCGCCCCAATGGTGTCCTCAGCAGTCACACTAAGTGAAACAGCATAATCATTAGTTGGTGAGCCCAACGGCGGCTTAACGTCGACCTTTGGAACAGCGCTGTTCTTAAGTACAGCCTCAAATAATGCTGACTTAGCTAGGAAATACAAAAGCACACGTGAAACAAGGATTAAAATGAGCCTCAAAATATCTTCTGTTTCAAAGGCCCAAACGTGTAGATTTCTTTGATCTTCAGAAAGTCATTCCTAATTGCGACAAATTTTCTTTTAAATATATGCACGTCCTCATTACATAAATTTTAAGCATGGTTGGAAAATGCTTGCTCTCAATTGCAAATTTACGTCCTCGTCTTTAAAAGGTCGGTCTCTTCATTTAGTTTTTGATAAAGTTTGAATTACTCGTTGATTTTAAGTTCAATTGCATGTTTTAAATTCTGTAGTTCTGTAATGATGGGTGTCCTCAGTTTGATCGCTCAAATATGAAGCGGCAAAAGAAACTTCTTTGCACTCTGTGCTCAAGGATACCTCCATGGTAACGAAGAGAGAGCTGGGAGGCGACTGCGAGGGACAATCAGACGCATTGCTGACTCCTGATGCTCACTCCAAGATGCTAAGGCTTTATGCATATTCAGAATGAAAAGCGTACTTTACGCTATACGGGCGCGAACCAGTGCACGCACATGATGTGTCCCTCCAACCGGGGCTCTGTAAATAGGTCACAAAGTGCCCTCTATTGTTCATACACGGAGCAAAGAGATTCAACCTTGTCCAATCAGAACTCACCATAGAATTTGTACAGGACTATGTCCTGCCAATCTTTCCAATCCTCGCAGACGATGCGCACAGATTCCCCCAACGTTATGTTCTGCGGATGCACTGTGCAGCTGCCACTGACTGGGGGTTGGTTTAACTGGATCTTCATGCTAGCATAACCCTCTCCACGTTGGGTGTTAGTGGCATGGGCGGTGACCTCGAAGACAGAGAACTGAGGAAAAGCTGAGAAGAAGTCACTCTTGATGTACAGATACTCGGAGCCTCCTGCAAATATTCAAGAAACAGTACAAGGGCAGTTTTACGGGAAAGGTTGTACACAAAGTCTTAATACTGGGGTCACAAAATGAACATCGTTCAAGGGACGATTAATGAATTTTGTTTTTTCAAAGAATGGACCCTGAGATAATTACCTACCTACCTGGATAACTTTTAGGGCTTAAAGGGAAGATACAACATTTGCAAACATAAAAAAACTAAATGATCAAATTATCACAAAATGTCTTACTGGATTGTTAGGAAATGACAGTCTAAAGCATCCAGTAAAGTTGTGGCTCCTGGTGTGCTGACATTTTCAAGAAAAACTGTATTTTACCAGCGCTGGTCGGCCGACCAGCGTTGGAGAAAACTGGCTCTTTTCAAAAAATGTTCCTCCTTTTTCATATTTACTTCGTCTGCATTTTCTTTGCAATTGATTACACACCTTTGAAGACTACAAGCCTACTAGACTGATTCTCTGATCTTACATTTCCCTAAAGTCTATAAATTGCTCCATTTCATCTTAAGTGGGGTCAGGGAACCAGACTACGAGAACATGATTGGTTTTCTTGGTTTTTCCAGCATCTACGAAACCAAAACGTGAAACAAGTCAGTGTAACAATATTTGCTATAACATATTAATCCTCCAAATCCATTTATTTCTGAAAATTGAAGCAAAAACAAATGTACATTCCCTTTAACCATAAAGACAAAATCGATATTTTGTTTTACCTTACTCTTCACTAGCAGCTCTTTTAAACATCAATATACTATCTATTATTAATAGGTATTATGTGTAATCAAGCATTTCATAACAATAAAGCTACAGTCCAGTCCATCATTTTCACCTTTCCAAAAAGTAACTGACGAAATTACTGTTGAAAAGCATACTTGGTTTATTAAAGGGAATATACAACATTTGCAAACATCGAAAAATAAAACTACCAAGTTTTTACGAAATACCTTACTAGGATGTTGGTAAATGACAGTCACAAGCATTCTGTAAAATTACGGCACCTGGTGTGAAGTCATTTTCAAGAAAATGGTATTTTTGTATACATTTCCAACGGTGATCGGCCGACCACCGTTGGAAAAACCTAACTATTGTTCAACTACTGCTCCATATTTACCATTTGTTTCAGTTCAAATTGTGTTTGCTATTGGTTACATGTTCATGAATGGGTGCAGGCCAGCTAGACTGGTTCCCTTACCTTACAATTTTCCGGCATCTATAAATTGATCCATTTCATCTTTAGTGGAGTCAGGGAACCAGACTACTTGAACATTTTTGTTTTTCTTGGTTTTTTCGAGCATTTTCGGACACAAAACTTCAAACGTCTGTGTAACAATATTTTGATCTATTATACTAACCCCTCAACTAGTTCATTTCTGAAAATTACAGTGAAAGCCAATGATGTACATTCCCTTTAAGATAGTAATGGGACTAAACTCCTTGTGAAATAAGTCTTTCTGGCAAGCTGTCGTTTTGAAGAAAAAAATGAAAGAAGGCTGTTTCCAACGATGCGTCCGAAGGCGCATTCTTGGAAATTTCCGTTAGTAGGTGTTTTTTATTCATCGAAGCGAGCATTGACACGATGAACATGCGCACGCAGTAGCTTTAATTCGTCAGTTAAGCGTGCGACATCGCGTAGCTGCAATCGGCTGAATGAAAACGTGTCCCGGACACTGAATTCGGGCGCAATGCAAAACATGACTTGGCAACTTTTGATTTGAAATCGAGATCCTAGAATACTGGATCTTAGAATATACACTAGCACTGAGCTGAAACTTCATCAGGTTAGTTGTTCAGCACCCTCCTTTAGAGTTTGAGCACTTTACCTTTTAACATTTAATCTTGTGGGGGCAGACCGAGTACAAGCTTCGGCCTGTTATCTGACCTTCCAATGTCATTATTCTAAGTCCTGTTTTTGTTTTTTTTCCTGAAATTTAATGACTTTATAATAAAGATGTGCATCGCAACCAGGTACCCGAGTACCCGATCACTGATGTCAGGAACTGGTTCCAGATTATTGGATCAGGTACCCGTAACTAACCAACTTTACAAATTACTCAGTAACTTCTCAGACAAGAAAAAAGCAATGTTTTGAATGCATCTGTGGGTACTTCTCTAAATGAAAACCAAGCTACATGGAAAACCAAGACAGATTTCATGCTTATGTGCATTTTAATGCGCAACAGGTGCTCATGAAAGTTGCACACCGTATTAAAGCTATAAAGCCCTTCAGACAAATTCTGGGAATTCAATTTTGGGGTTGGGTTTGCTTTGCGGGTACCTGGGTACCCGTATTTTACTTCAATAGGGTGCCCGGTTCCCGTACTACCACTATTAAAGGGAATAACAGTGTGAGGAGCCGGTCTTCACTGCGTGATAATGACCGGGTGTGGGGGTGACCGCTGTTAATGGACCGAGACGAGCCGGTCTTCACTGCGTGATAATGACCGGGTGTGGGGGTGACCGCTGTTATTCGTCTCGGTCCATTAACAGCGGTCACCCCCACACCCGGTCATTATCACGCAATGAAGACCGGATCCTCACACTGTTATTCCCATTAATAAATACCTTTATAACGAAATAAACAGTTAAAATGCTCCAATTTTGTGACTTTTTTTCCGGCGATATTTCCAGACTTTTTTGTGTTCATGTTCATGGGCCATATTTTAGCTTAACAGCTATAATGACGTAAACTCAACAGAAACTGCTGCCGTAGTGAAACAAATTACAACAATGTTTTCATATCTTTACCTGATGGAGGAAGCTGAAATCTCGTTTACACATTCCTTGTGTCCGGAATTACAAAGATGCTTGGTTTAGGAAAGGTAAATATGTCGGTGGGTGAAGTGTTTCAAAGAAAATAAATCGTAGATCTATGCTTTCGTCGTAAACATCCTCAGTATATACTGCACTGCTGTACGATGTCGTTTCAAAACTTCCTTTACGTGCGCGCACGCACGCATCCCTAGCAACTGTGTTGCGTACGCGTGCGTCAGTCTCATGCGATGGGGGTTGAGCGCATGTGCAGTGCTCTATTGTTACAAGCTACCGCGGGACTGTTACTATATTTTGACCAATCATTGGCTTGCATGGGGCTGAACGGGGCTGGATCAATGCTGGTTCACGGGCCATTTATTCGCTTGATCTTTGAAGCCGGTCCATTATCACCATTAATGACCGGCCACGTGATCGAGTCTCGACCAATCAGAGACCATCAACTCTCCAAGGTATTTATTAATACTTTTTAATATATGAAAATAAACTTGAAACCAGAAACATAAAAACAATAAATCTGGGTTGGGTTTTTGACTCACCAGAAGTCCACTGCTGCCAATCCATTAGATTGGAGGGATAGTTAGAATTATTCAAGCCCTGTACCACCCATGAGTAGCGCACACCATTGCAGAATTCACTGCATGAGGCCGTCAATCGGACGCTGCCTGTGGGGTTGACGATCTGGGCACCATTGCCAGGAGTGAAGATGGTACCACGACCAATACTACCCACAAAATGGAGACAAAAGTTACATTCTTATATAAAATGCAAATTGTTTTTCATTTTGCTCCACTTCTGCCTAAACTATTGGGAGAATAGCTATACATTGATGTTATCAATTGATTTGTCTCAATCTCAAATTGACTCGACAGATTTGTACCATGCAGTCAAGTTCACAAGAAATCAAGTCAATCAGCAAAATCCAAGTTTCGCGTGAGCAATTAATTGCGGGCCAGAATTTTGGGTAAACAAACCCATGTGATGCTGAAAGCTGGCCGTCTATTGGACTAGGATTGCACGACGGTTGTCTTTATAAAAAAAAATGCACTGTTGATGTGAGTGGGTACATGCTCGAGCAAAATTGGGCTTATACACACAGATAAAAACATCAATAAGAGGTCTCAGCCAGCGAGTTATTAAAGGCATGTAGAAACATTGGTAAACACGCAGAAATTGGGCCTACTAACAATGGGGGAGCTCTACAGGAAATCTACATGTAGTTTGTAATTACTACGGACTCATGAATATGTACATCACTGACTGGTACCCCGCAATCCCCGTCCGTGCGTACCTTATGGCAGCTTGCGGTGGGTCGCCCTCTTTTAGTTCCAGTATCAGGCTGAAGTTGCCGCTCCTGATGTCCTTCTTAATGATGACTAAGAGCTCGTAGCGTACCCCCGTCTCCATCAAGGAGGTATTCCAGCTTAGAGTTGGCAAACTTGAGTTCAGGCGGCCAGGTCCTGCGACGAATACAATAGGCCAATTCTATTAGGCTCCACCCACCAGGGTTGTTTGAAACAAATCATTAGATTTAAATCAAGATTGAAATCACTTGAGAAAAAAAAATAAAAAATGTTTTTCTGCACTCAAGAATCCCTGTCTGGGTTAGGGTTAAATGCATCTGACAAACTTTCCGAGGTAGTTTCCCGGTATTCTAGCAGAAAAATTCCAAGTTTCTCAAAGATCTTGAGAGGCTCCGCGGAGCAGCAAATCACAGTTCTTGTGCCATCTTGGTCTTACCAGTGCCAAAACAGCCTCCATCATTTGCCTCATCTGTGCCATTGCCAGGATCTTCCCTCATTTCAGGAATATCAATGTAGATATCCTTGGAGGGATACTTCTCGCCAATTCGACGACAGAAATACAGGATTTTCTCAAAGCCCTGGAGGATACAGAGTAAAAAAAAAGTTGATCACTCTAATTTTGTTTCCGTATGTCATAAAATCTGTAAGGTTAAGTTGAGCTACAGTTTTTAAACTTGTCAGTTTTTAAACTTTTTTTAATGTCCTTTTCATTGTATGTCTTATTGGATTTTATTAAATAATGAAAGGTTTGTGGAAACACCATGTGCGAATAATTTCTCAACTAAGAGTATGGTTCTGAAAAGAACCAGAGGTATAAACTCGACGTTCCGGTCAGTATACTCTGACCGTCTTTAGGAGAGTGCCTTAACTCTAAGCAAGTAAGTGTGAAGTTGCATCCTGTGTGGATGCCAAGTAGCTGGGATCCTAGAGCAAGCTAGGTGTGCCCACTGAAGTGGAGCAGTAGGGTTGCAGTCTCAGTAGAGGGAGGACCTAGGGTATAGGAGACCCATCAGTCTGAAGGAGTGGGAGCCAGATGTCGTTGAGGTGAAACCCGATGTCTTGCGGAACTGTGTTGTGCTTGCGGATCTCGATGGCTTCCCGTATGCGTCTTCAATGCCAGAACTGGATCGGTGCGATGACTTCCGCTGCATCCCAATCAACTTTGTGGTCGTTGATGTGGGAATGTTTGACAATGGCCGATTTGTCAAAATACCCTCGCCGTCCATGTGCTGGATTTTATTATTTTTTCAATGCAAATTCCCGATAGACATTATTATGTTAGTGTAAAAACAAATATATAAGAAAACTGACCTGAACCTCTTCTTCATCAGGCACATCAGGATCTTTGGATACTTTCCCCGGGATAAGATCTAGCATACTTCCCCATCCTTTAACAGTAGACGTCATCTGACCGTCAATGAGCGCTACGACAAGCTGTGAGCGCTGTACATCGATGTAGTCATAACCGATGGAAGAAAACTCCAAGCCATCTGTCAGAGTTCTGTTCATGGTGACTTTGTAGCCTAGACGATACAGACCGATTTCCAGAGTAAAGGCTGGAATGAGCAGGGTGGATTCTTTCGTGGTGAGCTTCATCGTTGCTTCCAATTGGATACCAGTTTGCGGATCGAGTCGTTCTAGAAACCATTCCTTCGAGTTATCCGTGAACCAACAGTCAAGTTTGGTGATGCCTTGAAAGGCAAGGCGATCCTTGCGAACGACCACCCTAGGCAACCACCAGCCCGGTTTGCTGTCTTGTATGCTCACCGTCGGTAACCCACAGTACTTCTTAGCTTCCGATACTGGGATGAGGATAGTTGCGTTGTCGGTGGACAGTGTGTTCCAACCCATGGCTTGGACTTCATACGAGGTTTGCTCTGGGTACACATGCCGCAAACCGATTGGCGGTGTGAAATTGCCGCGACGGTTTGAATGGCCACCGCACGTTCCATAGGCTTCATTGGTAGTGCCGTCACCAAAATCCACGACCACACAGGAATTTGATCCCTCATCAGTCACGGTGATGTTCAAATATCTCGTCTCATTGACGCGGGATACACCCAGATCCAATATACGAACCCCACGGATTGGCTGTAACGTCTTGATAGTGGTTCTGATATTAATAGTAGGCGTGACAGGGTTACTGGCAGAAATAACAACATTAAATTCACCAACCTGAACACACAAAAGAAATAAAAATACAATGAATTCTAAAATATAAAAATTTTTAAGTTGGTTTTGCTGGCAGGCTTGTCCTGAACACTATTATAGCTTTTTATGAGTGAGGGTTTATAATCTTTGAATGGTGTTTACACAGCAGTGATCTAAAATCCAACCAAACGGTGAGATTATGGGAAAATAGAAGGGAAAAAACACAAAATAAATAAGATTAAAATACCCATTTTCTTCTGTTCTATTAAATTATAGATTAAACAAAATATTTGCGGTATAGCATCAGGTATTCAATATTGTTTAAAAATCCTGAAATTAGAACAAAAATTGTCACAAAATATCCTGAAAGCAGTAAAAAAAAATCCTAACAAATGTTACCCTAACAACCAACCTTTCCATCAAAATCCTGTCTTTTAGAGTTTTTTGTAGGATTGAGGAAGGTAGTGGGTTCAATGAATCTTTTAAGTAATGGGCACTTGATGTGCCACTTTGCTCTCGCCCATTGGAGGATTTTTTTGTGATTCCTGAACATTCTAAGCAAAACTGAACAGACAAATATCTTATATTTGGTATTTCCTGTCACCACTGTATACTCAGCTGGCGATAAAAATTAACAAGCTTACTCGGGTGCGACTCAAACACACGTTCTCCCGCTTGCAAGTGCAAACTTCTTGCCACTCGACAACCGAGCGTCGTAGCAGGGAAAACCTCACTATAAAAACCTTGCCCTCCCCAATACACAGGCACTGATTCCAAAATAATGTGCAATAAACTGTGCATACGACCAGCATGATGATCAAACCATGCGCATTTCTAGGCAACAGTGTGCATGTACCCTTTACACAGTACTGGAACGAAGTTTAGCCCAAATATTTTTTTTTAAACATCGTACGTCTAACCGTAAACAGTATTATAAACCAGAATGAACTCAATACTGGAATTTTGCCCTTCACGGATGTATTGTAGTTTATTTTGTTTATTATAAACATGTGTGATTGTGAGAAAAATCACTCGGGTTCGAGTCCCAAGAGATTTTTTTTTCTCACAATCGCTCGAGACAATACTGAGTATACAGTGTTTATAGCCAACAAAAAAATTGTTGGCGAAGGGCAAAACCAAATATTGAATTTACATCACCCTGGCGCAAATTCCATCTGATGAAATGAACTCACCGAGCGAAACAAATGATCAAACGGTGTCTCTTCATGTGAATAATTGCCCAATGATGATCCATCATCAAAATCCACCAGGTACTTCACTTCAGAACCTGGCACCAGAAAATACAAAGGAAGCATTTTAAGACTCAGATAAAGATTTCTTGAGTAACACTCCTGCTATTTAAACAGTCACAGACAGTCACAACTCACTGCCACTTCCCCTGCTATACTGTTAACAAAGGCTAGTCACCAGCAGTCAGATCATATGTCAAGCAAGCACTTTGTCTAGTCAAACTTGATCAAGAGCCCTAATCAATGTTTAATTATGTTTAATTATTATCCGGGTTGTTCATAGTGCAGATTTTTTGATTGAATTGTTAATAGTGTGGATTTATTGCTAGGCACGTACATATAGATACTGGATGCTGATACTGACCGTAGATATTGGATTGTAGATATTGAATTGGAAGTTTGAATCGGTCAGTTGTATTTGCTGTGAACAACGGAAAGTAGATTGCTAGATATTTTAAACAGTGAATTTACTTACCTGCTTTATATAATTCCATTGCATAAACTGAATTGATATTTTGAGGTGGTTTCATATGTACCTACATGTACATGTATAAGCTGACTATTAATACGATTTCATAACGAAGATTGCCCCTTGACATTTCTGAACGTACGATTTTGATGTTGTGTAAATTTGTCAAATAAATTTGTAAGAGTAATTTGTAAATATAAAGGATATAGTTCATTTCAATTATTGTGAGAGTCCCGGCAAATGTGACACTGTGTATGCCAAATTATCTTAAAATGTAAACGAGCTCTACTTGAAAGCCCAATTATCCATGCACTCACCTGATAAGAAGCTCATTTCGAAAACTACTGGCCTATCAAGAGGAAAGGTGTCTTCCAGTACGCCGTGGCCTTTAGTAGCGTAGGAGCTAGCCGATTGCGAGGGCTTGTATTGAGCAAAGCTTTTCACTCCCTGCAGGCGCTCATAAACTGAAACCTGATGGACACATCCAAATCAAATATTATACACACACAACAAACAATTGAAACAAAAATAAAGCTAAAAGGCATTTGTTCAGTTACAATCGCAGGGTGATCGGGCAGGCAACTATTTCATTGGACATTTCCCACTTCAGTTGTGATACTTTTTTATGTCAGAACAGACAAAGAATCATGACATTCAGCCCTTTACAGTGGTACCTGCTGTTTTAATTTGAAATAAATGCAGCCTTTTGAGTTAAATAAATTTCATTTTACTTTATTTTACATGCACACCTTACTTCCGGTTTATGACGTCATCAGTTAAAAATGTGCAAGCTGAATATTGATTTTAGTTCAGACAGGAAACACATTCAAAGAACTTCTGAAAATATTACAATGAATGTTAAGTGTTTATATTGATAACAACTAAATTCCGCTTTAATGACGTCACAGCATTAAAAAGCCCTAGGTAACATTGTAGTTGATTTATATTTGTGCTACGACATGGAGCAAATGATGGATTTAAATTACAAAAAAAACAAAAAAAAGATTTTTAAACTCTCCCTACAATAACTGCTTCCCAACAAAAGGGGGCAAGTCAAAGCCTTGTTAAAGTCAATAAACCATTTCCAACTTTCTTCATCAAAAGTAGGTTTTTAACGTTAACACTCAATATTGCCCTTTACGGACGTATAACCTCCAGAGTCAAAGTTGGAAAAAATCATTTGGGTGGGACTCGAACCCACGACCTCCTGCTTTCTAGTTCAGCCATTTTACCACTCGACCACCGAGCTTGCAGGAGCGGTTGGCTGCACGAATCCGATGTACATTTAGTAAGGAGTACCACAATTAAACTATTCATAAGTCGGTGAACAGCAAAACCTAACATCGTTTTACATCACCCTGACGCAAAATTCCATCTCATACAGTTTGTACACAAGTACAGTTTCATATGCTACAAATCTGTATGCGTCTGTACATCCACTGATCTTAATTTGTACAGAGAGCATGGATGTAGTCAAGTCCATCACAAGTCCATCACGTCCATCACAAGTCCATCACAAGTCCAGTCACAAGTCCATCACAAGTCCAGTCGTAACTAAATCACAAGTCCATCACAAGTCCATCACAAGTCCATCACAAGTCCAGTCACAAGTCCATCACAAGTCCATCACAAGTCCATCACAAGTCCATCACAAGTCCATCACAAGTCCAGTCGTAACTAAATCACAAGTCCATCACAAGTCCATCACAAGTCCATCACAAGTCCAGTCACAAGTCCATCACAAGTCCATCACAAGTCCATCACAAGTCCAGTCACAAGTCCATCACAAGTCCAGTCACAAGTCCAGTCACAAGTAACAGTGGATGAACAATAACAAAGGAATGCCTTTGTCAAAGCTCATTCGAATAGCTTGTGAGTTGAATTGGGACTGGAGAACTTGTGATGGACTTGCCTGAACTAGTGATGGACTCGAGCACATCCCTGACAGAGAGTTCAAGAGCTGTTTTTGCAGACCTGTTTTGTCCACTTACCTTAATTTCGTACGTCTCCTCACTGACCAAATTAAAGATAGTGACGCTGAGGGTGTAGAACCCATGATCGGTGAAATCAATGTCCTGACTAATCATCTGGTTATGTGCAGTCAATGTTGAGAGGTCAACGGTGACAGCTTGAGGACAGGTGATCAGGGTCAGGCATGTGATGGTAGCTTGAGGGTTGGTTGCCAAGGGATCAGCGGGGGGAGGATTAGTTACTGTTATGACCAGATCGGCAGCGGTGGCTGGGGAAGCAACCAATCAAATTTAAAGAAAATGCTGCATTTGAAAATTACATCACTATTCATTAGCATTTACTCCACTACAATGTAAGTCAAACAGAATGCTTCAGTGATTATTTCTCTTACTTTGTTATCAAAATGCTATCGAAATGTGCTCAATCCTCGACTTTAAAAATGCATGGGCATTGTACGAAAGCAAGTGCTCCCTCAAAAATACTCCAAACTTTGTTTAATGAATTAGTTTTTCAGAAATACGAGTAATTCTTATTTTCTTCCTCTGGGTATTAAATACATGTACCTACCATTTCCGTTGCCTTCCACGACCTGAGGACTTGCCATCGTGACCAGGAAGTGCTGAAGTTGAACGGGATTCTGGACTTGGATGGTAACGACTATGGTCTCATTGCTGATCAGATTACTGGCCACGATGTTGACCTCATAGGTACCGGCAGTAGTGTAGGAATGGGTCTGGTTGATTGGCACTGTTTGAACAAAAAGAGACAATTTACATTGTCTGCAGCCAAGAATTCAAAATTGTAAAAGAATAATTTGATTACTAAACATGGGCCGATCTATTTTCAGTCTTTGCGTTTTCAAAAGTGAATTAACTTTTCTATTACTAGAAAAATAGCAACTTAGAAAGGAAATCTATCTTTCGGGATAAAACTCAAAAACAGCATGGGGTCTGCATCGTCAAAAATGTAAATACCTGAGTCTAGGGTATAGAAATCATCCTGTTCTCCATCACCCCAGTCTAAGGTGTAGGAGATATGACTGCCGTTCATCACTGAGATTTCTAAGAAAACCTCCTCATGTGGCCGGACGCCTTCCTTGAAATCCTCACATTGTAATCCTAGAAATGCAAGAAATCAGAGATGCTTGTTAATCATAAGGAATATGGTATTGAAGATTTTCCTGTGCAATTAGTAGTTGCAATAAACTATGCATTAACCCTAACCCTCCACAGTATTTTGGCTAGAAACCCTGCCAAACGCAGCAGCATGCAACACTTGTCTAAGTGACAAGCCTGCACAGTGCAGCAAAATCCATCAGGTCAATAGTCTCAAGGCCAAACTACCTCAGAGTCTGTGGTCACCGCATGCAGCAGGATACAACTGAGGCATTGTTCAATGGGACTAGCTCTCATTGTTTCAGAACTGGCCGTTTATGCACTGGTGTTGATGGCTGAATGCATCAAAGTGCACCAGACTTTTCCACCTGATGCACTGTGCTGCGTCTGGCAGGGTTAGGGTAATAAGTTGCTCTCTCTCCCAAATGATGTTTTAATGAAGGTGTTTAAAAATAAGGTAGTGTCCTGACATTTTGCCGCTGTGGCTGGGTTCGAATACCAGCCAAGCCGACATGTGGAATATTGGATTCATTACATTTCAACTTCTTTCTGATGCTGTGGGATGCCCCAGAATATTTGCCATTTTTTGACTGACCTCCTACTTGTCCGATCTGAAAAAAAACTAAGCACTTTTTCCCTGTCATGCCTCTAAAATATTTCATCAGGCTTTCGAGCTAGGGCTGTGCATCAGAACCAGGTACCCGACCGCTGATGTCAGGAACTGGTTCCAGATTATGGAATCGGGTACCTGTAACCAACTTTGCAAATTACTTAGTGACTAGTCAGACAATAAAAAAAAAAGGGGTAAACTGTTTGCTTACCGATGATTGTAATTTGGGCCGATACATTTGCCCTGTCGACATCACCACCTGGGGTTATGGTGTTGGTCACTGTAGCCGCAACATCAAAATCTCCCATACTGTTCAATGTTAGCTGTGGTCGGCTGATTAGTGGTGCTACAACGATAGCCCTCACTAGGTGCCGGGCAGAATCCAGCTGGAAACTACTGACTGGCAAATCGCTACCGGTCGTGAGAGTCGTAGGATTAATTGTCGATTTGTATTCGAGGGGAACGGTGGTGTTCAGCTCTGGGTCTGTCTGTGTGGCAATGCTTGCCCCACCTGCTGAGAAGGCTACCCCAAGGACGTAGCCCACATCTAAGGTGAAGAGCTCGCACAGGGTGTCGCTGAAGTTGTACCGGAACAGTCCGGGGGACGAAACCTCCATAGGGAGAAGGTGGACAACCTCGTACCCAGGTCTCTGTGGGTCGATGGCGTCAGTGTCAAACCTGACAGGCTTGGCTGGGCAAGAGGTTGGTCCCCCTGACGCAGCCGAACACCCACCCTTCGCGATGCAGTACAGACGGGTCGTGGTGGCATTGCTGGTACAAGTATCCTGGGTGAGGGGGTTACTATGACGAGATGCGTCATAGTTACACTGAGAGTCTGATCGGCAGAGGTTATCAGTGGCACAGTAAACACCAGTTGGACATTTGGGTTTCAAAACCTGCACATGAACAAATGAACAAATGCTGTAATCATATCCACATTATGTAGCAGTCAATGTGTACACAGTTGAAGGGTACATGCATCAAGAACATTTTGAAGTGTTTTTGAAGAGTTTTTCTTTCTCATGTTTGTTTTTAGCAAAGGCTACCATTATCGTAAAGCTCCGGTGCCAGGAGAAACGCATCACATGCCACACTGGTTACATGTACTTTGCCCTGATTGTGCACAGACCCATGGCATATTTGCATGAGTTCTGTCAGTAACATGATTGAGAGTCCCCCGGAAAAAAATATGTCCTAGCACCAGCAGCCTGCCCCAATGTTGCATCCTCACGGCACTTTGTTTCATATCTCAATGAAGGTCAGTCATTGCAAAAATGTTAAAAAGAAATGAATCTAGCTTGGCCTGAGAAACATTTATAATTTTGCTAGGAAATACCATGGAGGAATACTTAGTCCGAAAATTTGGGACTCTCAATACTGTGTATGAGAGTCCCAAAACTTAAGGTATTGAAAACGTGCAAAACAAGAAAATAGACTGGCACCTAAAACAACCAGTCCAACACAGCTTCAGTACTGCATCAATCAACCATGCCAAAAGAATTTAGGAAACATGTGGCATGAAGCGGGAACTAGTCTCAATTTACTACACATCTCCATAGTCAAGCCACCAGACTATTGACACTGAATGAAGAGGTCAGTCTTTTCAAATAGTTGGACCATGGTTGGACATGTACCAGTCTAGTCTTTAGCCTCATGTTGAAATCACTTGATTTCCCTCTCATATGTGCAAAAAAATTGCAGAAAAGTCTCCTTTAACAATTGAATTCAGTCTGCAAACTTGGTTAAAGAAATACTGTAGACATTTTCTTTGCTCCAGTGGAATTTTTGGAGAAATATGCTGGCTAAACTGTGAGTAAAGTGGGCCTGATTTAGTTTTGCACGTTTCAGGGCACTCCAGAGCCCTGTCTGGGAAATACTTAGAAAATGCAAATGACTCTTCATATACTACACTGTATGGAGAGTGTATCAATTGTATAATAGACTTGTAGTTAGTCTGCAAAAATCCCTGGGCAAACAACACACCAACTTGAGAGATTTCAGGCAATGAGAAGAAATTACAGTTCTAGAGGTGGGAGGAAAAGCCCAGAAGAATATTCTGGGAAAAACTCACGGAATCGGAAAGTACCACTACGCCAACCTGACTTGTGCAAATAAGTGGCATAATTTGGCAAGTTTGGATTCTTTCCCAATTTTTTTTTCACTTTTGAGTCTTTATTATATAACTGAAGACAGCAATGCTCATTTCTGGCAAGACCATTATGGAAAGATTCTAATAGGCTATCTGGCCATCTAATTTCTCCTTAACTTAAGTTCGGGGACCTAGTAATCATCAGAAAGTGATTTGTCCTAAAAAGTCAAATTTAGCAAGGAAAATATTGAACATGTTGAAGTATTTATTGAGAAAAGACTTAGAAATGTTCAGACCATTCTCATAGGCCCTACACAGTTTGTGTAAAGGGTGACAAGTTATGGCCAGATCTAGACACATTCATTATCAATCGTCAGACCCGGGCCTAAACTAAATCATGATGAGAGGCCTAGGTCCCTATTAGCCTAATCCGCCTATGTTTAAGTATTTTGACGCACTCGCATTCAATTTGGGAGTAATTGCAGAATACCCCGCCACTCGGAAATACACCCCTAAAATCACTGGCTACGAGGTTGGAATTACTGGAAAAGAAACAATTCAAGTCCATTGCCAGCTACGCGGATACTGAGTGGGGGTCCATTATTTGAGAACGAAGCAACACAAAATGAATGGGCGTTGCTGAAAAAAACCAACTACCCTGTTGGCGGCTACGCGGTTACGAAGTGGGAGTGCAATGAAGCATGACGCATAGTATACAAGTAGCGCTGAGAATGTTTATTGAGGTCAATCAACCGTGACCTCGTAGCCGCTACGAGGTGGACATCAGGACATGGTGGATAGTAGCTCTACTGAGTGGAGCGTTGAATTACGGGTACCCCTCCATACAAACGCTCCACCGATTTGCCATACTTTGGTAGCACCATACACGGTCGTCATGACGGTATGCATTTTGTGCATGCCCTCGCGAGGACAAGGCCAAAAAAAACTGATAAAGAAAATACAAATGAGGAAGGCAGTAACCCTGGATAGATCCACACATTCATGACATTCCATATGACCCCTCAAATTGTTTCAAACAACCGGTCATTTTGAAAAAAGAACAAAATAGTCTGAACTTACCGCTCACAATTAAATGTGTCTGCCGAGTTGCACAGTCTATTTCACTGACATGACTGATGCATAATTCATTGCGCGCGTGTGTGACGTCACTATTGAAGAAAAACAAGTTGCGCTTACTCAATAGCTGTTTTATGTAGTCATATGTGCCCCGCGCCGTCTGACTGTGGGTTTTTGGTGCGGGGCACATATCAGTACATGAAACAGTCATTGATTAAGCGCGACTTGTTTTTCTTCAATAGTGACGTCACACACGCGCGCAATGAATTATGCATCAGTCATGTCAGTGAAATAGACTGTGCAACTCGGCAGACACATTTAATTGTGAGCGGTAAATTCAGACTATTTTGTTCTTTTTTCAAAATGACCGGTTGTTCGAAACAATTTGAGGGGTCATATGGAATGTCATGAATGTGTGGATCTATCCAGGGTTACTGTCTTCCTCATTTGTATTTTCTTTATCAGTTTTTTTTGGCCTTGTCCTCGCGAGGGCATGCACAAAATGCATACCGTCATGACAACCGTGTAATGGTGCTACCAAAGTATGGCAAATCGGTGGAGCGTTTGTATGGAGGGGTACCCGTAATTCAACGCTCCACTCAGTAGAGCTAGGTGGATAGATCGAGTGGCAGGGTATTCTGCAATTGTGCCTCAATTTGCGTTGGACAATGCGCGTGCATTGCAAGCGTTACCTGCGCCAATTATGCATGATGACAAGGATATATTTGGGAAGCTTTCCTTTATAATTCTCATTCATGCAAGCGCCCTCAACGGTCAAGAGGGTGACAGTTGTCTGTTGAGTTGACCGACACAGAAGGCGGCAGGTCCTACATGTAGTCCTACCCATTTTCGTCGATGTCTATCAAGTGGAATTTCAATCCTTCTAAAAAAAAACTGTCACCATTTTAACCCCCATTTTGAAAAGAAACCTTAAATATTTACCAGAATGGTGAACGTTCCGCTCCCAACATCTGAAATCAGCGCCTCTATTGCCAGCAGTCTGGTTCTCTGCAAGGATTCTGTCGATGGTAATATCCACGTGGTAGTTTCTGCAGTAGTCTGGGAACCGTTCAGGCCTATCGCACCGTGCAAAGTGAATGTGGTACCTACGGAAGCCCAAAATGGACGCGATGACAGTTAAGTTGTCGCTTAGCATTTCCCTTTCTGACTTTTATTTGTGTCTGTGAAGTGATGAATGTGCGAGCACTTTGTCATACTTTATCAATATATTGAAATGTTTCACATTCGCCATGACCTGGGTGGGTGGCGTGTGCAGTGGTAGTGGTGGAGGAGGGGGAGGGGCCAAGGGAAAGAAGTTAAGGAGGGTATACAGAGGTTGACACGAATTGTTGATCTGAACTCTAAAGTTTCTAACTAAAAAAAAGAAAAAAGAACTGTATGGGCTGAGCAATTGAGATGATTGAGATCATGCCAGTTCATGCAGTTTTCATCGTAAAGAGTTTCCCTCTCTGTTCTCTTCAACAAATTATTGCACTAGAGTGCCCTTTGGGCAAGTCTCCGTCAGAGCATGGAGGTGTTTTCCTCCATGGTCAGTGTTTGACACGCACGAGTAGACACTTGTATTGGGCGTTCATTGAATTTTAATAGCAAAGCTTTTCCTCGTTGAGGGCGCTCTGTTCAAGGGCTCAAAAAAAATTGTTCATGCGAGTATTTGACACTACAGGAATCTTCGTAAACTTCGGTTTAGGAATGGCGGCAAAACAACTTGAAGCCATATGCTGCTAAGCGCCAAAAAGATGCACTGTGAAAAAAATGGGATGACCAAATCGGAACTTGGCCTCTTGTAATAAGAAAAAAATGGAAGTTTGGAAAATACCTCGTGCCTCCATATAATTATATTTACGCGGTTGTTAATAGAATTCAAGTGGTGGAGTATGAAAACGCGCACCCACTGTCTGTAATGGACATTTGCAAACAAAACCCTGTTTTGCCGATTCGAGAAACAACAATACAATCAATCTGACGCAGTCCATTAAAATTAACCTGCAACATGTTGAAATTTCAGCGCAGTAGATATAAACTTTTTGAGACAACTGTAAAAAATCATCTCCATTTTTCTCGACACAAAACATATAGTAGGTTTCCTTTGAAAGCGTGATGGTCTGGTCCCTATTTTGCTACTAAAGCATCCCGAGAAAATGATGGTAATTGCTCCTTTCTCGAGAATGACAGCACACTGGGCGCAATGATTTCCCAGGATGCATATGATTCTATTATGTACTTACGATAATGTAAGATATGATATGAATCATATGATATTTTGACAGCCATTTGTGAATTTTAGCAAATAGTGTCCATTACCTTCAATAAAACTAGAGGTAAAAAATACTATCTGTTAGGCCAAAAAACAAATTAAGTTGGTCTCTGGTCATCGCGCGCGTCGATTTTAATCATGCGCGTCAATCTTTTTTGTTCCCAAAATGTTCCGCGGTAGCTCCAACAGCGCCCTCTATTGCCGCACCTCCTCATTTTTTTGTACCAAAGAGCACCAAGGAATGGGAATTTGCACCAAGGCAAATGATCGAGAGCACCAAGGCAAATTATGGAGGACACCAATGTACATGAAGACACCAAAAAAGCAAAATAGTACCGCACCTTGTCTGTACAATTTAAGCTCGAAAAAAAGCCCCCCCCCACAACAAAAGCCGTGTCGTCAATTCTTGAACTATGGTCTGACCAGAGACCGATTTTTTTTTTTTGGCCTTATAGATTTACTTCCAAGAGGCAGAGGTGCCATGTCTGCATCGTTGATCGACATCGTCAACGTCACATCCGATCCCTGTATAACCTCCACAGTGCAGTCAAAAGGTTGTTCTATCGCCACAACAGCAGGGCACTGGAGACAAACGCCAGCCGTTTCCATGACAACGGTGATCGGAACCGCATCGTGTGCAACGAGCTGTGACAGGTGCAACAATAGGATGATTACTGATGCGAGAAATGAAGCTTTAAGGCAAGTTTTGTGCGTGGGGAAAGGTGGCTTTCCCGGCCAACTCAATATTAAAACGCTTATAATACGGTGATCACAAATGAACCATGCATGTGCCACATTTGAAAGTCCTTAACCATGCTCCAGAATTTTCAGTTTGTATGTTTCTTTACACGGAATATTTAATGTGCTCTATTTTTTTCTATTTTAGACGTTTTTATCCTCTGAAATAATGTAGTTTTTTTTTTGGTTTTTTTTTGTTTTTTTAGCGCCCATGACTCACAAAAAGATACCCTACGTGAATTTTTCTCCAGTCTAAAATAAGTCGAGAATTGTACAGTAAATATTCCTTAACTAAACGTGGGCGGCTTTTTTTGTTCGATGTACGTCTCATTCAAAAGTGAAGAACTTTTGTATTGCTATAGAAAAAAAGCACTTTAGAAAGAAAATCTATTCTTCGGGGTTAGCACGCAGCAGAGCAACTTTATGCAAGAACAATAACCATTTTAATGATTTCGATGAATTTTCACGACCGAGAAAACAGTCTAAAAACAGCCGGGCTCATGTCCACCCTAATTTCCGTTTCAACATTACCGACACTTTTTATCAAAATTCGCGGATTGTGTTTGCTTGACGTATAGCCTGTTAGTTTCGCCAGTCCACTTTTCCTTTTTTTATGTGAACACTGGCTAATCTAGTCTTTTGAATTAAACCACTTGTTATCCGCGTGATCGATTGAACAGAGGTTGAGGTCAACGATTCTTTTAATTTAATAATAGAGGGCCTAATCATTACAATCAATTCAATATCGTTTCAAATAGGACGTTTTACACGTTTTTTTTTAGGGCAACGTACACGCTCTATTGCGCACGTTTTGACACCAATTTTAGGTTCTTCGTTTAGCTTGCATAATTTACAGGTAAATGGCAACGACAATATTACCGAACACATTCTAGTTCGACCGGAATTTTGGATACCATTTTCATTATTTTACATGTCAAACTTAGAATTTGCACCGGAGATCGGTTTATTCAGGGAAGGCGGGGGGGGGTGTCAGAATCCGCTCCTTCTCTTGAGAGAGGGCTCTCTTCTCAAAACATAACATATACTGCCTAGATGATCTTGGGTTTAATTATGAAGAAGAGGTTGTCAAGAAAATACTTAAAAACACAATTTTCCAGAATTTTCTGACAAGAGCACCAGGCCTGATGCGCAACATACTCGAAAAATACAGTTATTCGTTTTCTATTCGTATCCTTATCTTCATTGTTTGCAATTGAATATATATAATTTTAATGACATGAACTTTTCTTCGGAACATATTTTATGCAACCTTCTACTCCTCTTAAATTTATGAAAACTAGTTGACATCCCTTTCGGTTAATTTCATTCCCAAGTGCACTTCTTTAAACATCTAACAGTGTCCATGCTTTTGCAGACAACAGAGGGAGCTGTTGCTGTGATGTCATTTCAGGAAGACTATACAGTTTAGAGGTTTTCTGTTTAAATTGGGAACCCAAAAACGTGCTCATTGAAAACACACATGAGAAAAGTTTATTCATCGGCTGACTTATTTCCCTTGATGAATTGTCAACATGACTGTCATGTACTGACACAACATCGAATCACCAGAGAAAAGAAAATTTATAACAGCAAAATATCTAAAATTCTGGCAACTTTTGGTGCTGAAATAGCTGTAACACGGATGGTCTCTGCCTGAAATGACATCACACTGTTTGTCATGAATATGTCAATGTGCATAAGCAAAAAAACCAAAAAGACACCAAAGCAACCATGAAAATTGCTAAACAAATTGATAGGTTAAATTCCCCAAATTTTATTTCGAAGGAATGCATTAAACAAATTACATCGCATGGTTCGTTTAAACTTGTCATTCAAATTCGAACATCAGCCTACATGTATTATGATCATTTAAATGAGCCATTTGTGCTCTCTTTTTTTGGTGATTTGAGTTAGTCTACTGTCAAGTATCATTTTGTTTTACTTAGGAAGATAAATTATTAGGAAAAAAGGTGTTTTACTTACCAATAAGTCTCTTTGTCCCGTCGCCACAACAACGAAGTGTCCGCTGGTTGGATACACGTAACTGGTAGCCAAAGCAGTCTCCTCCCAAATGGTCAGGCTACCGTCACCAGGTTCGAATCCCAGCTTGGAACTGCTAGTGACATCACCGACACTAATACCTGTAACGGTAAGTTCGGTAGGCTTGCCAGCGATGACGGTGCCCGTTGGTTCAACCAGCTGAATGTTTGGTAGGTTGGACGGGATGGGGTCCACGGGGACCGCGACGTGGGTGTCGTTACCGCAGCTCTGTTGCTCATCACCGGGACAAGGGTCGCCACAGACCGGCGATGGATCTGTGAGATAGGCGGTGCTTGAACACAGACAGTGACCAGCCTGAGAGACGACAGAAAAACAATAATAGGATTTATAAACTTCTCAGGACTTCTCGAATTGTTCTAGCAAACAAAATGCTTGGACAAAAGCTAAACAATGAGTTACTTCATTAGTCCTATCGATCTTTTGCACTGCCATCTTGAAGGTATGTGCTTTTGTTCAACAGGGACATGCACGAGAAGAGCTCTTGTGCAATCATTGTTACAAATTTTAATGAATTAACATAACAAAACACACGTCAAAGATGACTACTGAATGCAATTGATCTATAAGTAATGAAAAGTGTATGGAAAATTGTATGGGTAGTTGGTAGGTCCTCTATTCCTCCATCGGTATTTGTACGGACGGAGTAGCGCTTTTCCTAGATACCCAGATTTGCTTCTGTAATGAAAAAGCTAAATAATAAGGATTTTAAACCTGCCTGCAATCCCGAGTAACTTTGCGACTGTATGTAACATGCGAAGATACAGTCTTCATGCTTGACATTGGTTGGGTCGTAATTCCCGCCAGATACCCGGAATTTCGGATTCGTTTTGTTCATCGGGTAGCATCCAATTTCTAAGACGGCTGATAGTTGAGATAAAAAAGAAAGGTTCAAATGGCTAAGCTGACGCAAAGTCACAGAAGCTGTAAAAATTGAGCTTTGAATTTAAACATTTTTGTACCCACATTTTACATGTTTAGCCTTTAGTCGTGTTTAGATGTATTGCACAGTTTCTGTTTGTGATCGTGACATCAGGAATAACTATAGGTATATATTTTGGGGTTCGTAATTTTAGACATTAATTTTGGTGATAAAAAAGACTGACCTCTTTAAACTTTTGTGTTTATATATGCTGAAAAAAAACAAGAAAAAAATGCTCTCATATATTTCTTTTCTAAAATAAACAAGGAAACAAAAACTAAAATGCACGAGACAAATTCACAAAATGCATTTCCTGTTGGTCAAAGGAATGGACATAAAACTAAGAATTGTTAACTTTAACTTGGAATTCAGAAAAGGTGCGGCGCTTTAAGCCCGGTTCATACTCGGCACGAAAGCGAAAGCGAACGCGAATTTGTGACGTCATGGCGAGTATTCGCGCTGCGAATTCGTAAAAGTTGAACATATTCAACTCGGGCAAATTTCGCAGCGAATGTTTCATGACGTCAAGTTTGCTTCGCATTCGCATTCGCGTGAAGTATGAACCGGGCTTCAGGCCTACTCTCTTATTTCCAAGGAGTCGGAACATTCACTCCATTCGAGTGAAGATTCATTACCACTGACTGAAAGTATTAGGGACCAGACGTTTTAGAATTTCATTCAATCGAATAGACCTAGTCTTCACTCAAGTTGGATTAGATTGGTCTAATTGGATTCGATTTTTTTCCAGAGTATTTTAATCTAATTAAATGAGATTAATTTCGTCTAGTCCAATATAGTTTCGCTCTTTGGATTTAAATTTAGAGACTCGTTAATTAAAAAAAACTTAAAGTTATATATACGCTCTAATTTTGTGATGAACGGATTCTTGCATAATTATACACATTTCTATGGAGCCGTGCATGCATCTACCACCCCAAAGGGTAATAACGTAGAGACGGTTCATACTCGGCGAATTTGTGACGTCACAACAAGTATTCGCGCAGCGATTTCGCAAAGGTTGAACACATTTCAACTCCGGTTAATTTCGCAGCGAATGTTTAGCTACGTCAAAACCGCAATTCGCTTTCGCGCTGAGTATGAAACGGCCCTCATTTAAAACGAAAACTGACAAAGATACATGACTGAAAAAAATTGACTTACCATTTACAGGCTGTGCGATAGTCTGTTGAAAATAAACGAGCAATAAAATAATTCTTCTTAGGACAAGAATGATGCAGTTGACAACAGCACATTGTTCCCAATGATAAAAGAGTCAGCGAATTCATGTTACTGGCTGTTCCCCTGATTATTCGTCTTGCAAATGCCGCATAAATCAGCCTCTATGTTGAACACAATTTCCAAAGAATTGGTAATATTTACCAATAGGGTTATAGGAGCATGAATTCTGGAGGTTCCCGTGACTGTGAAAATGTTGGAAAACCGAGCTGCAAAAAATGCTCAAGCATGCACTCTACTACTGAAAAGATTTTTCAGCGGTAATGTTTCATGTATTATTACGATTTCTGAGAATCGTTTTAAAATTGAAAAAGTGACCATGCATCTATCAAGCAAAATAAGTGTCATTGATAAAGTTCTAAGCTAGTTTTACAATTTTAGCAGTAGCTTAATGTCTCCTTAAACCACTCGCTGTAGCAGCGTAAATATTTTGGGTAAAAAAATCATCAATATTATATTTACAACGATTACACGCTTTGATGCATCAACGTACTCTACAATGCATCAGCTAGACCACATTATTTACCTTGATGAATTGTCAACCCAGGCCACTATAGGTATCATAATACTCTCAAGCGCCATTACCATGGCAACAGAAAATGTAACTAATTTGGTTTCAGTCATGTTCGTTCAGAGGGGGAACATGCAACGGAGCTTTGTTAACGTTGCAATTCGGCGAGAGTACGAGAAGGCCACACAATAATTACGGAACCATCGATTTTCGAATGGGAAGGAGTCCGGAGTATTTACGACCTTGGAGTCCTTGAACACGCCACAAAACGAAGCAATGAAAGGCTTTTGTTTATTAATGAGCAAAAAATTGATATTTCCTCAGTGCATTCACGAGCCAAGAGCACAATTTCCGTGAAGAAATAATTAAATTCAAAAATGTGTATGAAAATGCAAACTGACTGAAATCGGGAAGATTTGTTTTTGCCAATTTGCTTATTTATATCTGATTACGTGGAAAACAAAACGTCCGATAACAAGAGGGGCGTTTTCTGGTCTTTTCTTTTCGCGATTTCTCATTAGCGTTGTCATGCTCTTTTATGCTAATTCTTGTTTAATAATAGTCATTTTTAAGGGAAATTCTACGTTTTTCTGTGTGCTGTGGTTTATATACCCATACATTTTTACTGTTTCATCTTTTACGAGAACAAAGCCAATAACGTGATTCCATGGTAACTCGCGTTACATTTGAGGGGGGGGGGGTGTCTTCCATCAACTCTGTGGTGTTAGTCTGTAATGTCAAATCATGCTATTCTATAATGTTAAGTTTTTATTACTTTTGGGTACCAAAAAAGGACATGATACAAAATTAAATACCTTGCATTTGAAAATTGTCCTCATTCTGTGCACTGTTGGCAGAATCGTTTCAGTGCCCTTACACAATTAAAATTATTTGATACGCTTCCATGATCAAACATGAAATCTCTAGAGCAATGATTGCGGTAACTCGCGTTACCGCAACTCGCGTTACAGTTTGTCTGCCCATACTTCGGTATAAGTTAAATATTTGTGAAACTATTAATGAAAACAAAAAACTATTTGGGCTTAGAATATTAACATTTGTGTCTGATTTAAAACCAAAAATCTCACAATAACTCTTGTATTTTGCATTTGAAAACAAGAAGCCAACTGACTACCTAAAATTCATTATTTTAGCCAAAACAGTTTGTCTGCCCATCTTTGGTATAAGTTAAATATTTGTGAAACTATTAATGAAAACAAAAAACTTTTTGGGCTTAGAATATTAACATTTGTGTCTGATTTAAAACGAAAAATCTCACATTGTATTTTGCATGTGAAAACAAGACGCCAACTGACTACCTAAAATTTATTATTTTAGCCAAAACAAACACATTTTGTGGACATAAAATACATTTGATCATATTCCATCTCACTAGTGCGCCACTTAAATGAAGGTCTTTTTGTCCCCTTTAATGTGATACCACGATTGAGGTTGTTATGTTTCATAGATATTCCACTTTTCACTGACCCGTGTCGACTTGTGCGTGGAATTGCCCAATATAGAAAAGATCTTAATGATTAAACGACATTATACACAATGGAACATTCCTGAATTGGAACATGACATTCACAATTTGAGAATAAGTTAATCGCATTGGACAAATTTGGTAACTTAAAGGAAATACACAGCATTTGCAATAAATCTTAAAGGCCCTGTCACACTGTCTGCGATCTTATATGCGCTCTCACTGCGTCCTTGAAAAATAGCTGGGGCGCAAAAACAACTACTACATCGCAGCGACAACTACATAGGTTGCCAGATGGGCGCCAGAGGTTCTTAATGGTCTCTGATGAGCGCAAAGATCTTTGAACATGCTCAAAGCAATCGCAACACCTCTGTGCTCTTGCCAGGGCGCCGTAATGATGCAACTCGGGCGCTGTGCGAGTGTGAATCGTGCGACATTGAAGTGGCATTGAGGCAGCCTATAGGCGCAAGTCAGTCGATATAGTCTCCATGAGAAAGTAACTCGACTGCGATGAACTTGTAGAATAATTTTGAAACTGGACTGTGTATTGACCGTTTTGTCGTGGTATTTATACAGCGCAAGTGACGTCACATGAGCGTATTTTGGTCGAATAGAGAGCGCGACGCGATCTACTAGGACGTATCAACAGCGAGCAGAGCGTAGTGTGAACGCAGTGACAGCGCAGCGGCAGCGACTAGATCAAGTAATTGGGCTTGACAGGGGCGCATAGAGAGCGAGTTGAGCGCATCGTAAGCGCGGGAAGAGCACAGTATGAGCTTAGCTTGACCTTCTTTGAGACAGAAAGTTGTCATTTTCTTGCGTCCTCGCTGCGATTGTTAAATTTATGAAATATTTTTGGTCGCCGTAACTCCTATGAGATCGCATAAAATGTGACAGGCCCTTTAAGCAGGTTGTTGAAAAATAACCTGTCGAAATAAACGTTCAGTAGATATAAAATACTTTTTGAGAAAACTGTAAAAATGCATCTTCATTTTTCTTTTTCAATTGATTCGTTTTAATTTGCACCCTCTTGTGGCATGATCCCAGTTTGTTTTTCTCGGGAAAAGTTTCTCATATCACAGATATGTAACCGAGTACAAACTTAACTAAATTCGGTCAATTTTGGGCGGTCTTCAAAAGAAAGTTTCTTTTTCTCGAGATGGTTTGGTTCTAACCATCGAGAGAAAATGATGGTATTAATTCCTCTTTTCTCGAAAATGACTGGGCGCAATGATTTCATAGGATGCTTGATCCTTTGATTTACTGATAATCGAGTAGGATATATTTCGTAATATTTGAAAATGGTGAAATAAAAAAAAAATGTCAAAGAAGCTACCGACTTTTAGTGGTCCTTGTACTTGCACTACCATTTACTTGCGTGTACTGACGATGAATAATATTAGGACATATTTACACACTTCATATCGAAATAGCTTACGCTTCCATATCAGAGACAGTTCAAACATAGAGGAAGTCCAGGAAATAATTCGAAATGGAATTGACGTTCCTCTGATAGCAAGGACCTAATTTAGATACCAATTGCTCCACGGAATAGGTGAGTTCGAACAGCCACAATCAACTCATTTCACGTACTTGGCGTTCCAAAGTCAGGCCGATTGATTTGACTTAGAGTTTACATTTGAAACAAGGAGTGACTATATGCGACAGATGGACTATTTAGTCTTTCGAAACGACTTCAGAGTCCAGTCGCTGGAATATTAGTTCTGAAATCTGAAATCTGTCTGAAATTATACTTGGTCAACTTCAGTCGCCAGATACATTTAAAATTATATATAGCAAATGTGAACAATATTGCAGTGAAAGTTCACTCCTGGTGGCGCGCTTCCGGAACCCATGAATAGGGAAATTAACGTGCAAAAATTCTAGAGTTTTCACTTATTTTTTTACTTATTTATGTACATTGATTATGAAGAAAATCACCCTCGAAAAAGGCATTTGTACTAAAATTGTTAATAGCATTTACAGAAACCAATGTTGAAATTCAAGCGCCACATATAACCGCGGGGCGATACCAACAGGTGGGCAGAAGGACACTAACAACCTTCACCTCGCAACATCTAAGATTAACATAAAACATGTTTTAAATATCATTACAAAACATATTACCCTTATAATCGCTGCAATAAACTTTGATCTTTCCATATTGAATCGATTCTATATTGAATATAAAATAAAAAAAATAAAAAATATGTACGTACCACAATTCCCAGTAAGAAAATGGTCCATACTTCCATTTCAAACGTAATACATCGTTGGTTTGCCATCATTGTTTTCCTTTGTCATCTTAGTTATAACAAGTGCAAATAGAAGACATCAACCTTCGCTCAATTCAAAGCAGTATGTTGTTAAATGTGAAGTATACTCAGATCATACTAACATGACACTGATGATATCATGTTAGTCCCCATCGAGAGTCACGGGTGGATCTGTTTAGCGGGCCAATAGAAAACGCACAGCGGGTAGCGTCTGGTTGAGTGTCGTTACTCTTCATGCCTTGTTAGCTCCGCTGACCCTCATAAATAATTCCAGCAATTTTCGAGGATAAATAGCGTATGGTTGCCATGGTAATCGGTTCAAAATGGGTAATGACGCAGAAGCCAGATCCATTAAGGCCGTGTTGGGAACACTTAATTGGTATTGAAATAACTGATGAGAAGACACAGAGAATCCAGATCATTGTTATGCAAATGCTGTTGGGAACATACAATGGGTTTACGAAAGACGTTGGTAGGATGGTCCGGGTCGCTAGAAAGTGCGGAGGGGAGTTTTGCAGACTGGTAAAAAAATATTGGGGGTTGTCTGTACTGGTACCACATAACGCGTTAATATCTTAACGATGACGACGTGTCAAATTAGTTTTATCACTGGCAGCAAGCAATTTCGCATTCTTAAAAGACGACTTGTTTTGATAAATAAGTTTAGTAACACTACATGACGTGCGCGTGCAGATACCTATGATAAGACAGCAATTTAATGAAGCTTTAGTCGGCAACCTTTAGTTTTACACAATATAACACGTTTTCGTGGGCGGTATGTCAATTTAAATTACACTCCTGATGGTCGTTCAAAATAAGCAGCGGCTATTTAGTACATGTATTAACACTGAGGGTCACAAAAGCTTGGCGGGAGGGGAGGTGGAATATTCCACTCGACACTATAGGGGGCGCCGTTCAAACATATACGAATAGTAATACTATGTATAGTTTTCTCCAAAACCATTTTCATTTCTTCAACTCTTTTGGGGACACAAGAGGACATAAACAAGCCCATGCAGCTATCTAGAATTAGTTGATTCCAGTTGCAAACCTTTGCCCAAAAATGTCCGTGCCTCTACACGGAGGTTTTATAGCCCAAAAAAATTCAAAATTTAGAATTGTTCTTATTCGAATACCTTTCAAATAGTCCCTAGCATTTAACAAGTACTTTGGTCTTTCTCATATTTTCAGGAATGTTCCGCCAACTAAGCTAAGACCTGCCTTCCTTTATTTTTTTTTTTTAATTTCCATTAATAAAACATTGAATATTCATACCCTGTGAACTTTATTGAGAAGTTAAATATTGTCAATGTTTATTTCGTAACATGTGTACTTTGCCAAAGCTAATCCAAATTTGATGGAACGTCAAGGGTCAAGTTTCGCGGAGCTTTGCTGTTAATGGAAAGTATATTTTGCTTATAGCAGAAAAACGTCGATAGCCAAAAGGCCATGTAATATTTAGTGCGTGTGACTGGTTTATAGTCGACTTATCACATATTTTTTTCTGCGAAAGGGGATTTCCGACGCCACTTCATTTTTTTTACGTCAATACAAGACAAGAAACAAGGGAGATAAAAATCCGCATACACAAATTTCAGTATTCGTCTGCTGATTTTTCTCTAAAATATGGCAATAATACAAACATGTAGGCACAGAGTATGGGGCTGTTCGAGTAGTTTGTACAATTTTCCTTCACATGCTTTAAAAGTTTATACAAAGATAATTGCTGAGTCGTTTTACATCAAATAAGTCAATATTCAATATTTAAGGTCACTGCGAGAGGGCGCTATCTTTGCTTTTAGGCAAGAATGATCACTTAGTTTAGATCCTTTATTCCCATAAAATGCACAATAAAAAGAAATACAAATCGTAAAGGCCTACACATACAAATTACACAAAAACAAAAATACCCAAACCCGAAAATACACATTTCGTGATTTTGTCTGTAATATATACTTTTGATATTCTCATAAAAAAACAAGTCCAGAATAATAAGAAAAGTGTGCAACAAACAAGGAAGCCCACAGACATCGAAACAGACATAGACCATGCTACATTTGTTTACAAACTGGGGAGTCAGGTTGGCGTAGCGGTACTTTCCTCGCCTTCCACCGCTGTGACCCGGGTTCGAATCCCGCCTAGGCCAATTGGGATTGGGTTTTCAGTCCCTGCCTGATTCCGTGGGTTTTCCCCAGAATATTCTTCTAGGCTTTTCCTCCCACCTCTAAAACTCTAAAACTGTAACTTCTTCTCATTGTCTTCTCTCCATTTATCCATCCTGTTATTGGAGCTTGCGCTGTTGGATGTGGCTGAAATAAAAGAGAATAAACTGCATGTTGTGGTCACTTTACGCAAACTGTTCTCATCTTGCACTGCATGTGTATCTCTTGAAATGTGATTGGTGTGAAAGTGTGGACATAAACTGTTTAACGCGTGCTAAAAACATGAAACCATGTTAATGGTTTTGGGTTGCCTGTCGGTTGCCAGTTGGTATGACGTCCAGCAGTTTATCCAGCTTTTGATATGATTCGGTGGGGGAGGGGGTGCAAAATCAAAAGTCTTAGTCAGCGGCTTATCAGCATTTGATGTGGGGGGAATCTATGCGCTGTCATTTTCTGTTGCTGACATTTTGACGCCCTATTTTTTTAAAGCTTGGTTTTCTTTATTTGTCGTTCATGTCAGATCTCTGGAAATATTACCAGTACAAGAAAACAAAAACAAAAACAAAAACGACAGGGCGGGGGCAAGTCCCCTCCCCCAGCTCAGCCAGCTGGATACGCCACTGATGACGTCACAGGGCATATTCTTTATATACCCTGCCATGTTTCCAGGCTTTTGGTTTTCCAGTGATTTCAGCGTCCTCATTTTGGAAAGACGTCCCCGGGATCCAGGACGTTTGCTTCAATCTGCTACGGATATTCTAGGCACGTTTTTTTTTACTTTAACACATTTGTGCCAACTCTCAAGGACCACACAAAACGTCCACCCAACGTATAATCGGCAGGATACGAAGATTATTATTATTATTATCATTAAACAAAGCGAACCAGGTAGAGTGGGAAAATATAAGTTACTTTATAGCAACCCTCACTCACCTGAAGCGTTGTCGAACTTGTTTAAATAAAACATGCAATGGTGTCCAGATTGTCAAAAGCGCTTAAAAAAACATTGCATAACCAGGCTGACTCGATGGGCTCAAAAGGTACACACTTGTGTGGCTTTACGTATTGTGCGCTAAAGCAACCCTAAAGGCTGGTAAATACGGTATTTACCGTGTATTTCGTGATGGGTAGGCTTGGGTCTTGGGGCTAGTAAGTCATTACTCGATCGCCCTTGCCCGTTCCTCAAAGCTAATTATAGTACGCACAAACTACGCGGCCGTCTTGAAACATGGTTAATGATGACTCCAACACGTAAAGACGTTGAACTGGTAATTGCGTTGAAGATACCACTTATTATGTATATAGGATTCGTTTACGTTCAATTATATGAGGTCACTTCAGAAAAGTACGCTAATTCCCGACTGGTATTGTTGGGTGCATGTTCCCCAAATAACACGTCATGTACACATTATGGATGTGATCCTGTGAAGTAGTAGGAAGGACTTTCACAAGCACCTATCGGCATGACGTGCTTTCGTCAACACCAAAGTTCAACGCGGTAGGTAAAGGAATCCAATGTGAGATTTATCTTGGAACAAGTTAAACTTCCGTCTTGCCTTTTGAACCGGAAATAATTAAGCTTGAGTTTTTCGAAATTAGCACGACGATTCGCTGGCTTAAAACTTCTCCATGCCCGTTTGGCTGTGATGTTTTGAACTTTAGTCATCACCAAATATTACTGTCGACTGAAACTGATCATCATGGGACTAGGCGAACGAAAACACCGTAGAAAACGCCGGAGACATCTCCGTCGCGATCACCGCGTCAGAGGCAGCCAGCAAGCTGGCCATCGCACCATCATCTCCCGTCGCCTAGCATCCACAGTTTACGCTGCTCTACTCATCGTGGCAATCGTGCTTGTCAGCTTCGGCTTCCCGCTCGTTCTCCTCGGCGTTGTCTTCATGTTCGAAGGAATGGCGTATCATCCATCGGAACCTGGAGTCATATGCATGGTCATGGGCGCCGTAGGAGTGTGCCTTGGAATGCTCATATGCCGATACACGCACAAGAGAGCCCATCGGGTTTCCCAGAACAAAGTTGGCGTTGCAATCAAGCCGAACACACACATTCCCACCACAGGAACTCCAAATGATCGCGAAGACCCTAATAGACCCCACGGAGATCCACCTGCAACTAGCATGAGCTGGTCGGAGTTGTCGGTTGGCAGTCAAGACTCTTCCTACGCAGGACAGTTTGGACCGGAATCGATCCGTAAGCTCAACCACGTAATCACTGTCCAGTCTCCCCGTCTTCACGGCCCCATGCACGGCCTGGTCACCATTCCAGCTTCACAACCTCCGAAGCCTCCGGACAATTACACAGTCCCTCCGCTGTCTGCTACGCCGGCGATAAAGTACAAGGGACCAGAGGGACACGGACTGCCGTCTATGACAAAGACTTCCGAAACATCGGCAGGTGCATCAAATGTTTGGACCGTTAGTACTACATCACACGAAATGAATATTCCTTGAAACTGTAATATTTGAAGACGAAAATGTTTTCAACAACTGATTTGAAAAATTTGATTAGAGACAATTGATTTGTGTACCAATGCCGAAAATGCTCATAGAACTTGAACCAAAAATGAAATGTAGGAGACGTCGAAAAGCCCAAGATAAGTGCACATCGGACTAATAAGGCGGTTCTAGGTGAAATTTACGGTCAGAAAAAACTTACATTTTAAAATGGCGGGGCACCTACTCAAATCCCTTCTTATCAGCACAGACCTATTTGGACCCGAATTCGTTTATAACTTATGATATAAGCACATTTTACGACAGAATTCGTTTACCAAATAATTATACTGTATAATCATTGTAATTGTCGATATAAAATACGCTGGTCAAAATATACAGTGATGACTAATCCCTTATTAAATAATTTTGTATTATATTGTAGCGAATAAATAGTACTAATGTGCGCGCAGCTCATAACACTAAGTACAGATCTGGCTGAAGTCCTTTCTTATGCAGTCGTTTTACATTTCACATTTAGAAAAAGAAAATTATAAATAAAAACCAACCCTTTTTCCCACAATCACATGATGAACGTTACAAATTATCTAAGAGAGTGATATATTTAGTGACCAACAAAATTTATCAATGAGTACATTATGAAACTCCCTCTTTAATACTTAGATAATAATATCCAGGCAAAACCAGGAAAATCCGGCCGGGGTGGAGATAATTCTGGGGGACATTTCCACACTGGTCTTACCATCACCTTTTACTATCTGATAATAAAACTGTGTCTGTTTGCCGCCCTCTTCCGACATCTGCAGGAAAACAAATCACCTGACTACAACACATATAGCATATACTGAAGTAGAATTGAAACTTGACAAAGTAGTCACACACGTTGCGTCAGAAATTCTGGCTCATACTTTCAGTTTACCGTTATCATATCAGCCGATCTTCAGTAACTCATCTCAAACAACTCAGTAGACCTAATGATGATTGCGTTCCATTAACATTCCATTAGTGGAGGGAAACAGATGTTAACATTTCAAACATGTGTAGCAAGGCAACATTGAAACTTGTCAAAATGCACGACAGAAGTTCCTAATGCGTTTGAAAAACAAAATTGTTAACAATATTAGTTTCCACTCAATGTCAATTGTAATCAGCTGATCTTCATTAATTCATCTCAAACACTCATTATTGATGATGATTATCTATCATTAACGCCACTAATGATTATGTAGTGATGGGCAGGCGCGGATCGGGGGGGGGAGGGGGGAGGTTGACCCCCCCCCCGCTCTGTTAAAAAAATCCATAGAAATTTATGAAAACAAATGCGAATCCCCTCCCCCCCCCCCCCCCCCCCCTCTGACACCCAAAATTGTATTACTGGTAATAATGCCTTTGCACAAAATACAGACAGAGCCAGCTTGGTTAGTGGGTATACTAGTGTTCTTTGATAAAGTGTTATTAATCGACGGATTTAAACAGCGCCCCCATTGAAAGTATGGTACAACCCCCCCCCCCCCCCCCCCCCCCCCCCCCCCCCAACCACCCAACAAATTTTCGGAGGCCAAGACTTAGTGTCCGGAGAAAACCTGTCTACATTTCCGATTTCTTTTTTTCCGATGAAATCCCCCCCTGCGAAAATTCCTGGATCCGCCCCTGATGGGGGAGCACAGGTGTCTAAAGTTTAAACAGTTGTGGAAGCGCTTCATCAAAAACGAAAATAGGACACTTGATGAGCGTTATGTCGCAGTGCATGCTTTCATTTCGTTTGAAGAGACAAATTATCTTGTAGCTAAACCATTAATAAAGCAATTAGACAAAAGAACATGTGCTTTTAATTTGTTGACGGGGCTGGCCCAATCCTATAAATATGAGCGGTTTTTCGGAGTTCAGTCAAGCAGTAGTGTGCCGCATCACTCTGACAAGATGACTCGTCTAGCAGTCTGTATTCTCCTGACCACTGTGGTTGTAGGTAAGCTAAATCTCACATCATTGTGCTTATTTTTCGTAACTTAAAAAAGTGATTTTGATTACTCAGAGACTCTCCATGCTAGCATCACTTGTCGAGAAGACACCTTACACTATAGCATGGGTCTCCCAATGTGGCGCAATTAATTTCTTTTCCAGCGTGCTGAGTAGTTTTAAGCCACATGTCTCAGAAGTGATCTAACGCCAAGTACCAATTCTATATGTTCATAAATACAATGTTTTCTTACCCAGTGCAAATTACGACAAAAAAGTTATGATGTTTTGACGCGAGTGCCCAATTATTTACATTCACCAATTCTTTTTTATTTATGTATATGTATATTTAGATTGCCAGTCGCAAAATAGGAAATGCATTTCTTACAATATTCTGTTGAGATAATAATGATTTTACGATACTTCACATCCAAGGATACAGGTTCTCTTCAGATGTTTTGAATTTGTTCATGTGCACCACGTTTAATAACCTCGACCCGCTTTTGCGCCAATGTTCATGACACTATTTATGGACTTCCAGAATTTAGGGGAGTCAGGTTGGCGCACTGTCCTCGCCTTCCACCGCTGTGGTCCGGGTTCGATTCCTGTCCTCGTCCACATGTGAATTGGGCTTTTAGTCCTATACCTGATCCCGTTGGTTTTCCCGAGAAACTTCTGGGGGTTTTCTCCTACCTCTAAAACTGTACTGTCGTCTCTCCTCAGGTTTCTTCAGGCTTTTGGGCTACAGTGCAAAGGGCACTTTTTAGGAATGCTTGGTTTCATTACCAGAAAGAACAAAATGAATAGATAAATAAATGAAGTTCATGCAACGTAAATAAATGCTCACCTATTAATGCTTCACCTATATATACATATTTTGTTTCCTTGGCTTGTTGGGTGCAATGAGGAAGTAAATCCCATTGTCTATTGTCTTAAACTCTCCTGAACACCAATATTGGAATACATTAACAATTAAAAAGGAAATAAATTGATTTGATTTTTTCCCAAGGGCTTTGTGCCGCTCGCCCTGGAGACCAAGGGCATAGTCGTCACGCAGGTAAGTGTATCACAACGGTAGCTAGCTTTTTCTTCGAATTGACTCCATCGATTCTTGGCAGCTTCTTTGAGCGTCTGAATTGAGACGAGGCAAAATACAAATCTTTGAGTTCGTAATAAATGTCGGGTGACTGGCTCAGCAACCGAGGCATTGTAGTCGTTATTCATCACTATAACGCCAACATGCGATCGGAGGACAATTTCATTGTCAATTCGAAAATTCCTTTGAAAATTGATGTCATCAAATTGAAAGCGAAAAGGAAAACTGACTTGGCGCAATGTCTGCCTGACTGCCCGCCGAAATATAAGAATTAGTTTTTGTTATCGATTCCACAACTCTGCATTTTTTTCCTTCTATTTTAACAGATAAGAAAATGAAGGAGGGCGATATAGTAGGTGAGTGGTCCAACAACATTGGACAGAAATGTAAATGTATCAGTTCCTCAATTTTTGATTTCACTTGATTGATTTTTGGTCGGATAAACAAAATGATGAAGAAAAATTGGTTAGTTTGCCATTAATATTGGGTAAGGTATCCAAATGGCGTTCTGTGGTTACGATATATAAAAACATTTCGAGAAAAATCAGTGTCAAAGTTCAAGGTTTTCTATTAGTTTGTAGTTTACCATCAATTAAAGCAATTTTTCTACCACGAGTTAAGAAGAATGTTGTAAACATGCAATACAAATTTAAGATTTTTTTGTCTTTATTGGGTTTTTGAAAAAGGCAGTTTTAAACGAGTTGCGCAACTTTACCATGAAGTATCACAAACATAATTATTTTGACAAAAGGATGTATCTTGAGAAAGCATATCCAAATGCATTTTTATTGCACTTTCACGATGCGTATGACGTACTACCTAATAAAAAGGCAAAATGATGCATCGTTTAGATATAGTTACGTCCTTTTGCCTTGTCACGCCTGGTCACATCAGAAAATATCCCAACATGCGCTATTTTGTGACGGAAACCGAATCAAGTGTGCGCCTACGCCCTGCTACCTTTGAAACGGAAAGTCACGAACTTGAGGGACCGTTAAAGGGAAACAGCGCCCCCAATAACGCCAGAAATTACTTTTCTCAAAAAAGGCCAAAATTGAAGTTATTTTGCCGTGAGGGGGCCTATCGAGGCACTATCCGTTAAAAAGCCATATCCTTAGGCAAGAATGTCCGTTATAAGGACAGGTCCTTGTATTTTGGAGGAGAGCGAAGTCGAGACTTTTTGCTTGTTTGTTGTGCTGCAATCTTTCAAAACCATATGTTGTCATTGAAATTCAATTTTCATTAACACATCTTTTTTTCGCATCCAGATCGTCGCAAGAAGGCGTATTCTAGCGTCGGTGAGTATTTTGAAAAATAAAAGTCGGTGTTTTTAAAAATTATATTTGACAATCTGTTAATACCGATAGGTCAAGCACAATTAAGGCTTTAGGTATGCGCCGTGGTCTCATGTGGACATTTCTTAACGCTTTCGTGTCATTTTTCTCCTGATGAAAGATCTAATATATGTCTCTGTCTCTATACATGCAGCCTTTTCATATAGCGAGGAGACCATGTTCGACTGTACTCCGGACGCCATTCACTGCGAGAATCCATACGGTGACTGTATTCCCAGCTATTGGCGATGTGATGGCATCGTGGATTGCAAAGGAAGCGAAGATGAAAATGACTGCCCATGTAAGAACAGGCCTCAATCCAACTGAACTAGTTTATCCAATGCAGTAATGAAATCAATCGGCAGTTTCTTAGATCATTTTGATGATTTCAGCTACGCCTTACTCACTTTATTTATATTGTTGATTTGTTGTCTTGTTTGATGTTAAACATTCATTGAGTGGTGGGTCATTTTGAAATGTGTTCATTTCAAGTTTCAAATTTATTTCAAGTTCGAGTGAACGTTCTGATACGCTTGACAAGAGCAATAAAGATCTACCGTTCATCTAAACGCAGCCTTGATAATTAATCCTTTTCTGTTCAGCTACCTATTCCAGCATGTATGAGTACAGCGATGAGACCATGTTCGAATGCACCGACAACGCCATTCACTGTGAGAACGCTTACGGGGACTGCATTCCTGAATACTGGCGATGTGATTATATCATCGATTGCAACGACGGACAGGATGAAACAGGATGTGAAGGTTAGAAGTGTAGAAATATGAAATTATGGTTTATCCCCTCATTTGAATAATACTGCAGTATGAAAATAAAACCAAAGAACACTTAACTTTAGGTGGAAGAGCAATAAACAGAACTTTTTCATTTCTTTTATTAATTTATTCTTTTTTCTTTTTTGTGCAGATGAAAAGCGAATGCTGCAGGCTAGGTTAGGTAAGCATTTTTCTAGCTTTAAAAAAGACTCTTGAATGATAAAACAATGAAGGCATCTATTTTTAAAACGACTTTACCAATTATGAAGTCGTTAAACCATCCTTTTGCAACAGTAAAAACGACCTGTTGACGTCAACTGACGACCCATTGTATGAGCGTCAGTTTTGCTCGTTCTACTCAACCCGCAAGCCAAGTAATTTAAAAGGGTCTTTAGAGAAATCTATGAGCCTGGTAGGAATTGTTGACAAGTCATCCGTCATTAATAATGAGATTGCATCACTCAGCAAGCCGCCATGCTGTGTGTAAAACAGCCGGATCTCGTACAGTTTATAATAAAAGTTTCATACGGATAATTATTTGAAATGTTTTGACTCACTGTGTCCGGGGAAAGATGGCGTTTAAATCTTACCCTCTTGCACTAAGCTGATGAAACTGGCTCGATAAAATTTGTCATGCCTTGTGCTCATGATCTGTAATTTTGCTTTTATTCCATTGGTAAATAACAAAAATATTTGGGATTGAAAGTAGGACATGTATTTTTAACACATGACGTAGTACGAATGGTGTGTTTGAGGTTTTTCGATACATTCACTAGTGTAGACCACTATCATGTTGCTGCCATTTATTTCTTATATACATTTCGTTACCCAGGGTGTGCTCAAACAGTTTAAAACTGGTCTCCATTGGGGCCCTGCACACACTACTAATGTTTATACACACATGTACAAATATAATGCATTACAAACTCAATACACCACAATGAAATAAAATAAAAGCATACGAGATTACTATCATACTACTATTTTAAATATTGTACACCATTACAAAGAAACGTATACAGTTTGAAACGACGAATTTGGAAATTCTTGATTTGCTTTCCCATTCAAATCAACGTTGCCAAAGCGAGGCTGGAAGGAAGAATAGTCTGGTTCCTTTTTGCACAAAAACATTATCATTCAGTACTGTTATTGGATACGGGAAACATGAATGCAATGGTGGCAGAATGATCAAGGTCTGTCATGGAATCACTAGAATTGTTCTTACTGTGTGATGAAATCTAGTAGACAAAAGTACAGATATGAGAGTCATGTAGGCCATAGCCTACTCTCCCAAATTTGTAATAATAAAAAAGGAGCCAGAATTTGTCCTTAACATGAAGTAAATGCTTAAATAATGACTTGTGTGGGGTTGGAACGTGCTACCGCTTTAATACCGTGCGGGTGCTCTATTAACTAAGTTATCTAGCTCTATTCTGGCGCGTGCGCAGATTGTCACTAGCCAGGGATCACGATGCTATAACATTAGCAATGATCAGAAACCTGGAATATAGCAAGCAGGCTTCACTCACAGAGGATACTTTCTAACCCTTCATCACATGAACCCCAATGGTCTCTTAATTATGTATTTGATTTTGATGAAGTAAACACCTAATATTCTACGGTGATTTGCTGGATAAAGAATTTGATAATCGAGACCATATTTATGTTTTTGTTTTCTTTTGTTTGCAGCAGACAAGAGAGAGATGGACGTTGCTGTTGTAGGTACGTAATCCAACCTGAATTGAAAAAAACTGTAATCTGATGCCTCATGCTGTGTCCGTAGCAGCAGTGGCGCAGCCGGGGGGAGGGGTATTTACCCCCCCCCCCCAATACTATTTGAACACTGCCCTTTTCCATTCAGTGCCTTTTTTGCAAGTTTTTAACCCCCCCCCCCAACATTTTCAAAGAATGCCCTTTTTCTAAACAAGTGCCTTTGTTTTGTTTTAAAAGCGCTCTTTTTTTACAACAAAAAAATGAGTGCCTTTTCTAACTAGGGACTGTAACGAAATTTGGGAATTTCGTGCGTGTGATGCGTCCCTGACAAAACATCATTGTCCGATAGTGTGTATGATCGTCCGCTTTGAACAGCGCCCTCATTGAGAGATAGTACCAGCCCCCAAAAACTATTTGATTTGTATACGGAGGCCAAGTGTCCGGATAAAAAACCTGTCTACATGTAGCACAGATTTAACCCCCCCCCCCCCCCCCAATAAAAATGACCTTGCTGCGCGTATGCGTAGTCTGTATTTGTGTTTGGAAAAAAAAAACAAGGACATTTTACCACTTAAAAATGCGTGATGTCACGCATGATTTTGTCAAGTATACAAAATCTTTAAATATACCGTTATCATATATTTCATGTCATAGAGCATAATGTTATATCTAACATGATAGAGGAAAGGTGAACATGCAGTAAATCTGTACCTTGTATTTTATATCTTTATTTCTTTTTAAAGATAAGAAGAAAATTCAACAGGCTCGATTTGGTAAGTGTTCTCATAGCTTTGGGCAACATTTTTGAAGGATGAAACAATTCAGAAGTCTACAGGGTGTTTAAAAAAAAGGAAACCGAGCTTATTTGGTTGATTTCTCGGGTATGACTAATTATTTAGGAAAATGGTAACCACCATCTGTTACATAACCATGTTTTCTTTTTGTTGACACCGTGGACTCCATTTTACCGTCACGGATGACTGAGCACCAAGTGATGTAACTGACATGCCAAAAATGGCCTTATACCACGGGCACCATAAGACCAATTGACAGTCATCAGAGAGAGACGTTATCGGGAATGCGTTCACAGCAATGGGGCAGAGATTTTGTGTTGAAAGGAAAGGGGGGCATGTTGAAGGACAGTGGGGTTAACGGACACAGTGATGAACCTTGATATGTTTTAGCAATTGAATATATGACTTTGATAATGTACGTCCTGGATTGTGTTATTTTCAACATGCTGAAAACTGTCAATTGATCTTATGGTGCATGTGGTACAGGGCCTTTTCTGGCATGTCAGTTACATCACTTGGTGCTCAGTCATCCGTGACGGTAAAATGGAGTTCCTGGTGTCAAGAAAAAGAAGACATGGTTATGTAACAGATGGTGGTTACCATTTTCCTAAATAATTAGTCATACCCAAGAAATCAACAAAATAAGCTCGGTTTCCTTTTTTTTTTAAACACCCTGTATTGTAATAATAGATGTCCCATCTTTAACAATTACGTTGTCACTTATCCACCCTTTCTTCGCGGGAATGCCTACCTGTTGACGTCAAACTGACGTCATAATAACTTTACGTAAATTACGCCTGTTCTTCATATAAAAACTCGCATGAAATCAGAGTTCTTTAGAAAACTCCTGACATTTTAAGAAAAACTTCTTGTAATTTATTCATCGAGCAGACTCCAACGAAAGAATCGTTTCTCGGAGCTTATTGCTTAAGTCCTACCTATTGCATCTTTAGTAATCAAACTATTGACGTTTTACCCGTTTCGTATACATTTTGTTTTAAAAGCTTTTAAGCGGTGACTTGACATATTTGTTTCCAACAGTCAACATTTTCCCGACAGTCATACGTGATCAATACCTGTATCTTATCAGAAGTCCAATCAATTTATTGATTAGACTTCAGAAAACTGTCATGTAGGTGGATTTCAGAAAACTGTCATGGCTTGGTTGGCACAAAACGGATCACCTACATGAAGTGTAATAAAAAGTGCTTCCTTCATGCTGTTATTTGGGGGTTTTTGCGAACAAAGTTTTTGACACACTGTGCATGGCGCAAAGTGTAGACTGTTTCCATTTCCCAAGATACAATTCGGTGAGACTTACGCCCCCAACGGCGACCTTTATGTTAACAGATTCTCTAGAATCCATCTAAGCTGTTTGGTATTAAGCCAAACAAATTGGGCATTGAATGTGATGATCGTGTATCCTTTTCTCCTTTTCATGTAAGCTCGTCATTCTTATTTCTTGTTTCTCCTTCCTTTAAAGACCGTACCGGTGCGTCAAGACATAACTTTGTGTATCGGGATGTCATGTTTCAATGCACTGATGATGACGACGTCCGCTGTGAGAACCAATTCGGAGGAGACTGCATCCCTGGCTTCTGGCGATGTGATGGTTGGGCTGATTGCAAGAATGCCGAAGATGAACAGGACTGTGCTTGTAAGATGAATTCAACTTCAGTTGTGCAAATATATGGGAGTCCGGAGAGGCCACATAAAGCTTATTCTCGATCATAACCCATCTAAAAACACGTTAAAATTGTGCAGCAGCAGGATTCCAGTCAAACCAGTGAGTTTGGCAGTTTTGAGACATCACCTTTTATTGAAAAAAAAAAATAATTTTGCCGACGCGCATGGCTACGGCGACGCGCGCGCATACCAGACACCGGAGACCTTTTTTTGGCCTTATCTTTTGGTCAGTTTGATTTACCAGGGACGGGGTAAGTCGTTAATCTATATTTCTACTTTTTTTAAATCATAGAACCTGTGATGTTATTAATTTTCCTTTTCACAGCGTATTCCTGGTATACCGGCATCTCATCTTTCGACCCTGACTGTGGTGAAAACGATATATACTGTGAAAACAAATGGCATACTGAATGTGTTCCGTATCGCTGGCGATGTGATGGTTTCATTGATTGCATTGACAAACAGGACGAAGAAAACTGCGAAGGTAAACAAAAAGTGAATTTCTTGCATCATTTTTCAGTTTTATTTATAATTTGGTTTCGAAATACTGGCCACAAGTGTTTGAAGAAAAAAAAGTTAAAATTGGAAGTAAACAATGAAGTGCATAAATGTACTTACAGATTTGTACAAGAAAGTGACTAGAATAGGCCGTGAACCTAAATGCTAAAAAAATGACTTGTGTGGGGTTTGAACCTGCTACCGCTGGAATACCGTGCGGGTGCTCTATCAACTAAGTTATCTAGCCCTATTCTGGCGCGTGCGTAGTTGATCAATAGGCAGAGATCACGATGCTATTACATTGGCAATGATCCGAAACCTTGAATATATATAGCAAGCGGGCTTCGCTTTACAGAGGATATTTTCTAACTCTTCATGATATGAACCCAAAAGGTCTCTTAATGGTGTATTTGATGAGGTAAACACCTAATATTCTACAGTGATTTTAATGAATAAAGAATTTGGTAATTGAGACCACATTTATTTTTGTTTTTTTCTACCAGACAAGAGAGAGATGGACGTTGGCGTAGTAGGTAAGTAATCCAAACTAAATTGAAAGAACTGTACTCGGATGCCTCATGCTGTGTCTTTAGCAGTGGCGAAGCCATGGGGGGGGGGGGGGTTACCCCCAATGTTGTTGGAAGACTGCCCTTTTTCATTCAAGTGCCCTTTCGTTTCGCAAGTTTAAGCCCAACCCCAAATATTGTCAAAAAAAAGTCCCATGCTTATAGTCTATATTTTTGTTTGAAAACAAACAAGGAAATGCTACCACTTTAAAAAGAGAGATATCACGCATGACATTGTCAATTTATTTCTTGAAATATACATGAATACCGTTAGCATTTCATTTCAAAGATCATAATGTTACACTTAACATTATCGAGATATAGAGGAAAGATGGAAATACAATAAAGATGTCCCTTATATTTTATTTCTTTATTTCTTTTTGTAGATAAGAAGAAAATGCAGCAGGCTCGCTTTGGTAAGTGTTCTCATAGGTCAACAGTTTTAAAGGATGAAACAATTCAGATGTTTATTGTTACAATAGTTGTCCCTTTTCTGGCAATTGCGTTGTCACTTATCCACCCTTTCGTCGCAGTAATGCCTACCCGTTGACGTCAAACTGACGTCATAATACTAATCATTAATATCGCTTGTTCTACATACAAAAACTCTCATGATATACCGGTAAGAGTGATGATTGTGTGTCCTTTTCTCCTTTTCATGTAAACTCTTCGTTCGTTTTTCTGGTTTCTCCTTCCTTTACAGACCGTACCGGTGCGTCAAGACATAACTTTGTGTATCGGGATGTCATGTTTCAATGCACTGATGATGACGACGTCCGCTGTGAGAACCAATTCGGAGGAGACTGTATTCCTGGCTTCTGGCGATGTGATGGTTGGGCTGATTGCAAGAATGCCGAAGATGAACAGGACTGTGCTTGTAAGATGAATTCAACTTCAGTTGTGGTTCATGAATTCATAGGACAGTTGGAGTGATTTAGGAATGCATGGGATTCATCCAATTTCTAGATGGGCCTCATACATTATTAGACTACAGAATGTATGACACCATTGCGGTTGTAGCATTTGTTCACAATCAATTGTTACCTTTTGGTCAGTTTCATTTTCCAGGGACGGAGTTAGTTGTACATCTGAGTTCTACTTTTTTTAAATCATATAACCTGTGATTTCTTTTTTACAGCGTATTCCTGGTATACCGGCATCTCATCTTTCGACCCTGACTGTGGTGAAAACGATATATACTGTGAAAACAAATGGCATACTGAATGTGTTCCGTATTACTGGCGATGTGATGGTTTCATTGATTGCATTGACAAACAGGACGAAGAAAACTGCGAAGGTAAACAAAAAGTGAAACTCTTGTATCATTTTTCAATTTTATTTATAATTTTGTTTCGAAATACTGGCCACAAGTGTTTGAAGAAAAAAAAGGTTGGAATTGGAAGTAAACAATGAAGTGAATACATGTACTTACAGATTTGTACAAGAAAGTGACTAGAATAGGCTGTGAACCTAATGCTAAAAAATGACTTGTGTGGGGTTTGAACCTGCTACCGCTGGAATACCGTGCGGGTGCTCTATCAACTAAGTTATCTAGCCCTATTCTGGCGCGTGCGCAGTTGATCAATAGCCAGAGATCACGATGCTATTACATTGGCAATGATCCGAAACCTTGAATATAGCAAGCGGGCTTCGCTTTACAGAGGATACTTTCTAACTCTTCATCACATGAACCAAAAAGGTATCTTAATGGTGTATTTGATGAAGTAAACACCTAATATTCTACAGTGATTTGAATGAATAAAGAATTTGGTAATTGAGACCACATTTGTTTTTTTTACCAGACAAGAGAGAGATGGACGTTGGCGTAGTAGGTAAGTAATCCAACCTGAATTGAAAGAACTGTACTCGGATGCCTCATGCTGTGTCTTTAGCAGTGGCGAAGCCATTGGGGGGATTTACCCCCAATGTTGTTTGAAGACTGCCCTTTTTCATTCAAGTGCCCTTTCTTTTCGCAAGTTTAAGCCCAACCCCAAATATTGTCAAAAATGCCCCATGCTTATAGTCTTTATTTTTGTCTGGAAACAAACAAGGAAATGCTACCACTTTAAAAATGAGTGATATCACGCATGACATTGTCAATTTATTTCTTGAAATATACATGAAAACCGTTAGCATTTCATTTCAAAGATCATAATGTTACACTTAACATTATCGAGATATAGAGGAAAGGTGAGAATACAATAAAGATGTCCCTTAGGCTATATTTTATTTCTTATTTGTTTTTGTAGATAAGAAGAAAATGCAGCAGGCTCGCTTTGGTAAGTGTTCTCATAGGTCAACATTTTTAAAGGATGAAACAATTCAGATGTCTATTGTTACAATAGTTGTCCCTTTTTTGGCAATTGCGTTGTCACTTATTCACCCTTTCGTCGCGGTAATGCCTACCCGTTGACGTCAAACTGACCTCATAATACTAATCATTAATATCCCTTGTTCTACATACAAAAACTCTCATGATATACCTGTAAGAGTTCTTTAGCAAACTTTTGGCACTTCTAACAAAAGCTTCTTGAGATGTATTTATCGAGCAGACTCCAACGAAATGATCGTTTCTTGGAGCTTATTGCTTGTGTCCTACCTACTGTATCTTTAGTAAAAATTTTTAATTTTTTGGGGGAATATTGAACACTTTACCCATTTCGTATCAATTTTGTTTTAAACACGTTTAAGCCCTGTCTTGAACAGTCAGCATTTTTGCGACAGTCATACGTAATCAATACATGTATCTTATCAGAAGTCCAATCAATTTATTGAAAAAACCTACCGTGACGATAGCATGCCTGATGATACCTAATTGATAGGGTCACTTTCAGAAAACTGCCATGGTTTGTTAAGTTAAAAAGGATACCACACCTATAGTTTAAAGAAATTGTTTCCTTCATGCTGTTATTTGGTTTAATACGAATGTTTTGAAAGCTTTTGACACACTCTACATGGCGCAAAGTGTATCAACTGATTCCGTTTCCCAAGATTCAATGCGGTGAGACTTGCGCCCCTAATTGCGACTTTTATGTGAACAGATTCTCTAGAATCCTTTTAAGCTGTTTGGTATAAAGCCAAACAAATTGGGCATTGAATTTGATGATCGTGTATCCTTTTCTCTTCATGTAAACTTGTCATTCTTATTTCTTGTTTCTCCTTCCTTTACAGACCGTACCGGTGCGTCAAGACATAACTTTGTGTATCGGGATGTCATGTTTCAATGCACTGATGATGACGACGTCCGCTGTGAGAACCAATTCGGAGGAGATTGTATCCCTGGCTTCTGGCGATGTGATGGTTGGGCTGATTGCAAGAATGCCGAAGATGAACAGGACTGTGCTTGTAAGATGAATTCAACTTCAGTTGTGCAAATATATGGGAGTCCAGAGAGGCCACATAAAGCTTATTCTCGATCATAACCCCATCTAAAAACACGTTAAAATTGTGCAGCAGCAGGATTCCTGTCAAACCAGTGAGTTTGGCGGTTTTGAGACATCATCTTTTATTGAAAAAAAAAAACTTTTTCATTTTGCCGACGCGCATGGCTACGGCGACGCGCGCGCATACCAAAAACCGGAGACTTTTTTTTGGCCTTATCTTTTGGTCAGTTTGATTTTCCAGGGACGGAGTAAGTCGTTAATCTATAGTTCTACTTGTTTTAAATCATAGAACCTGTGATGTTATTAATTTTCTTTTTCACAGCGTATTCCTGGTATACCGGCATCTCATCTTTCGACCCTGACTGTGGTGAAAACGATATATACTGTGAAAACAAATGGCATACTGAATGTGTTCCGTATCGCTGGCGATGTGATGGTTTCATTGATTGCATTGACAAACAGGACGAAGAAAACTGCGAAGGTAAACAAAGTGAAACTCTTGCGTCATTTTTCAGTTTCATTAATAATTTGGTTTCGAAATACTGGCCCAAAGTGTTTGAATAAAAACAATTAGAATCGGAAGTAAAAAAGAAAGTGAATACATGTACTTACAGATTTGTTTAAGAAAGTGACTAGAATAGGCCGTGAACCTACGACCAATGGAATACCGAGCAGGGATATCATTGCTCAAATGGCTTCAGGAAACCACGGCCTTCGTGTCACAAACCGGATTCCTTACATGAATTTATCAAAGTGAAATGGAAACCGTCCTTTTTTCAAGATGCATTACGGGAAAAGTGAGACATTCGCCCCCAACGGCGACTTTCTGCGGACCGAACCTCTACAATCGTTCTTCCCTTATTAATGAAATCTTACCAATTTCGGTGAGGCTGTGAAAGAGATAGCCAAATACTCATTACTCCTTTCTATTATTATGAACTTGATCCGGTTGGATTTTGTTCTTCCTTTTTAGAGCGTGCCGCTGCGTCAAGACGTAACTTTGTGAACCGGAATGTCATGTTTGAATGCACTCATGATGACGACATACGCTGTGAGAACAGATACAACGGAGATTGTATTCCTGGCTCCTGGCGATGTGATGGCCTGCGTGATTGCAAGGATGGGGAAGATGAACAGGACTGTCCATGTAAGGAGAATTCAACTTTAGTTGCAAGGGGTCATGAATTCAAAGGACTGTTGGAAGGATTTAGGAATGAATGATAATATATGAGATTCTTGCACTTTCCTTCACATACAAGGCCCACATTAAAGAGTGTGTACATAAAAATACTCGGACTGTTTGTTCACAACTATTGCGCACATTAAGTTTGTTGTCAGTTTGGATTTCCGGGGGTGAGTTATATATTATGTCAATCCTTTCATCTTTGTTTTATATCAAATGTTTCCCTTTCAGCGCATAGCAGCAGCTGGAGCTTTTCCTACAGCGACGGCGGAATGTTCGAATGTACTGACGACGCCATTCACTGCGAGAACCCATTCGGTGACTGTATTCCTGCCGATTGGCGATGTGATTACATCTATGATTGTGACGACAACCAGGATGAAGAAAACTGCAAAGGTAACATTTATGATTTGTTTTCGGAGTACTTAGAATAACAAGGCAAACAAATGACTTAAAATCAGTTACATTGGGCCAGGGATCACGCCAAAAATCACGATGATAGCAATATTAACCAAAGGATGTATGCAGAGTAACAGCATACTAGCATCTCCGAGATAGGATAAGGCTTGGTTTTATTTTTACTACAAATTATCAAAATAAATGCAATATGGAACCTAACTAGCTGCAGAGGAAGTACCTGGTGGACTGCAGTGATTTGAAGATCGAGATGTAAGCTTTTGCTTAATCGAGACTACATCCTTATGTTCTTTTGTTTTTGGTTTTATTTGTGTTTTTACAGACAAGAGAAAGTAGACGGCAAAGTAGTAGGTAAGCAATTCAACACCATTTGAATATAACCATAAATATAAATTATTATTTCATATTCCGATGTTGTTTCCGTTCAGATATTTTTGATCAGATATCAGATAAAAAAATAGAAAAATTGTTGGTGATTTTGTGGCTAAGTTGTACGTTTTCAGCTATTTAGGCGCATATTCAGAGCAGTAAAATCGTCGTATAGGACACATCCTTGGCCGCCGCTGTTTGCATGCAGTTAAGTTAAGCATTTTGGTAATTGTCTTCAAAAACATCACTTTTCTTATTTTATTCTTAGGTCGTGCGATGGGAGAAAGAACCAACTAAAACCACGTGACACGTCAATGAATGACCACGAAAAGCTTTATTTTCCTTAGTTTTCTTAGTGTATAATTTGCCGTAGATATAGGCTTGGAACAATAATTTGTTTAATAATCATACAATGGTTATTATTCTGTTCAAGTAGTTAGGCTTTCAAGTTTTATCTTCTGTCAAAAAATAACCACAATCTTGACTGCATTACTGGACGAGGATTAAACTGTAAAAATACCTTAAAGGGCCATACAACATACCTGCAATTAGCTCATAAAGTATAATGTATCAGTAATAAATGTGACTTCAACAAAACAGTGTAACTCTTCATATCGAGTCCGACGCAATTCACTTAATTTTTCTTGGGGGGGGGGAAGGACTCGGGTGGTTTATAACACGAAGTGGATTAAGATTGAATTAATAATGGAGCGAAAGCGTCAAAAAAGGTACAGCGTAGCGAAATACCGGTATGTGGTAAACAAATGCCAGTCGTTCACATCATTGCGACCCTGTAATGATATCTACGAGGCATTTGCGCAAACCGATTACTTCCAGTATGATTTTGTCTGCTGATGTATCACTTTATGGTTAAACAGTTTTTTGGAATATAGTCCACTTTTCACACGATATCATATACTGGTCAGCTCACATTTTAAGTCATTATCCCTCTCAGAAAAATATTGATAGCAAAATATCAAAAAGTAGAACCTAAAGGAGAGAGTTTATGATTCAACAGTCATTTGAAATGAGATTAATCAGATTAGGAAAGTTTTCTTGATGGACGCTTGACTTGATTTTCAAATCAAAACTTATCTTAAAGAACTTACATCTGTATTCTTAGGCAATATCGCAATTTATCCATCCTTAATAATTCGTGACTCTTGATTTAATATTAACAATGACAAGCCTTAAGTAGAATCTATTTAGATGAATAAAAGTATTCAGTAATTCTAAAAAGCAAGGAAATCTTTGTTTTACTGATGCTTGATGGAGTGAGCCCATGCATGCCCGAATAAAAAAAAAACCTTAAAATACAATACCAAAGAGATCAATCAGAATATATCGCAAGATAGATCGCTAGCTTCTATACACACAATTAACGATAGAAGAACTAGAGGAAACCATTAATCACACGTTCTTCCAATTTTTACAATACCATACATGCACAGTGCTCACACAAAAATATCTACAAGAGATCTCCACAAGATTTTTTTGAAATGAATATACATGTGTATGTTTTTTTTTCCATGGCAGAACAGTCGCTTTTTACCCGAACAGCTTTTGGAGATTCACGTGAAAAGGGTAAAAAAAGGCAAACGGAAAACAAATGGTTCCACAGTTTTTACAAGTCAGTGTTCTGAATCAGTTTTAAAATCAAGGATTTTTCCAAGTAATGTGCTTTTGCACTCACTTCTACTTTTAAATAAAATTTCAAATCTTTATATAACAATTTAATACAACACAAAATGGGGATAATGTACGTAGAGGTAAAACTTATCCAGTAATCGATGTTGAACTAAGCTTACATTCTATTCCGCAACTACTACAGTTCCTCGCACTATGGCCCAAAAATGTATCCTAAATTATGTGCAATAAAGGTTTAGGCACAATTTGTAGGAAAACACGTCGAATTTAAATCGATCTTATCTCAAATCTAGACTCGTGCATTATCCTTGGTCTGTTCACTCACAAGCGTGGTATAACACCCAATCTGCGTGTGGGTAACCCCGCGAAGTCACACCAACGTGCACTTGAGTTGCTACAGGCTGGTGATATGTACCGGCATCCCACTCCAAGAAAGCCTCCTGCTGTCCTCCTTTACCGACCTTGACCACGCCCCCTTTGTAGTCGATCCAGAAGGGGCGGTATTCATTGGCGTTAACCAGACCTGCCTCCAGATGTGTTGCAATTAAATCTGAACACATTTCGTGAAAGCATGGTTTCATGACTGCCCGTTGATTCCTCATACCACCGATATCTGGGCAGAAAATATGTCTCGTTATAAAACCTCGCTTGTTACTTTTGTCAAAGCGTAAGAATCTGTAGCAACTGTGCACGCCAATTACCATTGCTCCTTGGATAAAAGAACGTGTAACAGATACAACAAAACATATCTCTTAATGTACTTTTCAAAGATAATAATTCTTTGCAGATATTTACCCCTACCTGCTTCCAGTTTTTTTTCGGCCATTGTGTGTGTGTGTGTGGTTTTTTTTTTCAAAAAACTCCAATGTGCAGTGACGACACGTGTGTACATTAATTAGTTTAGGCTTACTACGTGCAGTTGTGATACTTTTTTAGGGCCCTGTCACACTTCTGCGTATCCTAATTCCTTATGAGTTGCGCATTGACATTTTTTTCATACGCAGTCGTACGCACAATACGCACCTCGTATGCATCTCTGTCGTTTTGTGTAAGTTTTATGCATACGCATGGTACGGCCCAGTACGCCGGATAGTTTTGGGCATGCACAAAACTACGCTGCGTACGCTGTTACGCAGGTCATACGATATAAATACGCAGCGCATCGGTCCCGCATCGGTCGAGTGCGTTACGAGTACGCTATGTGTTCGTGACGCACCCCGTCAGCATATGAGCCACCTGTATTGGACTTATACATAGCGTACTTGCAGCGCAGATGCAACGCACGCTGAACAGTGAGCGGCGCAAATGCGGCGGGAATACGCTCAGAAGTGCGTCAAGCATGCGGTCGGCATAAGTCGGGTGCGTCCGGAATACGCTCGGCATGCGCACTGCATACTGACCTATTCGCATCCCGAAAAATAATGTTGTGCACTGCATACGCAACTCATACGCATCTCATACGCAATGGATGCACTGAATTCGTTACTTGTACGCTAGATGTGCGTTGCACATAAGTCAAAGTGATCAAAACATTTCGACGTTAATTGAGCGTACGGCTGCGTATTGAAAAATTTTGATAAGGAACTCGTAAGGAATTAGGATACGCAAAAGTGTGACAGGGGCTTTAAGGGCCCTGTCACACTTCTGCGTATCCCAATTCCTTATGAGTTGCGCATTGACATTTTTTTCATACGCAGTCGTACGCACAATACGCACCTCATATGCATCTCTATCGTTTTGTGTAAGTTTTATGTACGCAGGAATACGCATGGTACGACCCATACGCAGGATACTTTTGGGCATGCACAAAACTACGCTGCGTACGCTGTTACGCAGGTCATACGTTGTAAATACGCAGCGCATCGGTCCCGCATCGGTCGAGTGCGTTACGAGTACGCTATGTGTTCGTGACGCATCCCGTCAGCATATGAGCCACCTGTATTGGACGTATACATAGCGTACTTGCAGCGCAGATGCAACGCACGCTGAACGGCGAGCGGCGTAAATGCGGCGGGAATACGCTCACTGAGAAGATAAGGAACTCATAAGGAATTAGGATACGCAAAAGTGTGACAGGGGCTTTACTTGATCGTACGGCTGCATATTGAAAATTTTTGATAAGGAACTCATAAGGAATTAGGATACGCAAAGGTGTGACAGGGGCTTAAACTTAAAGAGAAACGTATTGAGGTGTGAGCATTAAACTGCTACTATACAACTTACTTATATCGGCAAAGATGGACTCGTCTGTCTTGTCTTCTGCCAGGACGATACCCGCAGCATATTCAGTCTTCACCTCAAACTCCAGCCGGAAAGGCATGTTGAGTGGCTTGATGTTGAACTTGTAGGGATCGTCATGCAAACCCCCCTCAGTGAAGATTGAGCAAGCTGCTGTATCAGACAAAATCAAAAATAACGAAAAAAACGAAAATACCTCTTTTATCTATGTTTAGACATGCACATTTTCAACTGACATGGGAATTTTGTTTTGAATTCTCGCTTGATATGATCTTAATTGAGAATTCAAAGGAAGCAAATTTCAAACAAAGTGGAGATTTCTGGAAGGAAAGATTACCACTTACACTTGCTCTCATCGAGTTGGCTTTTGTTCAGACGACATTCCTTTCTGAACGCCGCGAATGTCTTATTGCGGAGCATGGTCAGATCATCACCGGCTGCAGCCGTGATCATGGCGCTACACATCTCTCCTCGTACAGGCAGCAAAAAGATTGCGATCTCCAACCAGATTTGAAAGAGTAAAGCCAAGACAAGATGTGAAGCCTTTCGTTGCAACATAATCATGTCTTTCTGACCAAGTACAATAAATATCTGACTAAGCAATAATAAAGCTTGCTCTTAAAAAAAAAAGCAAGATTGTTTATTTCTTAGTTCTGTTTCGTTTCCATTATTACTGTATGCATTTTGCCATGGTCACGCATATAGAAATGCCGCGCAGAACCGGATCGATATCAAGCAAATGCATTGCTCAATCACTATTAGTTAAAGTCTTGTTCGTATTCATGCAGGCAGAAGTAACGCAAAGCTAGCGGGACTCGCCACCAGGGTAAAGTCACGTACCTTAATTACATGCTTGATAGGTTGCTTGATTAATATTGCAAAACAATTCCGAGAATATTTCAGACGAGCCACCTCTTTTAATGTATTCACTGTCCATGCAGTGAGACATAATTTTGGATGTAATGCAGCCTGCTATTGGTAATTGTAATTTTTTTTTCAAATTTGTGAGAAAAAAAATACTACAAAATACCGGCATTATAAAGGTACTGTCCATGTTATTTTCAGGGTTCAGCCGGAAAATATAAATACGTATTTTTTATTGTTTGTGTCTGGCAATTCAAAAGTTGTTTACTCCTGATTGAGACGAAAACGAAAAAAAAATAAGGCCCCATTCTATTAATGGAAAAATTAATTTAAACCTGTGGAGTTCAACTTTCGGCCCGACATTATATTTAGTTACCGCGTGTTAGACTGGTTCCCGAGACTTATCAGAATCGACAAGAAATTTGGACTAGTCTACTTGCAGGACACCTATGTTGTGCGCCAAAGAAGCACATAAAGCCCTTTTCCCAAAAGATAAAACATTGGCTTATCTTCAAAAAAAGAACTAATCAAATTTACTGAAGATTAATAATAAATTTTAGGACAAAAAAATTTCCAAGCTATGACACTCTGGCCACAGTTGAAGGAAATTCAGTTGTATTTTTTACCGCAAGCACAAACGCAATGCTCCCGAACGCTTTCCCGATCAGCATGACATTTGGTGACTTTTCCTCGCTGTTATGATATCAAAACCATTCTGTATGACGTCCGTCGTTTGAGACTAAAATTTATGATCACATGGCGTGTGTCTCACCTTTCCTGCACAAATTTGTTGGTTTTGGGGTTTATAACAATGTCAATTGTCTAATTGGATGGATATAGAACCAAATAATGTTTGAACGAAATGTAAAAGCTTTCACTTGACAAATGTAGAAATTCTGCCCGAAATCATGGGCCATATTTTTACTTATGCGTGGTACCCTGTCTCTTCGATAAGCGTTGTTATATACAACACAGCCGGGCCCAGGCTGTGCTGGACATTGCATGCTGGACAACGTCTTCATTGCGTACGCGTACGACGCCCATGGTTTGGACTTCTGTTGCCGTAGCGAAACAAATTACAACAATGTTTTCATATTTTTACCTGATGGAGGAAGCTGAAATTTGGTTGGTTTAGGAAAGGTAAATATGTCGTTGGGCAAAGTGTTTAAAGAAAATAAATCGTAGATCTACGCTTTCGCTGTATGTACGATGTTAATAGACCGCTTGCAGACGCGTTCGATAATTGACGCGCTAAGGAGAGCGACGCCATGTTATGGGACAAAATGTGCGTGAATTGATATACGCCTGTCCCACAACATGGCGTCGCGCGCCTTCGCGCGTCGATTATCGAACGCGTCTGCAAGCGGTCTATTCGTTTTAAAACTTCCTTACGCGCGCGCGCACCCATAGTAACAGTGTTGCGTACGCGCGCGTCAGTCTCACGCGAAGGTGGTTGAGCGCATGTGTAGTGCTGTATTGTTACAAGCTGCCGTACGACCTTTGTAAATTTGGCCAATCATTGCCTTCCATGGGGCTGGTTTCAATGCTGGTTCAGGGGCCATTTTTTTCGCTTGTTCTTTGAAGCCGGTCATTATCACCGTTAATGCACGGCCACGTGATCGAGTCTCGACCAATCAGAAACCATCAACTCTCCAAGATATTTATTAATTTACGTTAATTTGTTGCGCGTCCACGAGAGACAACAAAAATGGCGGAGATTTATCGCACTGTGAATGAGCGCGTGTGGACACGCTGCCGACCTAGTCTTTTTATTCAATATCTATCCGATTCGTTAGTGTGACGTCACCTCCAGCACTTTCTGCACGATTGGAACCGGAAGTTAACGCAGCTCGAGCGTTTGCAGCCAATGGGCGCTAGTAATCAGGGGTGTGCGCGCGTGTATGACGTTTTTACTAACGAACCGGATGTTTAAGATAAATTCGTTATCGCGCTGGCGCTCGTGGAACACGGAAAATGTAGTGCGTCTGTGTCCCACGTACCCATAGATACAGAATAAAAAGACTAGATCGGCATCGCGTCCACACGCGCCCATTCACAGTGCGATAGATCTCCGCAATTTTTGTTGCCTCTCGTGGACACGCAACAAATCAGCCTCGACTCCAGGGGCGCGTGCTCGTTCCTTACACTTACCCCTGGATGTGATGATGGCGTAAATGACGCTGAATGGCTATTCACAGCGTACTGCGCGGGCATTTCGAAGATTGAGCTAACAACAGGCAAAAGATCGGCTGGTGGTCAATTCAAGAGATACAAGGATTGCCTTAAAGCAACCATGAAGCAATGCAACTTCAATGTGAGTATTATCACACGAAGGTGCATCAAGCTTCGAAGCCCGTCGCATCAGGGAGGCTGAGCTGAAACGACAGCAACGAAAATCTCGTGAGCTAGATGCTTCCCTACGTGTCCAGCCCCACCCCCATCCTAGTGTGTCCAGTGTAGGACCGTAGCTTCCTGGCTAGAATTGGACTTATTAGCCATCTGCGAACACACAACACCAACTAGTATGGAGATGTTGGCTGTCATCTTCGAATTTCGAAGGACGAACTATATATAAATATAGCTTTGCACGTAATGTCACGTACGAAAAAAAATTGATGATTTAAAAGTCGCGATGCCTGTACGATATGGATTATGTCAGCCGCGTGTTTCGCTAAAAAAAAACCACTTGTACCTGTGGTTGTAAAGGCACGAAAGGGGTACGTACATTTAATACAAATCTTTGCTAATTATCACAACGTCCAAACGTTGTGTTTGAAAGGATTGATTCTTCAAAATCACATTTGTTATGATTTTAAAGATGGCGTCGACACGTAAAACGGATAAACTGCAGCGCTAATTATAATGTACCGTATTTTGGCACATTTAAATTACACAATTCCAGGGGTTACGATCGCGCAAGGCATGATGGGAAACAACATGGCGCTGCAAGATCGTACCCACGGGGCACGAGGTTGGCAACAAATAAACGTAAAGTAATTGAGCTAAATGTATCTTTCCTCCAGCACGTGACCTACCTCAACGCGCGCGAAGCTAGAAATGCGCACCGAGTTTTTACGCGATGCGCGCGGGCGTTAGCGATGCATAGACCGCTTGCAGACGCGTTCGATAATCGACGCGCGAAGGCGCGCGACGCCATGTTGTGGGTCAAGCGCATATCTATCCATGCACATTTTGTCCCACAACATGGCGTCGCGCACCTTCGCGCGTCAATTATCGAACGCGTCTGCAAGCGGTCTATTGTGCACTGCACTGTTCGCGTAAACGACGTTGCGTTTGTCACGTTTTCGCGCATTATTTGTATCTTTCCTCCAGCACGTGACCCTCCATGCAAGTCCGCGCGTGTGGCCGCGCTGCCGATCTAGTCTTTTTATTCTATTGTTGATGTACCCTAACGTGGCATGGCCACTAACGTGGCGCACTTTGATTTTTCGCCTGTAGCGCCTAGCCAGAGCAAAAGTTTTAACTGAAATTTCACAGAAAGTGAAATTTCATCAAGTTCTAAACACTCCCGTTCATAAATTGCGAGCTTATTTACCCGCTACAAAGTTAAAGAAAAAGTTATTTTGGCGTGATTTTCCGATTTTATTTTCAAGTGCAAAGTGAAACCTTTGAAAATGCCCCGAAAAATAAGAAAATAATTTTCTAACAAACATCTTGCTGGGTATGTAAGTAAAAATAATAATGATTTATCAGAATTTATCAAGTTTACAGAAATTCTTAAAAGCTGATTTGGAATTTTCTGAGATTTATTTAAGTGCGCCACGTTAGGGAACACTCCGCCACTTTGTGCCCAATTTCCGGACGACACAGTTTTTAATTTCGGCTTAAGTTTTATGAAACCGAAATTGTTCACGGAGGTTAAATAGCAAGCATTAATAAGGTCAAAGTACCAGTATTTTACTGCATGAATTTCAGGTTTGTCAACAAATAGGTTTGGCAACACTACACGAGGAAAGTTGGGTAAGCTTCGAAGTGCGCCACGTTAGGGAACACGACTATATATTTCTGCCCATACCACTCGACCTTCGGCCTAATGGAGATCAATTTGGGACGCAGACGCACTGCATTATTCGGTTTCCACTCGCGCTCGCAAGTACCGGAAAGTATAAAAGGTCACGCGGCGAGATTCCTCGCCGCATCAAGTTAGGCTGCATGACAAAGATTTCGGCGAGGTCGTTGCGAGGGTTACGCAATCAATAATATTCTCGCTATTGTTCAGATAATCCTTATATTAACGGGCCAGTTGCTTTGCACAATAACTTGCGTAATGTTTATATTTATTTGAGGTATGACAGATACATATAGGAAAGTGCTGTTTGGTTTGGGTAAATACAAAAGACTTTACCCAAATCAAACAGCGCCCCGCTCTTGTGTCTGCCATACCGCAAATCACTGGCGGCGGAACGGGTGGGGGCAGGGTCATACTTGTTTCCGCTGCCCCCACCACTCTTGGCAGGTCCCAAAGAACCGTATGATATTGGTAAAAATAACAATAACACTGAAAATAACGGCACTGTTATTTTCAGTTGGCGACAATCGTGTCATGCCTGAAGTACAATTATTGGAAGCGATCGATAGCAAGCAAGTGAATTGCTCAATCAGTATCTGTTCAAGTCTTATTCGTATTCATGCAGGCAGAAGTAACGCAAAGCTAGCGGGACTTGCTCCCAGGGTAGGTTGTTTGTTCAATATTGCAAAACAATTTCAAGAATATTTTAGACGAGCCACCTCTTTATATTCACGTGCAAGCAGCAAAAAATAGCACTGTTATTTTCAGTAGTTTGTGGGCGACAATCGTGTCATGCCTGAAGAACAATTGGAAGCGTTACTGCCACGCGTGTTTTGCTATAAAAAAGTGTTTTTTAATTTTTTTATAAACCATATCGATCAAAATAGCAGTGGACTAAGTTTTAACGCAAAAACTCCGACAAAGTGTTTGAAGTAGGCCTACTTTGTCTGTTGTGTACATCACAATTATCTTTATGTCTTTCTGGTCATTCATTCACCGAATAAGTAATTTTGAATTACAGCATAACTTGTGGGGTTAAGGAGTCCTTTCATAATTCTTACATTTATCTTTAACTTTATTAATACTTTAATGTCATCACATCTTTTGCTTTAGCTTTTAATACATAGAAAACATACCTAATTTAATCTGATTTATAAGATTATTCACCTTTGTTAATCTTTACTTTCATCTCGATAGTGAGAAAATACCAGATGACAATTTTATTTGGTTAAAGATCTGTTCACGTCATGCCTTGTCAAATATATACCAAAACGTTTTAAATCATGTAATTATTGTCGTGAGCTTTAATCATAATATTTAAGTTAACCTTCATCTGTCATTTCCTTTGATCTTCTTTTTCCTCGCATACTCATTGCAACTTAATTCATTATAATGTACACCTTAAGAACTCCTGCCCCCAGGTGATGCTGATTATAATAGCTTTTGTGAGTGGACGGTGGGGCGGCGGCGGCGGTGAAAATTTGAATCTGCAAAGCAGCAAATGGCTGCTGTCTTGTTGCAGGCACAACTATTACTGGCGCTTCGCATGTCTCCCTGCCCGGCTAGGTTGTACAGGCTTCAGTGAATTTTCCATTGTACTTATGATTTGCATTTTCATGGTTATGTAGCCTTGTACTAAATGGGATTCAGCTTTTTGCTCTGTGCCCTTTGATTCTTTTGTAAGTGCCATGTGCAGCTCACAACTCCTGTTGGGTTGTGATGCACTCAATTGAATGGCAATTCATCCATATTTCATTAAGTGTGACTTAATTTAATTTTTTTAATTAATGTTTACTCTTCGGACGTTTTAGTGATGATATATACTGCGATGATACTACATTAGGCCTAGTACTGGACACCGGCACACGAATCAAAAATGATGAGTGTTGGGCATCCGCATGAAAACGATGTCATCAGTTACACGGACACTGTAAGCGAGTCTGTGGGCTCACTGCGGGGGCTGGGGAGAGCCAACGCGGGGCGGCGGCGAGGCAGGCCCCGGTGGGGTCGGATGGTGGTCAGTACGTCCTTCCTGACTTTCCTACTTCAAGCGGGATCCTCCATGACGCACGGCCTGTATATGCCGGCTTTTCTGGAGGAGTTTCAGGCCGGGACTGGGCTGATCGGATGGTTGACGAGTTTCTCAGCAGCCGTCATGTGCTTGGGAGGTCAGTTTTCCTATTTTCTTCATGAATTCAAAATGGTGAATTTGGGAAATACAAACACATCCTGAAGTTACTAGATAAGTTTCAGAGTTTTGAAATATAACCCCTCACCCTTCGGCTTGAAAAAAAAATGTCTGGGGTCCAAATTGCGTAATTGGGGTCCAGTTTGCAGGGAGGGGGGAGGGGCTTGGGCGGGTCGTGCTGTTAAGCGTCAACAACTGTCAACAAACGTCAACAAGCATCAACAAAACATCAACATGTTGTAAGAGCACCTTAATTTAAGCTCCTACGATCATTTTTCAATGTATCACTATTTAAAAAGTAGTTCAAAATGTGAAATTTTTAAGTGAAAAAGTACGACAACAACGATGTCTTTTTCCACTAAAACTGGTCGCCATTTTGTTTTTCTGGGACATGGTACAATCGCGCATGCGCGAAAAAGAAAACAAAGATGGCGTCTCCCAGTCACCGTAATTTTGTCGCCAATACACTTCCATTTTTATGCAGGATTGTGAACGTGAATTTCAGTTTCATACTCAATTCGACATACGAGAGTTTGTTGAATACGTTGATGGCTTTTTTTAAAGCTTATATCAGCGTCAACGAGCTCAAAATGCACGTTTAATTAAACATGCATTTTGCTTATTGACTCCTTGTTGACGTTGATTGTGTTTGTTGACGCTTGTTGACGCTTTGTTGACGCTTTGTTGTCGCTATATAGCAGGACCGCGTGAGGGGGCCTCACTTTTTAGAGGGTAAGAGGGGAGACACTCATTGCGTTTTAACAATAAAAACGCTAATCTGTTGCCTTCCCCAAATTCGGAGGGCGGGGGGGGGGGGGGGGTTGAGACCCACGGGCCTCCAGCGTGGGAGAGGGGGGAAGCCGACTTAGTTTCACCACTGTGGAGTCCACTTCACGCTGTATTTACGTGTTTCTCTGCTCAATAATGTGTTGTTTAGGTCCTATTGGCGGTGTCATTGTGAAGCGATTAGGATGTCGTCCTTCTGTCATGCTTGGGGGCGCTATGATGGCGACTGGTAACGGCTTAGCATCACTCTGCACGACGATAGTCCAGCTATTCTTATGTCTGGGACTTGTTGGTAGGTATACATTCTCTGCAAAGAGCGGCCATGTTGGAACGATCAAAACGAGATTACATAATCCCGAACTAATACCTCCCGTCCTTACTATGTTAAGCTATTGCATTAGTATATGCAGGAAGCCGGACTGTTCACTGCGGTTTCTCTTTTAACTCGACGGTACAGAGTGTATTACATGATGTGGTTTATGTGACAACGTTCAATTTGTGACACAAATTCTTTCCTGGCTTTCAAAACTGACGTCCATTTTGGTCCAGTATCGTTTCAAATCAAACCAAATATCGGATGCCACTCTTGGGAGATATTTTACTGGGGCTGAACAAAAAGGTTTATTGAATCCAGCTAAAGCATAACGATAAAAAAACATCAGCCAAATTTAACCAAACTCTAAATGTGGTGTTGTTGCTTGGTGGGAAGTCATAATACCTCCAAGTGATGCGACTGAAAGTATTTCTTATGCATGATCATAACATGTAGTAAAGGCGATTTTGTGTAAAACATTTTCAGGACTTGGTGGATCCATGGTATCCGTTGGTCTAGTTGTTGCCATTGGACAGTATTACACCCGACACCACTCCATCGCAAACGGACTTGCCTTTAGTGGTATAGGTGCTGGCATCTTCGTCTTCTCGCCTCTGGTACGATTCTTGATTGATAACTACGGGTGGCGCGGGAGTTTCCTAGTTCAGGCTGGTATCCTTCTGAATCTTGAGGTAACTGGAGCCCTTCTCCGCCCGGCATCTCGCTATAAAGTCCGAAATTCACGAAAAGAGAAGATGCAATCGGTCACCGAGTCGGGAAACAATGACAGCAATTTTGAGGAAGGAGATGAAAGTGTTGTTTTGGATGGTAGTGGAGAACACGAGGGAACACAAAGCAGTAAGTGTACGGGCAGGAGTTGGAGTTTGGGTTGGCTGGGGAAGTTCAATGGTCTGTTCTATCTGGGACTGTGTGAACTGTTCAGAACAGCTCCCTCTGTCGTGCAAGTATACGCTGCGTGTTTTTTACTGGACGCCGGTGTTTCAGCCGTCATGAGTCACATCTCAAATTTGGACGGTGTGACTCCGCAGCAGGCGTCCAGTCTGCTGCCCTATCTTGGCATCGGCAGCCTGGTAGGGAGACTAATCCACGGCGGGTTCCTGAAATGCAAACATGTCACGCCGTACAGGATGTACATCGCCGCTCTGTTAGTCTCAGCTCCATCCGCTACACTCATCGCCATCACAGGATCTTTTGGAGGGAGAATTGTCGAGGTTGTCATTTTTGGTTTTGCCAGCGGTTCACTCTACCCCCTAGTTGCTGTGATTCTAAGGGAGCTGGTCGGTATTTCGCAGCTTGGACTTGCATTTGGACTCTCAATGTTCGCCTATGGCGTGGGGGGTCAGTTAGGAGGCTTCATCATTGGTGAGTTTGTTAAAATGAATCATGAATATGCATGAAGTCAGAGAAGTATAATGAATGAATCTGTATACCTCCAAGTATACCGATTGGTTGTATCAGTGTACCCACAATCAGTTTCGTTTTTAGGACAATGTTGTAAAGCCCATCACAAAACTGTGTTTAGTTGTCATCGATCGGCATGCAAAATAAACATGTGAGTTTAGGAAATTTGGATGCATCGGAACCATACGGCCACAGATTCCCTAGGTGAACTGTGCTAGCATTCTCACTTTGGCCGATCAAACACACATCACTGACAGTCTCTTCAATCTAATTTCGCAATAAAAAAAATACGAGTGACTACTTGTTGGTTCATACTGCATACAAGTGCGAATGCGATGACGTCGCTGTTATGTGATATTCGCCGGATTTTAAATGTGTTAAACTTTTACGAATTCCCATCGCGAGAAGTTGCCCTGACGTCACAAATTCCCGATCGCGTTCGCGAGCATGAACCGGCCTTTCCTGGCTGTGTTTACATGTACTTACACATGAACATCTTTTATATCAGAAATTGATAAATACACCACAATAGAATGGAAAGCAGAAGTGTAAGGGTTTTAATGATGCAAGTCGTATATATGCAAATAGACCTCAGACATAATGACGTCACGCTCTGTTTACATGTGCGCTTTCCTATGGGAGCCAGGTAGGGACGCCAGCCGATCGTCCCACCTGGCTGCCATAGGAAAGCGCACATCTAAACAAACATGATGCCATTATGTGTTAGGTCTATTAAAAAGGACGTAAAGAGTCCTGCAGCAAACTCTTCATTTGTTTCCGGATTACATGTCACTGATAAATTGTTTATGTTTTCCATATTGTGTGTTTTAGGTGTCCTGAGAGATTCAACAGGAAATTACACCCTTTCATTTTACCTGGTGGGGCTTTTCTTTGTCATTGCGGCGACGGTCATGTCATTGCGTCCTTTGATCGAATGTCGTCGCCGCCGACGGTTGACCATGGGATGACAGCACAACACAGCATAAATAACTGTTGGTATATAGACACCGTGCACTGAATTGGTTGGTTAATTAAATCTTCCCTTATACAAAGTAATAGTCAAACATGTTCAAAGGATCTAGAAATGAACGTTGGTTAACAGCGTGACCCTTGACGTCAGACCTGTCAGTTACCGGTGTAGCGTGAATATCCGACTCCATGAAATGTGGACTCATTGATAGTATTGCGCATGCGTAAGTACGATAATACGCTATTTTTAGGTATATTATGGGAGAGTGACCTGTGACGTGTGAGGGATTGACCACACTGAAAATAGTTGGGCGAAATGGGTTGATAATTTGACCAATGCTGGTCGAATTATCAACTGCCTACACTCTTGGGCAAATTCTTCCCAATAGTTTGACAGTTTTTACTCAATTCAACCCAATATGAGGTAATTTCATACCAATGTCGGGTAAATTACATTGCCCAACAGTATTTTACCCAGCGTTTTTACAGTGCAATAATAGGGAAAAGGGGTCCGATTTTCGTAGGAGTCGGAATTTGATATGACACCGGTAAACAGTTTAAGCCATTAGTATAACTTTACTACATTGAACATGTACAACACTGTGTTTATATTCACTGATGAATACATGAAACCACAGTAGGCGGCCTGCCATTTTTCTTCCACCCAAACGACATCCGTTTCTCATTGGTCTATTACATGCATATATAATGCCTTGTTCTCCACAACACAAACCCAAGATAGGCTTTGCGTCTTGTGAGAAAGTTTCTTCCTCACTTTAGTTATTTAAAAGGTAAAAAGAGAAGAAGTGAAAAACGCTCACTGGGATTCGAACTCGGATCACCTGATTAGAAGTCAGGACTACTCTTCCAAACAGTCCACGAATCAGCTGCCAATCGTCGGTGATTTAAACACCGTTATTCCTTGTTATATAAAACTGTTTTTATACAGTATTTCTATACTTATACAATATTTCTATATTTTGGTATTGTGTAATTGCAAGCATATAGGTTGAAGTTTCGTTGTCTGGATATGTAATGACTTTATTCAAAAGTCAGCCATATTTAATTGAAAGTTAGGTAAAGTCTTCATTGTTGGAACTTGCAAGCAGAAATGAGAGCAATGGAATAAAGGTTCATTACAGATTAACACCAGTCTGCTCTGATGAATAATTTAAAATGTGTGATTAAACATATCCTTTTAATATTTTAAGCCACATAAAAAAATTAATGAAAGTGAGGCTTGGAGCACACTCCAATCATAAAATAGTCTGGCACCATCCCATTCAACAGTTTACAATTTATTAAACAGACTCGGGGGACACGATCGAAAATGGCTTCCTCGTGAAGAAGGTCTATAGTGAGGTTTGCACGAGCGTATAAATATGCAGACAAGTGACTCGGCAGCACATTGTATACATTCCCGGTCTTTTTTCGGATCATGTCCTTCGACTGAGCACACTTATTGTGTATTTTCTGTCAAAGCTTTCACTAGCATTGTGCGTAAGAATGGAGCGCACCCCCTCCCCCCCCCCCCCGAAACCCCCATACTGGGTGCTCGTCATTTTGCACAATTGAAACGGAATGAAACAGAGAAACTCAATCTTTTTTTATTAGAACTCAATTACAAAGATTGACAGAACCGTAGGTGCGGAAAGCAACAGCAAAGCTGGGGCATAACAAAAATACCCCCAGTTGGCCTCCTGCCCCTGGAAATTTGGCGACTGGAAAAATGCACAGTCCTGTAAGTTACCATGATAAGGCCAAAAAAAAAAATATTCGGTCTCTGGTCAGACCAAAGTTCCGGAATTGACGCGGCCACGCGGCTTTTTTTTTTCTTCAAGCTTGGATTGTACAGACAAGGTGGGGTACTATTTTGCTTTTTTTTTGGTGTCCTCATGTACATTGGTGTCCTCCATAATTTGCCTTGGTGCTTTCGATCATTTGCCTTGGTGCAATTTCCCATTCCTTGGTGCTCTTTGTTAAAAAAAAAATGAGGAGGTGCGGAAATAGAGGGCGCTGTTGGAGCTACCGCGGAACATTTTGGAAAAAAAAAAGATCGACGCGCATGATTAAAATCGACGCGCGCGCTGACCACAGACCGACTTACTTTTGTTTGGCCTTATACGGCCGAAATACGGGTTGAACATAAAGATTTGTTTTCACGTTTTCTGTCTATTTTCATTAATACCCCATTGGACAGAGCTGTATATAGAGAGAGTTGCGACATCAAGGTCGCACTGTTTGGAACCAAAATGGCGGATTATGTATCAGTGCACATTATATAATTCGAACACAATAGTCGCACGCTGCACTGTACACATAATGAACGGCCATTAAGGTTCGACAGTCTGAAGTTGTCGCAACACTCTCTATATACGGCTCTGCCCGTGAAAAGCGAATAGCGCCACCATTTGTCCGACATTGACCATGTTGGATTTGAATAGCGGCCCCATGTGAAGATGGAGGAGGAGCTATGGACTATGGGGATTGGCCGTTTTTGGTAACAACTTGCCAAAATAGCCTTTGTTTTCGTTAAGATTTGTATATACCAGAACACTCGTCTATGCAAGTGGAGGGGAGCAGTCTGAGAGGAATGACATACATCAAATTTTGAAGGGGTCCGTTGTTACGTTTAAAGAATGTCCAATTAAACTCATGGTACACCAGCACATTAGAGGTCAGCGCCCCAATAACATTTTAACGGTTCCTCAACCAAAATTAGAAACTGATAAAAATAGTTAAATTTCGCCAAGTATTAAGTGCAATATGTTTTATAACTGACAATGCATTTCACTGAAAGTGTCATTAACACTAAAGTGTATATTTGAACAAATTTGCATCCAAGGGTGTACAAAACCCATGGACCCCGCCACAGCAGGCAACAATAAATTGTTTACTTACTCTGCAGCCGACGAGATGTCGCACCAGCCAGTTCCAGCGTTGTTTCTTGCCCAGTGTTTTACTTGTTCTTGTTTTCTCGTTCTTTATCTTGATTGCTGTCTCTTGATGGTTTTTGTTTTCTTCGCCGACGCTTCAGGTGTATGGGGGTTGCTGTAAAGCAACGTATAGTGCTTGCACTTTTCCCACTTTACCTGATTCGTTTTGTTTAATATATAATAAAAATGAGAAATCTGGCATCCACTGATGATTCAGGCTTGGTTTAAGCTCAGTGAATGTACTGAGTTTTCTGCCTACTGGTTGAAGGAGTCAGGCTGGGCATGATCTACTTGCGAGTCTGTTGAAATCATTGTGAGCATCATCATTCGCAGTAGCTGCTTGCATTCGATCCTGAACCACTGGAATGCTTGGTGGAGAGAGGGAAGGATTTATGTCTGCAACAGAGGCCTCTTGAAATGGAGTGGAACAGTAAGATGGAACTATCATGGAAGTTGTTCCCCTTGTATCGAGAACTGCTTTGTTCAATGCGCATAACATTTCGGCCCTCTTTGAGTCTTCAGACTTCGTGCTTATGCCGTATCGAATAGAAATAAACTTGAAGTTTCTTATTCGACACGGCACAAGCACGACGTTTGAAAACAATTTTGCTAGGCAATTGTATCAGCTCGACAGATTCGACAGGGTCTGCCGCGCTTATCAATTTAGTACAGTGTCATATGAAAATCGGACTCGTATGAAAATCGGACTCTTTATGCCCTTTTATTTAAAAACAAACAAACAAACAAACAAACAAATCCATCTCATAGTTACCCTTTTATTGGTTAAATCCTCTCACGTGACCGGTCCCTCTCCTAATTATCTATGCATGAACAAGCGCAATACTACCAATAAGTCCGTATTTCATAAAACCTAAATTAATATGCTACACCGGCAGTAGCACGGCAAGGTTTGAAACCGCTCGTCGTGCTACTGCCTTGAACAGTGTTTATAATGAGGAATGCGCATGCTCGCAACGTGTGTACGAGTAAAGAAATAATCAGCTAACAAACGCATCAACAAATATGGCGACTTACATGGATAATTTTCAAGAATCATAGGGGTGCACACTTGTAAATAGGCCTAAACCTATCCGCCGAGCTCATGAATAACAGTTAGACCCTCAAACCTGAGTCATAAAATTTGGGAATTGAAGAGATATGGCAATAAACCTCTGGTCCGGACTTGGGGCTTCCAATTCTGAGCATTTTGGGTGCAATTGGACTCTAAACTGGCGCTATTTTGCAATGTTGTGGAGGGATAATAAATTGGTGTCTATGGGGATTTTAATACAGGGTGCATCCATATAGGCAGATGGGGAATTAGCGTAACGTTCTCATTAGCCCTTGATAACAAAATGACAAGAATAGGGCATACCATAGCTTTCCTCCGGGAATAAGTACCCGCTGAAGCAAAATTCGTTTTCTTCGTGCAACTCTAACTGATTAAGAGCACAAAATCACGGTGTATTTTTGTTGTGACCGTTGGTCCGCCATGTTGCATGTATTTAAATTCGACTAGGCGTTTGTAATTAAAAGTTTGACGTTGGAAACCACTGCCGCGCTAATGCCGTGCTAACGTCACGCAAAATTCAATTATATTCGACACGACATAAGCACAACGTCTGAAACAGGCCTTGCTCATGAAATACACCAAATAGCGCAAAATTGTCTGCTTCAATTTACGGGGATACTTTACACAGAGCAGATACAGGAATGGAATTCAGAAAGCTGTTGTTTAAGCACAAATATTATTATTCTTTTTACAAACAACAAGCAAAAATCAATCAACCAATTAAGAGGCATTGATTGCAAAGATTGTCAGATAATCATGCATTGCTGTATAGAAATTATTACAAAGTGCAAATTAAAGAACTCTTTACTATAATATATGCAGGCTATGAGAATAAGATATATTATGTGTAAATCTCAGACATGTCTATTCTCTTTTTTATATTACAATTACTTGAATATACTCAGAGATACACTTTAAATTAATTTACTGAACAAAGTTAAGTGTTAACAAGATAGTGAAGCTGTATAGTCAATATGCTCATTTTGAGCCAAGGTTCTAACGGCAATCAAAACAGTGCATAATAAAAATAGTGAAGTTTACATAACATAAATATGTATTGTATAAACTTGTACATGTGATTCGTAAATGTTGCTGTCACGTGACAGGACTGGTCTTTATTTCACTAAGGAATTAATTACTAATATTCAATGATTTCAAGAAAAATGTTTACATTCATTCACTGGCGTTCCTCCACAGGAAACACCTGACCAGTACAAATAATAACTGCTTTGAGTGGTCTGCTAATTACACTCTCCTCCCAGGGTGATCCATGGAGCATTCTATTTTTCGTGAGGGGTAGCCGCAGGAAATGAAATGATCCAGATCATGGAGAGATGCTACAATCTCGGCCAAATCTCGCTGGGCCCCCAACCCCCGGCCCCTGGTCAATGTTGTCTCTCATTGCGCGGTGTGTGCTCAATCAGCTGGAGAGAACAACATTGACCGGGGAAGCGGGGGAGTGGGTGACCGTGGCAGGCTCAGGAAGTGTCCCGACCATTTTGGCCGAGATTGTAGTTTTACATCACAAGTTAAAGCAATCAATATTTGTTTTGTGACGCCCCACACCTAAATTCTTTTTGAAATTCTATTTTTAATATGTTGTAGGCCTATCACCGTATTGTATGCATTTTTTTTATCAAGTATGTTTATGGGGTTTTTTTACGTGCAACTGACATAAAAAGGGTGAAATGCAGGTATATGGGCTTGAGAAATAACCGCACAAAATAGTGTTGAAATCGACCACATAATCTTTGTACATGTACATCTTCCATACTCCACTTTAATGGTCCCTACTATACTATAGACAA